ATAATCTTCTAATAACACGGACTAAACTTGTTTATTTTCATTTATTTTTTGGAAAAACATTATCGCAAGAACATTGAAACATAATCTGCGCATGCAAACCCACATGGCGCGCCTGCCTGCCTCCTGCTTGACGTAACGCTGAATCCACTGAGGCCTGCCTTCAGCAAGCCATCAACACTGATATTATCAAACCAGCACGGACCTCTGTGTTTGTTGGAGCTTGGAAATGAGGCATATCAGAGACATTTCTCAACTGATATCGCAGCATATTGCCATTACAAGGAATGCTTTCAGCTGGAGCGGTGGTCAAGATGGTTATCGAGGAGAATGTTGCCATTGTCAGCGACGAGATATTTGGCCTGCCTTTCAGTGTGTTATGTGTAACAAAAACCATATGTTGGGTCACACAGAAACTCGAAATATGGCCATGTTATCATCATGTATTTACAAGTGTTTCAAACCTGAATAATCATAACCTTGGAATTTGTATATTCATATATCTGCATAGTGAAACATGTCATCAAGTTAAAACCACATGTTGAGTTTTGTGTGGTGAGGAAGTACCGTGTGCATTTTGTATGTTTCGACTTGGGGACCAGAAACCTAAAACAGATAGACACACTAAACCATCTCCAAATATCCATCAAAGACTCTCCTTACCTCTCCCCATTGCAGGGGATCAAAAATGTTTTCAAAAGTCACTTGCCACAGGGCAAGTGACTTTGAGAAAGTAACTTGTCCTGACTAATTTTCCACTTGCCCTGATTTTATGAAATAATCATGATGCTGTAATTATGAAAGAATAAATCAACATCATGATGGTATTTGATGTTAATGTTTACTGGACTATTTATTGAAAAGTGATAAATAGCAAAAAAGATAACTCTACTTTATTATTATTGCGAAATTTAATAGCTACATTTTGAGCAGATATGAAATTAAATCCAAGTTTATTTTCAGTTTGAAACCATAAGTGGAAATTATCTAGTAGCCCACGGACAAGTAAGATACCATTATTTGATTGCCAGAAATGAAAACTGACTTGTCCCGGGCGTCGGGCGATGGGATTTTTAACCCCTGTATGGATAACAGCTTCTTTTGTATTCCGATGAAGAAGCAAGAATTAACCTCTGAAACATCGTAACAAGAATACAAAGAAGTTGTTATCCATAAAAAGTGTCACGAAGTTACCGGAAAGATAGAAGATGAAGACGACCAATTCCATTGTTTTCTCTCCAATAATGATTTGATCTCAATCGATACCGTATGTTTTCCGAGACACCATGATAGATAATATTTTTATTGCCTTTATTCATGTTTACAATTTCAGCCAATACCCTGACAAGGTACCGTATTGGCTTATGTGTATATTTGTCTTATATATTTATTTGTACTGTTTGTAGTAGAAGCAGCAGCAGCAGGAGTAGTAGTAGTAGTAGTAGTAGTAGTAGTAGTAGTAGGATGAGAACGAGGACGAGGTAAGTATTATACCAGTTTCTGCCATGCCAGTTAGTCACCTCTTACGACCATGGATTACTAGATCAATACACGGACCCCAGCGGTTGATGGAGCTGTAGTAGTAGGTTTAGTAGGAGGAGGAGGAGGAGGAGGACAAGGACGAGGTGAGAGCCCACGCCAGAGCCCTGTAACACCTCCCAGCTGGAGCAGCTGACAGCAGCTGACAGAGACATCACTGACCTCCCACCGGCCGCTGTCCAGTTGCCTGGTACCACGTGGTCACTGGGGAGATAACGCTTGGCCACTTGTCATCACGGCTGATAGAAACTGATACTCCTTGTTACAGATTTGACGCTATCTGCTGATTCCAGGGTGCTCTATTCCAACTTAAGAATGATTAAGATACCAATACATTCAGAATAGTTAAAAGTACGAAACCCACGTCAGTCAGCACTTGCTAGATTTGTAATCTTGGTGATAATTCTCGAGGATGATAGAAATAGTGTCAGTTTTGGAACACATGGTGAGGTAGCTTCTCTCTGACCAATCAGAAATTAATATACAGTTTAATATTTCCGTTTAGTAAATATGCAAGTTGAGGTGTAATTACACACAGAGAGAAAATGTCACGATTAGCCAATGAGCCTACAATTAGCTAGAAGATATCAATAAAGAACTGTCCTTATCCATATTTGGGTATTATCAAACAATGCAGTTATATATCAAATTGGGTGTTATATTCATATGGTTTTCTCACCTAATCCTTTGAACAACGAATAGTTCGGGAATGACGAGGCACGGAATGTTCGAATGGTTGATATGATGAAGACGCCTATGAAGTTTTCATACTTTACTGTGTTGAAAAATTTGAAGTTGAATCTCTAAACAGAACTTCTATTCTACAAATGCCTTAATACTGGAAACACGTACACAGATTTCAACTAGTTTTGACACTAAATTCCCCGAAGTACAAATGTTAGTCTGTCTCACAGTCCCTGAACCACATTATTTTCCCTACTGCAAAGCCTCTCTGCAGTGCTAAAGCTCTCAATAAAGCAAGTCTAGATTTCCTCAAGTTCTGAATCTCTGGTCTCCCTGGGGCTCCTTTTCAAATTAAATGGGCTTGTTTGTTACTATCAAAATTATATATATTCAGAGACTAAGCATTAGTCTATACAAATGTATGCGCGAGGTTCTGCGACGGTTGCTCTACCGACAATTTGTCGTAGCACAAGCATATTAGAGTGACTCCCCTTTTGTTTACGGTGATGCATTGTGGTATAGATATTTCTCATGGCGGCCTCTTAGAACAGGAATTGACATGATTTACACATGTCGAAATATATAATTACTAGTTAAGAAGACACCTGTAGTTTCCAAAATTGAAGGTATTTATAATTTGATGTATATTGTGTAGACATGTGTAATATTTACAAAATTCTTCGGGTAGATCTCTTGTGTGCAGTTATTTTTGTAGAACTTCATTCCCACTCCCAGATAGTTACAGAACTTAACTTTATGCTGGCATTGACAACGGTCTGTCAAATGTGATTCTCTTAATGCGTCGATGAAAAATACCGTGTGTGTGTGTGTGTGTGTGTGTGTGTGTGTGTGTGTGTGTGTGTGTGTGAGAGAGAGAGAGAGAGAGAGAGAGAGAGAGAGAGAGAGAGAGAGAGAGAGAGAGAGAGAGAGAGAGCATGTTTCTTTAATTGTATCTTAACAGATCCAACTTTTAAAATGCCAGAGAGAGAGAGAGAGAGAGAGAGAGAGAGAGAGATACTGATATTCCCTAAAGCCAAATAAGATATTGAAAATGAGTACCCCTTACAGTATACAGATTGTGATTTGTCCCAAATAATTGCACATGTGGCCATGAACTGCATGTGACATAATGCAAGAGTGTCTGCAATGGATTGAATGGTGGAATCTTGCACATGCTATTTGCTGTAGTACTTTAATAATAAACAATTATATATCCTAATAGAGTACCTCTCATCATACTTTTATGATAACATAAATGCCTCACTATACCAATGTATTTATCATAGGGTGGATTTAAAGGAGACTCTGCTCCACACCTGAGGGTCTTATTATTGACATTGTAATAATGCCAAGTATGAACCTAGAAACTGTCTCCATGTAATTAGGGTAGTGAAGAACTGTTTGAGTGAAATACATATATACAAATTGTAAAAGCAGACAGCCCAAATGAGGTGAGGTGACATGGGGTTCAGTGCAAAGTTCAGGATCATCGCACATATAAAACATTATGTGTGTAACTGCTTGTAGCAGTCCAAAATAATGCCAGATCTTCTGAGATACCATGCCTCAGGTATAACACGGAAACTCCACTTGGATGTTCCCGAATCAAACCACCAACCATCTGCTACCCGGCAGATGCTTTATCTACTAAACCATGTAGGAAAACATGGTTTTGTTTGAATGACTTCAACGTACTCTGCTTAGACTGCCAATTGTCTGAGTGTAGTCTTGACAAAATAGGATACTGATGGGATAGAATTTGATTTTCATAAATTATACATAGGCCTAACCTATATAAGAGAATGAAGTTTACCACAAGTTTGAAGTTGTTAAACACAACATATTTCCATGTTTCAGTTGTATTTATTGTCAATCTGTCATCACTTGCGTGTCTCCTGTGGGATGGTGGGGTAGCCTTGTGGTTATAGCGTTCGCTGGTCACACCGCTGACCCGGGTTCGATTCCCCACATGTGTACAATGTGTGAAGCCCATTTCTGGCATCCCCTGTCGTGATATTGCTGGAATATTGCTAAAAGTAGCATAAAGATTCATTCACTCACTGTCAGTCTAAGTAAACTTAGGCTCAGTATTATTCGTTACACTGCTCTACTAAGTCTAACAAAACCTTGTGGAAGGTCGTGTCAGGTAACCTTTGAGCGACCTATGACCATCCAATCAAACACGAGACAACAGAACGGATTTAACCAATCAGACAACGGCTACTCTTTAGGGTTCGACGGGACTTACAAAATGGATTTACTCTTCCCCGGGCCGCCAACACTGATCTCACAACAAATGAAAACCCGCATAAAACACAGATATATGACCTGCAGAATATAACTAGGTTTCTGCTGACGTGGTTATCACTAGCTAATATTTCCGCAAGCTGACATCCTTGAATACTGACAAAACACTATTTTCAGCGACTGTTTACTTATGGTTGTGGCATGCTCCATGTGCATCACTCGGAAGCGATCGTACGTAAAAAAACAACATTCGGAATCATTCAGGTACAAAACTTTTTCGAGGTAAAAGTTCAAAAGGTATGTGTGAATGTCAATTTTCGCGATTTGGTAAGCTGTGTTCTGATTGGTCAAATGAAAAGGTTACCTGACGCGACCTTCCACAAGGTGTTGTTAGACTCAGTAGAGCAGTGTAACGAATAATACTGAGCCTAAGTTTACCTAGACTGACTCACTGTGTGTCTCCTGTACTCGGCATGTGCACTTTTCAGATGGTGTAGGTCAGTGAAGCCAAGGGTCACTACTGTCCTGCAGCCATGAAACTGGACATCGATGTGCTGGCCTCTACTAGCATCAAGCGCAAGAAGCCATGGCCCCAGATTGTGTGGGCGGGGGCAGGTGAGTGGGAACATCATCATCATGTACAGGAAGCATCATGTTAGAAACAATGTACACTGGCCCCACATTTTACTACAACACTTATTATTCTGATTATACTAATCAGCATTGTTAAACATATCAAAGGTCATCATGTAGCTCAGCTAAAACACTTCCAGACTGGGAATGTCTTGTGTCACATACTCATCACAATGGAATTCTGCTGTTGCACACACAAGCAAACTTTATTAACTTATTAGAGGTGGACAAATATAATAGTGCCATTAATATTCACAAAGGTGTTCATCAGTTCCTTGTCTGTTGAACATATATTACTGAATTAAAAATGTACAATGCATACAATTACAAATCTCATTAAAAAAGGCTATGTAATACCAAGCTGAACCCTCATATATATTCAGTGTAGGTTGTTGATTTACATAATAGCAATATCACCCAATACTTTAAGGAAGGTGGAAACGGTGACAGTTGATACCACTGAAATTGTATTTTGACCTTAGGATTTGGAAACAATGATTAAATTTTATAGTAGCTTGAATAGATATTGAACTGTTTTGATCCAATGTCGTAATTCAAAGAATTACATTCTAGGAGAAGGAGAGTCTGTTCCTCCTTGACATTGGGCGTATCAGTGTACTGTATGTGCCATCAGGAAAGACAAAGAGGAAGGTGCCATCATTATCTCCCCTTGTTGGGGAGGCAGTCCATCTCACACATACAAAGAATGGTAAGCATCACCAGGTCACAGCTGAGTAGAATGTTTCTTTTTTGTTTTCTTCTGCCAAGTGTTAGCATTTAATGAACAAGATGGCATAATTCTTACACCCAAGCTTAAGATTGGAGGTTAAAAAATATTAGATTAAATTAAGTGATATGTTTTGTTTAAAGATAGATAGATTAGATAGTAATTGTGTAATTTGTCTTGGAGTCTGTGACATGTACAAACACAGCACAGACTAAAAGAAATACATCAAAATCTGTTTGCACCTTGTCATCCTTTCCAATGTACAGGTCTGTTCCTGGTGGGTCTTCAGCGGTCTGGAGATCTGTTTGTATGGCACAAAGACAGGGACATCCTGAAGATGGTGACGGGACTTGTGAACCTTGTCTCCATAGATAAACTCAAACCAGGTAACACCCTACGTCTGTCCAGCATTGTCGATGCTTTATAGTTGAACTGCTGACTTTAAACAAAATATTGGTGAAATGACCAAATGTCAGAACAATTATAACTGATGCTAACTCCTTTAAATTTGATGAGATTGTGAATATGATTGGCTCATACCTGGATCCACTAGCACAAAACAATCTTAGCACTATGGGCCCCGTTTCACAAAGCTCTCGTGATCCTAAGATCTCGTAACTCTTCTCGTAGCACTCTTACCTCCTATACTGTAACATAGGAGGTACGAATGCTACAAGAAAAGTTATGAGATCTTAGGCTTATGAGAGCTTTGTGAAACGGGTCCATGATGATCATAACTCGCCTACTTATACATAGAGTTATCACAGTAGAAGTGCTGAGGAAATTTTGGGCAAGTGGACCCTGATTTCAACTGAGATGAATCTTGGGAACACTCCATTACTGTGGTCTAATATTCCTCACAGACATGTCCATCCTTTGTTTTAGGCACCAGCAAGTTGGTTGTGGCTGATGACTGTTCCAAGGCTCTGGTAGTTGTCAACTGGTCTCAAATCTTCCTCTGGCAGCAAGACCCTAGTGATAGTTTTGGGTCCACCAAATCAGCCACACTATCAGGGAAATGGACACGTGTGGACGTCCCGAACAAGATTCCCCTGGCGACACCTGAATGCCGAGAGACCAGTGTGACAGCCATCTTCTACTCCAGCCAGGCAAGTGTGATGAAACCTACACATATCACTGACATGAAAATAGTCTTGAAGAGCAAGAGGGGCGGTGGGGCAGCCTAGTGGTTAAAGCGTTCGCTCGTCAAGCCGAAGTCCCGGGTTCGATTCCCACATGGGTACAATGTGTGAAGCCCATTTTTGGTGTCCCCCTCTGTGATATTGCTGGAATATTGCTAAAAGCAGCGTAAAACTAAACTCACTCACTCACTTGAAGAGCAAGATAAATTCAACTGAATCCAGGATTCATGAACTGACATTTGAATACTGTTTAATGCTACAGACCTTACATATCACCAAATTGAAAATGTCTACAGCATGAATGACTTTCAGGTTTTCTCCCTATTGAGGAGACACACCAGGCCACAACTCAAATGTTTTAAGATGATGTCCACTCACTATAAATGCTGATGTGACAAAAACAACCTTTGAGGAGACTGTTTTCTATCAGAACATATCTCTGTGTAGGTTCTTGGTGAGTGCTGCCAGTGTTCGCTGACCTACAACAATGCAGACAAGCTGTGTGTCACCACAGTGTTGTTGAGATTCTCAGAGTTTCACAACATATACAAAGACAGGTAAGGTGTGATACTTGTGTCACTTAGACTGACCTGGTCAGTCAGATGCTATACAAAAGTTACTGTTATCTTATTAAGTTTCAACTTTGACCAAGGCAAGAAATACTTATGTATCAGGTAGCCCAACAGATCTATTGTTTGTTTTTGTAACCCAAACATTTTGTCACTGGAGGTGGTTGTTACAGTCTAGAAATCTGTTATTGTTTTACTTTAAAAAATGGTCAGAATGTTACAATAACTAACATTGCTTCTAAATCAGCTGTGGTGGTACCCATAGCATAGTGGTAAAAGCGTTCAGCTCCTCATGCCAAAGACCCTTGTTAGATTCCCCACATAGGTTCATTGTGTAAAGACCATTTCTGGTGTCCCCTGCTGTGATATTGCTGGAATATTGCTAAAAGCAGCGTAAAACTAGACTCAATCACTCTAAGTGATCCATTTGGATATGAAGGCTCAGCCTAATAAAAGTACTAGAATCTGTACTTTAAAAGAGATCTCACGGTATGGTCTCTCTTTTTAAACTTATCCTATCATATGCTACCACATTATAAGTATGCACACTGGCTCTCTCTTTTGTCGCGACTTGATTGTGAGCGTGGTTTACTTTACTCATCGATTTCTACGGACCCCTAAGAAGAGAAAGAAACAAGTGTAACAAGGAGTGGAGCGATGTAAACTTTTCTCCCTAGGCCTCTCTTGTCCATCCATTCCAGCCCAAGCACTCCATGCTACCCTCATTATAAGACAGCTTCCTAGTTGTCATGAAAAGCATGCAGCATGCTCCACTAGCTACAGTTGCCACGTGACCACCTCTGAATCACCATTTCTCCTTCTTTCCTGCAAGTTCGAGTCTAATCACAGATCACCTGATCACGCTTTGCGGACCGCACCCTCCAGCTCGAGTCATGAACCAGTTTTTCTCCAGACCGGCACTCCATGAATCATGGCTTTATTAGTCTACTCATCAACATTCATCTTCCAAACAGGTTTCTGAGTGCTTCCCGAACTCTGTTGGCTCTTCCAGTCATATGTCTTCAGCACGCGCTTCTGATCACTGAGTGCTTCCTGAACTCTGTTGGCTCTTCAGCACGGACACTGATTTCGTTTGGATCAATCACCTATTATTCTTCTGATTTGTTCACTGGTAAGACCTGTTAGGTCTAGTTCACCACCTAGATGCCACTCTTAGAATTGTTTGCATTCTACTAAACTCACAACTTCAACTACTTCGTTGAGATCCGTTCTCTGCTCAAAGTCTCCTCATCGGGCTTCGTCTTCTCGTCATCATGGGACTTCCAGTTCAGCACATTCAACCCGTCAACCTAGATCTCCTTCACGATCGACTGCTGCCTATCGTTCTAGATCCAGGGATCAACGTTCTCGTTATGACACGTCCCCTCCTTGTTCCCGATCTCCTCAGTGGGTCTCCATTTGTGCGTCTTCACCTGGTTCATCCCCCTCCAGACATAGATATAGCTCTTCAGATAAGAGATCTACTCATCGGGGTTCAGATTACAGATCTCAGCATGCTACAACTTCAGAAGGGGCTCATGCCTCTTCTCGTCTCTCTACTCGGATTTTACCAGATTCTTGGACTCCAGCTCAGGAAATGACACCTCCCTCAGATCTGGCTGCGATGTTGAGTGCTATTACCATTGCTTGGAATCAGCGACAGTCTACTCAATCGGCGGGGAGTGCTCCTACCCCTAGTCCATCTGTTGCGGTGCCCAGTCTTGGTCATCAACCTGAACCTCCATCTCCGTCACGTTCGGATATTGCTTCCCCAGAGGGAAGTCTGGATTTTGTTGACGAACCCCAAGTATTAGCATGGATAGTGGAGAAACTGCATCTCCCTATGTCACGGAACAAGGAGGACTTAGCATATTCTTTCTCCATGAGACAACGGGACTTGGCATCTATTACACTTCAACCACGACCTTGCATTGCTCACGTAGCCACGTCATTGGATCATGCCTTTAAAAGCCTTAAGAGGATTAAGGACGGTCTGTCTTCACCTAGATTCTCCTTATCGGCGTCTCACTCCCATGGGTTTCCAGTCGTTGCCCACTGCATCTTCGGTGGATGAAGATGTCCAAACACTTTGCGGGAAAAGGACTTGTTCAGCATTTTTAGTTGAGGACAGAGAACTGTTTCACATGGAGACAGCTGTTCGTCGCTCCTTACCCTCAATTAACTGCATCATCTCGGCAGTGGACACAGTTGTGGCATCAGCAGAGCATTCATTCTCCGACCAAGATGCTTACATTTGGGGCTGTATGTCCCCTAATATTGGACCAAATCCCATCTGCAAGATTTCTTGAAACAGAGACGGAGTGCCATCTCATCCAGAACCCAGGGGCCAGTGGGAGGTATAGGGCAAGTCCTCTAGTGGCAGTTCCTCCTGACGCGTCCTCCCAAGTCTGACCCGGGGTTGGGACTGGGAAGCAGTCCGCCGTCGAAACAAGGGCACGACTGGGAACTCCCGCCTCCAGCTGTCCCCATTTATGACTCTCCAGTGGGCGGGAGATTAGGCTACCAACTTCCAGTCACCGGGCACTCTCCTCTGACATTGCATCCAGTACATCGCAGTTACCCGGCAGAACAGATCCAGTTTCTTCGCTCCACCATAGGTACGCTTATAGAAAAGTGTTTAGTCCAGTCTCCTGGTCTGGCGCCCAGCACTCCAGGGCTCTATTGCCCCAATCTTTCTGGTTCCCAAGAAAAACTCCACAAAACTAAGACTAATTTTCAACATGAAAATTTTCAATGCCCACTATCTCCAGCGTCCGCCTCACTTCAACATGGTATCGATCGACCCCCTTCGCACCATCCTGAAGAAAGGCGATTTTCTTTTCAGCTTAGACCTACAGGATGCATACCTCCATGTGCCCATTCATCCGGATTATCAGAAATTCCTGCCATCCTGCCGTTTGGAATTTCCACAGCCCCATGGCTATTTACCAGGATCACCAAACCAATCACCAGGTTTCTTCATCACCACGGGGTCGTGTTCGAAAGCTACATAGACGACTGCATTCAGACACAGAGACCCAGTTCATTCTTTTACATCAGTTGGAGTTCAGCATGAGGCTTCTCAAGCAACTGGGTTGGCTGTTAAACGTTGCAAAGTTGGAACTAACACCAACCTAGACACTTCAGTTCATCGGGGCAACTTTCGACACACATCAGGGCCTGATTTTCGTCCCCCAAGACAGATGGATGAAAATACATCATCTCATTCTGTTGGCACTGTCACAGGCCCGGACCTTACGGCAGTGGGAGGAACTTTTGGGCCTCTTGACATCAGCACAAGCATTGACATGGCGGGGACAATTGCAACTACGTCTGTTGCAACGCTTCCTGTGGCCGTATCTCATATCAGAGAATCCCAAGGAGTTGATTCGTCTTCCCGAGCCCTTACGTCCTCTTCTTCAGTGGTGGCTTGTAGAACAGAACGTTTGCGCCAGAGTTTGATGCCATTCATTCCAACGCACCACTTGTTCGTTGACGCGTTGCTCAATGTTGGGGGGCTCACTTTCTTCATCAGCAGACGGCCAGGCTGTGGTCATCCGCAGAACAGAGGTTTCACATCAGTGAGATCGAATTCTTGGTAGTTCTTCTAGCCATTCAGCATTGGGCGAAGGAACTTCGAGTTTCTTCTCTGCTGATCCAGTCAGACAAGTCCACGGTCATCTGTTACATCAACCATCTCGCACCACCGTATCCTTCTGGATCCCTGCTTCCCTGTATTTTCCTGAATATAAGTCTGAACTTGCTGTCTGCCTTATGTTTTGATTGCTTATGGGTTACAACTACTTCACTTAGTTTTATACTAAGACTTGGAGATACTACCACCTTGGTGGTTAGGACGAATCTGGAGCTCGATTCTGTATCACGATGTGGAAGGGTTTGATATTTCATGATTCCTGACCTGACTTTTTGAAGCAATTACATCAGTGAAGTGTGTCACTCCCGAATTCCAGTGGTTTTCGTTGCGTTCCGGCTCCGAAGTTGCCAGGCTCATCCTTTGACTAAGCTTATGTAAAGGAGTCAATTTGATGTTGACTGGAACTGAACGTTAACCCAGGTCTTTCACCCAACCCTGGTCGGTGTCTGTGGGGGTCTTCTCGAAGCAGGAGCTGGCCCGATTATTGTCTATGACTTTAGTTTACGGGGGTACCTTAAAAATCGTGGCAAGGTGATGTCTTACTCACTGAGTTGCATCCTTCTGTTCTTCGGAGGTTGCGGCCAAACACCACATCGCTCGAGAGCACCCATCTCCTTGGGAGACATTGTGCTTGGTAAGCCAAGGAGTTCAGGGGAACTCATCACAAGCATAGGAGTTGCGCCAGTCGTAACAGGCCTCCCTTGTGCATCGTTTTCTACGGTTGTTACCAGTCTACAGTTTCTGCTGTTCACATTGTCAAGACATAGGGCATCTGCATCCCACCGTCCAACCAAGATAGGATAACGCGATGGATTCCCACCCAACCTCCCTGCTATGCAGATTTTCCAAGATTAAGATTATTCTGTGGCTCCAAGAATGAGAATGATGATTCAGAGGTGGTCACGTGGGTAGCTAGTGGTGCATGCCGCATGCTTTGCATGACAACTAGGAAGCTGACTTATAATGAGGGCAGCATGGAGTGCTTGGGCGGATGGACAAGAGAGGCCTAGGGAGAAAAAGTTTACATCGTTCCACTCAGTGTCGAAGCAAGAGAGTAGAGAGCATACCGTGAGATAGGATAAGTATATAAATATACAATTTATAGTTAAAATTTTCAAATCCCAAATATAACATGTTGCTTCAGCCATACACAAACATTCTGTAAATATATAAGCATTTGTACAATCTGTGAAGCCTTTTGGGGGGTCTCATGCCAAAGTGTTTCTGTAATTTTGAGGAAAAAGAGGCTTAAACAATACCATTCACTTCGGAAAAATAGAAGTGCTGGTTTGGGGCTTAGGGACAAGTATTATTATGGGTTGTTTGTAATCACCATGACAACTCTGTCCACAGTGTTCCAAGTTACCACACAGAGTGGAGCTGCATTGAGTACCCTGTACAGAACATTAGCATTGGCTGTCAGCCAATCAAGACGAAGGGAGCCTATGTCACATGCTACTCACATGATGGTCAGGTGATAGCCGTAGCAGCCAATCAGATACGTCCGTCTGACACAAGTCTCCTGTTCTTGTCGCCACTGACTGAGACTGTCCTTGTGTCAGAAATGAAGGACTGTGGCATCCAGAACGCTGACCGGAAGTCTGGCAGGTACGTGTTAGATGCCTCATTAGAAAAGGAAAATTTCAGTATGAATCTATATGTTCCAAAATCAATCAATCAATCAGTAAGCATGGACAAGTATCCATATGTAACCATATAAAAAAATCAATGTATCAGTAAGTATTCTCATCTTGCTTGACAACAGTATAAGGATCTATACTAAACCATCACATCATAATAGATTTAAAAGTTGATATCCATGAAAAGCCTCACATTTTCTGTTACTATTACACATTCCAAGTTTGATCTGTACAGGCCTGGCAACCTATTTGTAAGTTTTTCATTAATGATAGGGCTAAATTCTTTAATAAGTAACAATGAATAGCTATACAACCCTGATTGGACACAGCACTTCACTATTGTTACACAACTAGTTATCAATTAACAAATGTCACACTTACTGATACATGTGTACTTTGAACTGTGTACATGTTGATATATGTTTACACTTACTGATACATGTGTACTTTGAACTGTGTACATGTTGATGTATGTTTACACTTACTGATACATGTGTACTTTGAACTGTGTACATGTTTATATGTTTACACTTACTGATACATGTGTACTTTGAACTGTGTACATGTTGATATATGTTTACACTTACTGATACATGTGTACTTTGAACTGTGTACATGTTGATATATGTTTACACTTACTGATACATGTGTACTTTGAACTGTGTACATGTTGATATATGTTTACACTTACTGATACATGTGTACTTTGAACTGTGTACATGTTGATATATGTTTACACTTACTGATACATGTGTACTTTGAACTGTGTACATGTTGATATATGTTTACACTTACTGATACAGTGACTTTGAACTGTGTACATTTTGATATATGTCAATACTTACTGATACTTTGAACTGTGTACATGTTGATATATGTTTACACTTACTGATACATGTGTACTTTGAACTGTGTACATGTTGATATATGTTTACACTTACTGATACACTGATTTTGGTACATTTTGATACATGTCAATACTTACTGATACACTGACTTTGATACTTACTGATACTTATCAATACTTACTGATGTACTGACTATGATACGTATCAATACTTGTCAATATTTAATGATAGACTGACTTTGATACATATCGATGCTTGTCAATACTTACTGATCACTGACTATGATACATATCAATACTTGTCAATACTTACAGATACACTATGATATGTATCGAAAATTGTCAGTAATTACTGATACACTGACTATGATACGTATCAATACTTGTCAATATTTACTGATACACTGACTATGATACATATCGATGCTTGTCAGTACTTACTGATACACTGACTATGATACATATTGATACTTGTCAATACTTACTGATACACTATGATATGTATCGATACTTGTCAGTACTTACTGATACACTGACTATGATACATATCGATACTTGTCAATATTTAATGATACACTGACTATGATACATATCGAAAATTTCCAGTACTTACTGATACACGGACTATGCTACGTATCGATAATTGTCAATACTTACTGATACACTATGATATGTGTCAAAACTTATCAATACTTACTGATACAGTGACTATGATATGTATCGATACTTGTCAATACTTACTGATACATTGATTTTTGTACATTTTGATACGTCAGTACTTACTGATACACTGACTTTGGTACATAAAGATACTTGTTAATACTTACTGATAAATGATTTTGGTATATATGAGAACCATTCCCAATTTGCAGCTGCTACTGGGTGTCCTCGATGTCCTGGACCTGTGACAATCTGTTTCTTGCATGTATTCTACGGAATGGTTCCATTTGTCTGGTGTCTCGGCTAGGGAGCCAATCACCATACAGACGTCAGGCAACTCCATTGACCTTGGTCCATCTCGCTTCATCCCAATACACCCCGTCATCAGAGTTCAGTAAGTGCTTCTTTGAATCAAGCAAATAGCATGTTTAGAGATATGATTACAGATAAAAATGGTTCTGTTCATATTATGTTTTATGTTGTGGTTATTTCATTCACCTTTCAGAATTATTATCAATGACTGAATTCAATTTTTTTAATTCATAAGTGATTATTGTTTTAAGTGACAAGATCCTTCTGTTTCAGACAAGATGGTGAAACTGAGCCAGTGCTGGACGAACACGGAGATGATCCCCTACAGCAGATATTCTCAGTGTCCACACACCCCTCCCTTCCCATCATCCTCTTCACAGATGGTTACATGGTGACTGTGGTCCAACTGCCATGTGACACAAGATGCATGGCCTTCATGCGTGACCTTGTCTTTGAGTCATCAAAACATCTGAAATGGATACAGGACCAAGAAGGAATTGACTTGACTCTAGCAAGTCCCGTATAACCTACCTGTTGACAAAGCTGAACAAGAAAGAATGGCAAATAGGAAGAGGGAGAGAATGTTAGCGGAGTCAAGATCAAAACCTCAAAGATTGAAAAATTTACGTTACAGTTTTGAAGATTTGACAGGATCTTTGAATGACACTCAGGACAGTGAGGTCAGTGTGGTTTTAGATGATGGCTTTGGTCAGTTTGGTGCTATGCAGAACCTCAGCTCTGGGAAGATCATGTTCGGTGAGCCTGAGATGATGCTGGCAACGGTTGACTCTTCATATCTCAGCATGGCAGAACAGGAGGCTGTAGCTAAGCGAATGCAGGCGGCAAAAGTCGCTCTGTTCATGTCATGGAAGCTTGCTGCATCACACAGCGACATCTGGACATCCGAGTTGGACCGTGTAGCTAAGTCGATCGCACAGAACATGATCAAGATGTTTTCCCTCATCCTGAACTGTCAGCCTGTCAGTGAAATGATAAATCCATCCATCCAATCTCCGGCCATCCAGAACGGCGGCTTGTTCCAGGTGATGACGATGTATCGGCAGATGCTGGACCTGTTGCAGTTTGATGTGCTCCACCAGCACCTCACCCCAGTCTCCCTCCAGCTCATGCACCACACGGCCAAGCTTGTTCTAGAAAGTCCGGGTCTAGACCAGCTCGATCCTAGACTGAAGACCTTGTCAGGATGTTACACGCTGCTCAGGTTCTCAGAGAAGACGTTCAACAAGACCTATGTGTGGCTTCCCAAGTCGGTGTCCTCCAAGCCTTTCACTCCTCGGTCGGGGCTAGGAGGGACTGATCAGTATCAGCAGGGGAGGATTGATGGGGTGGACAACACTGCAGCATCCCAGCTCCTGTCTAAGAGGTGAGGCCTTTCATTTCTGTTGCTATGTACCTAGCTACTGAAACTCAATTTTACAATATGAAAGAAAAACAAAAAGTATTATAAATTCATGAATGTCTGTGTTGATGTCCTGTGTTTTCATAATTAGTCTTGTTTCCTTGCTTACATATGTATATAAAATTTACTTCTTATCAGAATTCCCACTGTTTTGAGGGTGTTTTCCCTATACTGCCAAAGCATGTTTCTGACCTACCAGCGTTTAGAGGGTACTGGCCACTATGGTCATCAGGGGCAGTCTCCTATCCGAGGATGTTGTCCTGTTGAAGTGCTTGGGGTCCACTCCTACTGATGCAGATTAACATCTCCTCATTCTACATAGTGTCTCGCTTGTCATTCAGTACTGGTGTCCAGTAACATTGCTGTGTAATCTGGTTCCAGACTGTCAGCCTCCTGGATGATGCTGTACAAGAACCTGGTACACTTCCAGACCCACCAGTGTCAGGGTGAGGCTGAATACAGACAGGCCCAGAACATCATGTGTCAGATCCAGGAGACCATGCAGCATATGGAGACACCCATACCCCAGCAGCTGTCCCCAGGATCAGTCATGGTGAGTCACCCATACCCCAGCAGCTGTCCCCAGGATCAGTCATGGTGAGTCACCCATACCCCAGCAGCTGTCCCCAGGATCAGTCATGGTGAGTCACCCATACCCCAGCAGCTGTCCCCAGGATCAGTCATGGTGAGTCACCCATACCCCAGAGGATCAGTCATGGTGAGTCACCCATACCCCAGCAGCTGTCCCCAGGATCCAGTCACCCATACCCCAGCAGCTGTCCCCAGGATCAGTCATGGTGAGTCACCCATACCCCAGCAGCTGTCTCCAGGATCAGTCATGGTGATCAGATCATGGTGAGTCACCCATACCCAGCAGCTGTCCCCAGGATCACCATGGTGAGTCACCCATACCCCAGCAGCTGCCAGGATCAGTCATGGTGAGTCACCCATACCCCAGCAGGATCAATCATGGTGAGTCACCCTTACCCCAGCAGCTGTCCCCAGGATCTGACACCCATCACCCATACCCAGCTGTCACCCAGGATCAACCATGGTGAGTCACCCATACCCCAGCAGCTGTCTCCCAGGATCAGTCATGGTGAGTCACCCATCCCCAGCAGCTGTCCCCAGGATCAGTCATGGTGAGTCACTCATACCCCAGCAGCTGTCCCCCAGGATCAGTCATGGTGAGTCACCCATACCCCAGCAGCTGTCCCCAGGATCAGCCACGGTGAGTCTAGCACCCATACCCCAGCAGCTGTCTCCCAGGATCAGCCACGGTGAGTCTGACACCCATACCCCAGCAGCTGTCTCCCAGGATCAGCCACGGTGAGTCTAGCACCCATACCCCAGCAGCTGTCAGGATCCCAGGATCAGCCACGGTGAGTCTAGCACCCATACCCCAGCAGCTGTCTCCCAGGATCAGCCACGGTGAGTCCCATACCCCAGCAGCTGTCACCCATACCCAGCAGCTGTCTCCCAGGATCAGCCACGGTGAGTCTAGCACCCATACCCCAGCAGCTGTCTCCCAGGATCAGCCACGGTGAGTCTAGCACCCATACCCCAGCAGCTGTCTCCCAGGATCAGCCACGGTGAGTCTAGCACCCATACCCCAGCAGCTGTCTCCCAGGATCAGCCACGGTGAGTCTACCACCCATACCCCAGCAGCTGTCTCCCAGGATCAGCCACGGTGAGTCTAACACCCATACCCCAGCAGCTGTCTCCCAGGATCAGCCACGGTGAGTCTAACACCCATACCCCAGCAGCTGTCTCCCAGGATCAGCCACGGTGAGTCTAACACCCATACCCCAGCAGCTGTCTCCCAGGATCAGCCACGGTGAGTCTAACACCCATACCCCAGCAGCTGTCTCCCAGGCTCTTCTGGTTTATGTAAAATTTTGTCACAGGTCATGATAAACTACACTTAAGGTTTCTTCCTGACAGCACTAAACAGAGAAAAGCTCCAGCAGATAAATTCCGGCCAAGTTAATAATTAAGAGGCTTAAACTAGTGCTTTAGTTTCTGTAGATTCTTTATTATATCTGGTGTTGATACTGGTGTTATTGATGTTGTAATTGTTGTAGGTGACAAACACAGCCTTGATGGCCACCACACACAGGCTGTGAATGCATGGAGCAAGCAGCTCAAGGCTATCGGAGGTGAGTGCAACATCAGACTCGAGATGAGGGTTATCTCAAATAATTGATAAGTAGATTATTCTTAATTTATTTACTGTTTTTAGGCTATCAGCTTTTACATGATGAATTGACAAACCTTTCAGATGCCAGTAATTGCATCAGGCAAGATACTCACAATTTGCTTTATAAAGACTCTGGCATCTGCACCCAAACACTGCTTTGAAAGAAGCGAGAAGTCAACTCTGTCATTAAGGATGTCACTGGGACCCAATTCTTCAGTTGTGACAGATGTCTAGTTGAAGGAATACAGATTCAAGCTTATGTTAATGTACTCCTGTTCTTCAGCCAAGGAGGACAGTAACAAGGCTGCCCGACTGCTACACTCTCTGCTGTATACATACCTGATACGAGGGGAACTACTCACCGCCGTCGACTTTGTAGACAGCCTCATTCTGAGAGCCAATGTCCCAGTAGGAGTGGACCCTGAGCACTTGAACAGGACAACATCCTCGGATAGTAGACTGCCCCTGATGACCATAGTGGCCAGTACTCTCAAAACACTGGTAGGTCAGAAACATGCCTTGGCAGTATAGGGAAAGACACCCTCAAGACACTGGTAGTTCTGTTAAGAAGGAATTTTTAAGTAGGGGAAGATAACTCTGGGCTACATAGTGATTAAGTCTGAAAAAACTGATTGGTCAGATATAAAGGGTTTTTGTGAGGGGGATAACTCTGTGGCTGCATAAACTGTGAAGCCATTATTAGGTCAGAGATAAAGGATTTATATAGGGGAGATAACTCTGGGCTACATGGTGGGCTACGTAGTGATGAACTGATAGGTCAGACTCAGGTATGACATTCTTTTTCATAGAGATTGTCCTTGGGGTACATATATGCATTTTCTGCCGCTGAAAATGTCATGTGACAGTTGTATCAATGTTTAATAAAAATATTGTACAATAAATAAAATCTTTTTTATTTATTATACCGCCCCCACCACGTGGAGTTACCTTCCTGCTACACATGCCCAGCCAACCAGGTAAGCACCCAGGCCCGTATCATCATTCAGCCTCCTGTTCTATTACCTTTGAGACCGGACATTCTCACTCAGAATGGCTCGCCATACCCCAATCCAAGGATTCAGTGGGTGGCTTGGCCTCTCTCAGGTCTAGCCTCTAGGCACGCGGAATTCCTGCAGCAGTTTCACACACAATTCTGGCTTCGAGGCAGGATTCGACAAATGTTCAGTATGAGGATAGGTGGTCCTGCTATACGCTTAGTCAGAGTTTTGGAGTTTCTGCAGTCTCGTTTGGAAGAAGGCTTGGTGGCTTCGACCATTCGTGTCTACTCCACCACTATTTCCACTTTTCACACCCGTGTCGATGGTACTCTTCTGGGGCAGCACCCTTTAATTCAGCTCTTCCTAGCTGGCGTGGATCAGGTTCGACCTGCTCTCAGACGTACCAGCCCACTTTGGGATTTGTCATTCGTGCTAGATTGGCTGTCCGGTCCTACTTTCTCACGTCTATCGGCTATTTCCATTCAGCTGTTAACATGGAAGGCCGATTTCCTGGTGGCGGTGACATCTGGGAGAAGGGTTGGTGATTTACATGCCATGTCTGCAGACCCGGCACTGACGGTGTTCCATCCCGATCGCGTCAGTATTCGCCTCCCGGATAGTTACCGCCCAAAGATCGATCACGCTTTCCATGTGACAGCTCCTATCGAACTTCCTACTCTTACCCAGCCTTCCACATTGGGGACCTCTGCAACAAGCACTCACCCGTTGGATGTCGATAAGACCCTCAAAGTCTATATCAAACGAACACAAGGGATCCATACGGGTACCCATCTGTTCTGCTGTTACGGTGGCGTGAAGGCTGGGGCTCCTGCCAGCAAACAGACAGTTTCTGGCTGGCTTGTGTGGGTTATTTGTGCTGTGCTGTGTCCTCTACGATTTCTCCCTATCAGATCACCTCCCATAATGCCTCTCGCGGAAGCTTTGGGGACACGTGACAGGTGAGTGTTATGGCGTGAGTAACTTTTTGTAATTACGAGATCGCTATTTATTTGTACTGTGCCAGAATTCCCTCCTCCCTAGCGTCCGGTCTTTGGGAGTCTGTGCATATATGTACCCCAAGGACGATCTCTATGAAAAAGAATTAGATAAACCTGTAGAGGTTTCCAGTTCTTTGAAGAGAATCGTCCTTGGGGTAGGGCCACCCGCCTCCCCGCAATTCTGTTTATGATTTGTTCAGGAGAAGGAATGATGATACAGGCCAGGGTGCTTACCTAGTTGGCTGCGCATGTGTATCAGGGAGGTAACTGGTGGGGGCCGTATAATAAATAAAAAAGATTTTTATTTATTGTACAATAATTTTTTTTAAACATTGATACAGCTGTCACATGACATTTTCAGCGGCAGAAAATGCATATATGTACCCCAAGGAAACCTCTACAGGTTTATCTAAATTTTGTGTTGGGGAGATAACTCTGGGCTGCAGTACCAAGTACCAAGAAGACACTGTTAGGTCAGATACTTATGGATTGAGCGTGATCCATGTATTTCTAGCTTCCCCATACTAATTACCCATGTGTCTAATGTCTGCAGTTTGCATAAAACAGTTCAGCATCCAGGTTTTACTCCCAACCTAATTTTGACAAGTTGTTATATGACCATAATAAAGAGACTGCCCAGCTTACTTCTTCACTTATTCATACAAAGCCAGGGTGTCATCATTATTTGACTACATCAGTAGGTGATGACATTACAAGTGTAGTTAAATTCCCTCTTTGGCATTTTTCCTTGGTTGTGCAGATAACATGAGTTTGCAATAGGCATTGATAGGGGTTTCAAATTTCACCTACACATGTTGTGATCTCAAACTCTGTGAAGTCACTCTAAGTCTCTGCAAATATGTTCATAAGGCTTGTGTTTTTATTCACTATGCTTTTGAGTCAGGTTTATATTCTTAATACTGTAGGTTGATCGTGACGATATGGCTGAGATATTGCCGATGTGACGTTAAATATTAACTCACTCACTCACTGTAGGTTGAATGATGAAAGTTCAGAATCATACACAGATCAACAATTTCTTAAAAGATTTATACGTTCAAATGAAAGAATAAAAAGCTTTTTTTCTAATTTGGCAGGCATTTGACAGTCCAGACATGGTTCCGTGTATCCGGGACAAGAGTATCCGGCAGCTGGTACAGACCATGGCACGCTTCATGGCAGCGTACTTCTCCAACCAGACAGTTTACGTCTTCCCTCCCCACAACCCACAGCCTCTACCTGCCATCCACTTCCATGCAGCTGTTGTCAGTATGTACACACAACCTTACTGTGGTGTTCGTTAAACTTGCTTCATTACTTATATTATCTTCACCTCTTCTCATGCAGTTTCAGTTTTTGTTGTGGGGTTAAACCTGTTATAATGTATCTGCCCTTAGACATCAAGTCTCACTTATTGTTATGATTGTATGCACTGTGGTTGTTTTCTGAGCAAGTAAATTTGCATTTCATGGAAAAAAATTGTAGTGGCTTCAGAGGCTGGAGGGCGGTGGGGTAGCCTAGTGGTTAAAGCGTTGGCTCGTCACGCCGAAGACCCGGGTTCGAATCCCCACATGGGTACAATGTGTGAAGCCCATTTCTGGTGTTCCCCGCCGTGAGGTTGCTGGAATATTGCTAAAAGCGGCGTAAAACCAAACTCAGTGAGTCAGAGGTTGGATGTCATACTTAGGAGATAAACCTAGTGTGTTTGAAAATCAGAGACATGTTTTACTGAATTGATGGCGACTAAATTTCAATTGGAACCCGAACCGTGGCGTGAGGTTTCAATTGATATATTTAGTCAGCCATCAATTCAATAAAGCATGTCTCTGATTTTCAAACACCTAGGAATTATCTCCATTCTACCATGAACCATTTAAAATCGAACTTCCTCGGCTCTGCGAGGAAGACACTGCGTAATCCGGCATGGGACGAGGCGAATTGAACTCGTCTGTGAAGGGGGCGGTAGGTGCCGTTAGGTATTTTTAAACATTACAACATAACAATATTCTGTCCAAAGAAATCAAACTACTGTTTATTCAATGCAATTGTGTAATACCGAGATCTTGGGTTTTTCATCCCAACTCCACACGACTAAAACCAGCCTATTGTTTTATGTGCCGTGAAACTGTACCCCCTGGCGCACTATAATGGAATCGTCTGACCTACTTATTTTCTTGAAGTAGACAGTTACGCATAACAGTTTGAAATGGCGGACGAGCCAGTGTTTACATTTTGCGAAAGGTTGAAATTTGAAGTGACAGTGGGCAATACTTGACTGACTGTCGAATCTGAACCCTGCAGAATCGAAGAATAGATCCTTTCCTGATCAACCTACACGACCTGTAACTCATCAAAGACTGTTGATTTTTATGACGGCCGATCATGATTTCCACGTACTGCCTCCACCCGACATGCGACAAAGGGTGACAGTGCTGCTGCTTAGTGTACATCGCGACTAACTTGTGATTCCTTGGAACTTTGTTTTCTTCGTTTGGGACTGGACTGTGTCCAGCGTTTTTCAAAGTAGATGAACATAACAGTGACAACCTTGAGGGAAGGTGGCAGAGAGCAGAATTTTTTTGTGAACTATGCAACGGGATATGATGGAGTATGACTATGAGTGGCATAAATGTGGTGTTTCGCCAGACCGTTAGATCTATCTTGCAAACTTCCCATTCTAAACGGAATTAAATATACCATTTACCAGGTAGGTAAATGTTTACTAATGTTTTGCTGCATATTTTGTATAAATAGGGATGTATTTTTACAAGGCTTTCTGATTTATATGTTAGATATTGTTTTGTTTATGTTTGGGGCTGTGTATTGTAACTGAGTTTGAATATTTTAATAATAGAAGGTAATATGATAGTGAGGTTCCTAAGTAATTGGGAGGAGGAGGAATCATATAATTGTATTTTCGAGTTTAAATAAATGTTTTATCAGCATTTCCATCTCATCTGTTGTGTTGATATTAGTCATGTTGGTGGTCAAGCTGAAGTAGTGCGGCAGTGTTCTATCGTCGTGCGCAGTGAAGCGCCAATGAAATCAAGCATTTTTAATCCAAAAATTTCCAATTGCCTATGTGGAATATTCGAAAGTCAGCATCAAAATCCATGGAGTTGTTGTTTTGATCCGCCATCATTGTGGTCAAACGGAAGTAGTTCTCACAATAAGATTTGTCAATGCGCGGTGAAGCGGCCTTACAATCAGATGAGCGTCAATCCACAATTGATGCTGTCTGATTTTTCTGAACAACCATCAGAATCTAGTATTTTCTTGATTCATGGTAGAATCTGCGGTAACTGGTGTTACAGTCTGTCTCTTCCAAATTGATGGATCAGATTTTTTGAGAGATGTGCTTTTCTCTTGTAAGACAATGTGTGAAGCCCATTTCTGGTGTCCCCCGCCATGATATTACTGGAATAATGCTAAAAGCGGCGTAAAACTAAACCCACTCACTCACTTACTCCTCTTGTAAGATGTAGTAAAATAATAGGTAAAACACAAAAAAAACATTTTGGTCTTTTTAAGTAACACTATTAGTATAAAGCCTGAAGTGTACATTATACGGAACCTAGCACAAAGGATACAGGATATAGACCCTAAAATATGCAGTAAATTATACACAGGCACAGTATTCTTATCAGTAATCAAGGAAATGTGCAGTGTATTAGGTAAGCCTAGGTATCTATGGTATGCTAAGTACAATAGTTATTTGTGAGTTGTTTTTCAGACAATCGGATAATTCCTCAGTACCACGAGGACATCACAGGAGTCATCAGGGAGCACAAGCTGGGCAGTGTGTGGACGGTGGAGCGCACTCTGGAGTATCTGCTGCTCAGTGGACTGGCCTGCGAGGCCACATGGTTTGCCGACAAGATGGGAGACTGGAAGGCTGCGTTCTTGATGGCTGTTGGATGTGTTCAGCACCATTTCACAGCCCCCAAAGTCTATGAGAAGTAACTACATTGTACATGAATGCATTTCAAAATATACTAATAACATGCATCGTCAATCACAAGTGTGCATATATGTATGGATTTGATGCTGCTTTTAACAGTATCCCTGCCATATGAATGTAAAGGATTGTATAATGCATCAAAGATAGTTTGACTCTGGAAACTCTTTGGCTGTGAAGGGATAATGCAGTTTCATGAATGTTGTTTTCTACAGAAAGCGGAAACCACTGACACTTCCAGATTCCCTGTTGCCTGGCAACATATTAGAGAGGAAGCTTGGCATACTTCTGGGAGAGACAGCAAGCGAGGCAATGAGCAAGTCTCGGCAGCTCACACAAGGTACGTCTGTCTGTTGTCAACTAGCGAACCAATCTTTGGGATGTCACGTATTGGGTAAATACTGCAGGTATAGTGGATTGATGTGAATGGATGTTCTGCTTTATTCCAGACTACATTGCTATCGATGAGGAGACAAACTTGAAACTCCTGACAAAGACTCTGGAAGATATCCTGACTGGGGCCATGGTTGGGAGGGTTGATGTCTTGCCAGGGTTACTGAAGACTCTCGTGGAGAAACTGAAGAGTGTTGTGTCAGAGTTGCCTCCCCTTGTTCCAAAGGATTTCTACCTACCTGCCCCGCCCCTCTACTGCCCTCAGCCTTCAGCTACAAGCCACGTGAGTCTACCTGAAGAATGTTGTGTGAGCATGGTATGATGCATTCTCTTCCCACAGAGGCTACTCCTGTCATATCTTTCTACGTAACCTCTGTTCTAATACGGCCCTTTCATGGTGTGAGCGTTCAAGACTCGTGATTGGAGGCAATCAGATTTAGTTGTGCAATCAGCGATGTTGTTTCAAAAGTGATCATTCGCAAGGCCTCGGTAATTTCGGTATACTTCGAGAAAACTAAACCTCTTCCCCTGCGCGATGCGCAAACGTTTCTTCTAGACAGAACTCAGTCATGTTTGGGCGAATCAGTGGCGTCTCCATCGCCCTCGTTGACAACGGACAAGCTAGCCATTAAACGTCTTGTGTGTAACATCAACACAAGTCCCCGGCAGATGGGGGATATTTGTGGCCTCACATTTGCTTGTGTTAGTCAAGTTGAATCTAAGTCGATGTAACACGTGTTCTGATTGGATAGAAAGAAGGGAGATAATTCGTGTTGCGATCTTTTGCCGCTAGGGGATTTTAGGAGAACCGGGAAATATGGCCGTATTAGAACAGAGGTTCGTAGGAAGACATGACAAGTAACCTCTGTGGGAAGAGAATGGGTATGATGAACAACCAAGATAACTCCATGGAGATACAACTTCATTTTGAAGTATATCCATAGAACTATCTCCCTTACTCACAGAAGTTGTCATTGCTCTATGAATGCAGCTTGGGGTGCAAATGTATTTTACCTATAACTTAACTTCGTCATGATGTCCCAGATATTTTGGAACCTTGGAACACTGCAGTATATCATGATGCTGATGTACGCAAATGACATTGTTGCCTGCAGGAGTCCATGAGGTCCGCAGTGGGGCTGGAGATGGTACTGCGGAGGAAGGCAGCATCTCTCATCCAGCTGATGCTGAGTTTCCTGCAGGCCAGTCATCTCTCCCTACATGTCACACACTGGTATATCGTCCGACTCCTACAGGCACAGCACAAGGCCACACAGTTCAAGGTCAGTGTGGGGTCAAAGTTGATACAGGTGCACCAGGGAGATAATTATGAGTAGAACCACCGAAGGGGTATATCAAGGATGTCGTGGCAAATATTCAAATGAGATCATACTTCTCCTGACTCAAAAGTAGGTGGCATGTGCATGAATTGACTTACAGCCTTTGTATTCTCACTTTTGAAGTCATAATCCCAGATAGCATTCAGACGTTGGCCCAACATTGGCAATGGTTTTGCCAACAATGCCAACGTTGAGCCAACGTCTGAATGCTATCTGGGATGTTGGTGATTTTAGCAACCATCCTTTTCCAGATTGAATCAACATCCACAGAGAATATAGATATAGGATCATTTTGAGAGTCAAAATATTTTGTTGCAAGTTATAATGAATATAAAAAATATATAAATGTGTGTAAATTGCATCTTGGTAGGAGGCAGAGATGGTGGGATTGCCTGTTAGATTTGCCATGGTCTATCAGCACCATGCAAGTGTGTGTGTGTGTGTGCTACAAGGAACTTGTGCCTAAAGCCAACTTGAATAGAGTCGTTAAGCTTGCTTATATAAAAGCAATGTAAATGCTGTAGAGATAAGTATAAGACTGACTTGTTCAGGCCAACACTGAAGGACCGTGTACAGAGCTGCCAGAGTTCCTCAGTGGACTGTTGGACAATTTGTCATCGGAGCTAAACTTGGAGGAACATGAAGATGTAGAATCAGTGCAGCTGGTGCTGTCAGCTTTCCGTGACGTCTGCTCCATGGTGTGGATGCTCCACGCCCGAGACAAGCTCTCCCTATGTCTGCGCCAGAGGCAGAAGTACCTGGACCAGCTCAGCTTCCGTGGACAGGGCAAGGTCAGTGGGAGATGGGCATTGTGTTCATACCAGCTGATATTGGTCGCTTTTTACCCCAAACAAATAATTATTTCAATATGGAATAATTGTTATGTACTTCTAAATAGATTTGAAGTCAATTGCTCACTTTATAGATCTTTGTAGATATAAATGTGAGAACTAACATGTTAAAATTTGTCTTCATTTTAAAAATAGCAGTGAAAGAGTAATTGATGAAATACAGAAAAACTGTTGGACTATTCATGCAAGAAAATCTTAATAACAATCTGACAGTGCTGTGCAAATAAGATTATCTATGAGACTACTTCAATAAATACTTCTGAACTGTAACATTTGGAAAGTTATGAATTGATTTCACAAGAAATGCTAACATCTGTGTCTAGATCTATCTGTGTTTAACCATGACAACTGCTTCCAGGAGAATGGGTCTGAGCGATGGCTACAGGAGTGTTTCACCAACCTGCAGTGGGCTGTCCACCTCCTGGCTTTCAGCCGCTTCTTGCCAGACGAGGGATGTGTGTACAAGGTCGTCCTTTCTCTCCTGCTAGAGCTTCCTCCTTCAGAAGACACAGCAGACATCTTAGCTGAGTATTTCTATGACATGGAGAACCTTGACGCTGAGGTGCAGGAGAAGGTGGACAAGATCCTGCATGAGTGGCAGACGGTCATTGTCAAGCCTGAGGATGATGGGAGATCAGCTAAAGTAGATGCTGATGTAGACGAAGATGATCCAACTGATGGAAGGAAATCAGTCACATTCTACCGAGCATCTCCTCGTGGAAAGTCTCTGTCTGCATATTTTCACAAGCAGTGTCAAGTTGCCGGAAAAGTTTTGAAGAAAAGGAGAATATGTTTTGGGAATTATGATGAGTTTGTTTTTACAAATTCATCAAAAAATCTTCAGACCTGAATATTGGTTCCAGGCCATTTGAGACAAAGAGATATTTCATTGAGTTCATGGACACTTTCTGTTCTGTCAGCTTTGGCCGTCTTGTGGAATCAGAATTAGAGAAACATATTCAGAAGAGATACCCTGTATTGTTGCCATGGGCAGAAGTTATCATGAGCAGAGAAATGACAACTTTTCTTGAAAGATCATCTCATGGAAACAAGAAACATTCACTTGTTGTACTGACACCGCGAGATGGCTCAGTCGAAACTCTGCCTAGAGGGAAGGACAGTTCAGTTTACCGGAGGAAAGGTTCTGTAGGAGACAGCGACCATATGCGGCTGATGAAAGCTAAAGGTCTCTTCCGAAGTAAGAGTGTGGTTGAAATGGGCTCATCAGATAAACCTTCTTCTCCAGTCCGGAGGTATGAAAGTGAGAATGGTATTGATGAGTTAGTAGGAACACCAGCTCGATCCTCAAGACAAGGCAGCCAACAGAACCTGTCAGAGTTGGCATCAAGATTTTATCAGTCTGAAGAGGCGTTGTACCATCAGGAAGATAACGATCATTTCTGGACCCTGAACGTCAACTTTGGCCGTCGCTATACGCCTCTGAAGAATCAGTTAGAATGGCTGGAGAATTGGAGCAAGAAGCCGCACTCTCTGGGTCTTGGGAAGAAGGAGACTCATTTTGATCTGAAACCCACCATGAAGATATCAATCCCTGCCCACCTCATCCTTCTGTCTCTGTGGCTCCTGGAGAACAAATACACTGCGAACCAACAACCGCTTCACCTTTCAGAACTGGAAGATACAAAGGCTGGAGGTCACAGGTCAAGGAGCAGACGACGCTTAACAGACAATTTAGCGTTCAACAACAACGCTTCCAGTCCCCCAGGTGGCATGACAAGATCATCTGTGTCCCCTAGGGGTAAAAGCCCCTCCAGAGAGTCCCTGGGGCTGAGGACATTGAGTCAGTCCCCTCAAGGTCGGGATGGAGAGTTGAAGTCTTCAGCAGTTCTGGATGTAGAGAATATGAATGAAATATACAAGCAAGTCCTTGATAGGTGAGTTTGAAGATTAACAATACAATACTTCTTGACCTAACTCACCATTTCTAAGTGTTAGTATTGGCACTCAACTTCAGCCATTGTGGATAATGCTGCAAAATATTAATGCAGTTTAATTCTTTGACAGTTTGATTTCAGCTTATGGTCTTGTTAAGTAAAACCAAATTTTTAAAGGTTATCAAGATTAAAGTGGCAAAAAGTGCTAATAAGTGTCTTAGGCTGAACATAGTTTCCTGTAGATTTATGTTGATTAATCATTATAACAATTTGATGATAGTAACATTTATCATGTTTATCAATGTATTTCAACATTAATCTGCATGTGATTTAGTTTTTAGATTTTTAGGCAGTTACACTTCTGTTGTATGGAATTAGTATGTTGATCAGCTATATTGCCCATGGGTAGTTTTATCTGATGCTCGGGGATAAAGTCATTTATTCCATCCATCCACAGCCGTGATGACAGCAGCTCTATTGATGTGAGTTCTCTGGCCAGTGATGAGCTGGATGGGGGACATCTCTCCATCATCAAGGGGTAGGTGATTTGTCATGCTCATAATAACAAGATAAAACCAGGACCGTGAAAGAACGTATATTTTTTCTTATCTTGACTCATGATCTTTTGCTTATCTCCCTTTCCTTTTCGAATGGTAGTGGAACACTTGAATCCCTTGAAGTTCCCGAAGCGGACGTAAAAATACACTCACCCACGAGTTACCTCCCTTTTGCCCTTTTCCCCGTGCAAACAGTCATGTGACCAGATTTACTTGCCACTCTCTCCTGAATTTCTGCCCATGCACTTGGATCTTCTGTGAAATCCGAAGTCTATAAGCAAAAGATCATGAGTCAGGATAAGTATAAAAATATCAATTTTACTTGAAAAATTACATTACCTTAATACCCCTTGAGTTGGCCATGGTGTCAAGACCAGGAGAATTAACAAAATGTATGAGTACATGGACACAGGTACCTGCTCAATCTAAACAGTGCTGGAGACAGTATTTGTTGCTGATGTCTAAGTTTAAAAAAGGAAATGGCAATGACAGCAGCTGATCTGTCATGATTCATTTACAGGGGAATATTTTCACAAATGTATTCATGGATACCCAAAGCCATTTAGATAGTGGTCAAAGGTAACATGTTATATTTGGGATTACAAATATTTGACACCGAAGGCCCAGGTTTGAATCCCCACATGGGTACAAGTATTTCTGGTGTTCTGCATGTGATGTTTTTTGGGTTGAGTATTCTAGTACGTATTCATGTTCAGATAATGAATCATGATCATTCATGAAATTTCAGATATGAAGCAAATTATGAAAATATCAGCTAAATAATATGAATGAGGATGACTGTGTTACACTAATGTAGTGGAACCCATGCTCTTACTGCAGTTGACTCATTTAATGTATTCGGTGTACTGTCTAGCCAGACCGCCTCCGTGGTGTAGTGGTTAGAGCGTCCGCCGGGAGAGAAGAAAATCTTGGGTTCGATCCCCGACCGCGTCTTACCAAATGACGTTAAAATATGGTACTTGTTGGTCCCTGCCTGGCGTTCGGCATTAATGGGTACAGCAAGGACTGGTCGGCTCGGAGTCAGTATAATGTGTCTGAGTGGGGTATTCATGCTTCACTGCGGCATGGTATCTCAGTGGGCTAAAACCAGCTTAAGTCTGGGCTAGTACAAGCAGGCACACATACACATACACACACATGCACGTCGTCATATGAGCGAAATATTCTCAAGTACGACGTTAAACCCAATTTCACCTCACCTCACTGTCTAGCCATCAGTTAATATTAAACACAAGGTCACAATGTGCTTCAAGGAAGCAATGAAGGATACCTTGTCCTGTATCAATGAACATCCACATCTACTATATACAGTTTTGTTGAATTTTGTTACCATATACTAGTACATAGATGCAGCATTTATGAAATCTCTCAACCCAAACCAAGGTGCGCAGAACAGTATTATGAACATCACCAAACATATTCACCATCCAGGTCCATAAATGTAAACAATATAATCAGTATGTTTGGCTTTAGAAGATTTAGACATTACAAACACTATGCCACCCTATTTGGTATTTTCATTTTAATCAGTCCCCCAGTAAGTTTATCTTAATACAAAATTGTTTGCCTAACTTATTCCACAATGATTCTTATTGGCTAGTATCGTGACTGATTCTTTTGAAAATAGTCTGATCAGAATCAAAATGTGTGTTATTTTTATCACGACTCACCAGGTTCTGTAGAAAGCTTTAAACCCAAATGAAGATGGGTTAGAAATGGTTTTCAGCAACCATGTTGTTTGTAAGAGGGATTGGATGGTCTGACTTGGTTGATGCTTTGTATCCCAATTGTGTATATCAATACTTATGATGTAAATCACTGGTCCAGTCTAGAATATTTACAGATGACCATCATAATGGCGCTTGGATTTTGCTGAGAGTGGCATTCAGCAACAACTAGGCATAAAACTAATAAGACTGTTGATAATGCTAGCTTCTTCCTCTACAGCACTGGCAGCCCTCAGAGAGGCAGTGTGTCCCTGTTGAACAGAACCATCCAGCTACCTGCACAGTCCCCGCAGCAGCCACTCAACTCCTCCCTCAACAGGACCTCCTCCTCCAGGGGCTCACACAGGGGAGGTAACTCCCGGAGTCCCAGGCAGAGCCCCAGCAGCACCACCAGGAGTCGGAAGGTCCGGTCTCCAAGCCCTGCCTTGAGGGAGTCGGAGAGTGCACGACATAGCGGAGGGTCGGCTGTCAGTGGCGATCTGGCCTCACAGCTGCAGAACATTGTGCGGTCAGAGATGAGGAGGATAATGGAGGTTAGTGTAAGTGACACAGTATCTGCTGTATCTATCTGTTCTCTATTGCACTGAATTATTTATTCTTAAGCAACAGATCTGTATTGATTTGATTACATGGATGCATAAAGATTTGCATTGGTGTTCATGAAAAACTTCACAGACTGGCAATGTATGTCTTCTCTGTGGATTTTTAAGGGTAATGTTTTATAAATGTCATCTGTTAGTTGTCCTCTAATAGTACAAATCGTTGTTGGTCTGTTTTATATCTGTGTCTTCCCAGATGAAGTATTTAAGACAGATATGAAGATTATTGTGGATAGTTATGCGAAGGGGTTTCATTTGGGAAAGTAGTCATATGTATTTTACACCTACTGATGATTGGAACTCACTTTTCCTGGCAGGTTCAACACCGGAGCTTGATGGCGATGATGGGGGCTATTGATGGTCCCGATGTTGAGAGCCATCCCATCACACCTCAACACCAAGCTCCATCCCACAGAGGTCATGATCTTCACCGCTCACAGCAACCACCAATAAGAGGGGTGCTGAGAGAGATGCGGAACTTGAGGACAACAACAGAACGCTCCCAACTTGGGCTTTCACCAGGGAAGGAGAATTCTCTGCCACTTGGTATATCTGACTTGAGACATTCTGCTGATTCTTCCTTTCCCAAATTCCTGCGAATACCAGCAGAAAGAGATATGAACGATGGCTTCAAACTACCTCACATCCCCATGTCAGCATGGAATGATCCAAACCAACAGCATGACAAGGGAGTTCCACAAATGCCATTACTTCATCTCAATCAGGCTCCATCCAGTTTCCTACAAAAAACTCGGGTCAGTTCCCCATCCATCCCCCACCATATGATCACGCTTCATCCGATCAGTTCCCTTCATCTCAACATGGCCACCTCGGGATGCCATTACTGAAAATGTCCAAGCAAGAGTCAGCCTTCTTGAACATCGGACAGACACCAGGGTTTGGCCGTTTGGTCCCTCCAGAGTATGTGATTGGTCACCATCAGGAGGTTCACCAGAGGGAGCTGGAAAAGCAGCGCCACCTTGAGGAGTTTCACAGACAGTACATCAAGGAGCAGACGGAGATGGACAAGCAGCGGTTCGGCCAGCAGCTTCTGAGTGTGAAGACGCAGCGAGCTCAGGAGGGCCATGTATTAAAGAAAAGGTAGAGATCGTCATGGAAACAGTAACAATGTGATTGATGTTAATGCTTTCAAACTTAAGACAGCAACTGATTTTCATCATCTGTTAAGCTCTTGACATATGGAGGTAGCACTTTATGTGTGATTTTCTTCCAACCACAGGGGTAAGAGTGGTGAAGTGTCAGTTGCGCCATATTAGCTTTGTTGACTCGTGTCCTGTAGTTATGCATTGGCTGTGACCCTGAGTTTATCAGCACCATAAATATGATCATGGCTTTAACCAAAGAAACACGTGTCTCTTTCAACTCCTCCATGACGTGACGGAAATACTGGCAGCACTGCACAATACACCTTTACTTACACATTTTCCCTTGCAGCTTGAAATGTACACAAGGAAGAAATAGATTTTTAAATTTATAAATCTGGCTGGCTGATCAGGCAATCGGATGTGTCCCTTACCATGTGAGAAATGTATGGTTATAGGTTGGTGTCCATTACTTACTGGTACCCTGATTATGTTTCTTGGTATGTCAGCAGCATGTCAGTTCCTGTGGGTTGTCGCAATGTCACACCACAACTTGCTTCACCTATCTTACATGACGCTTGCACGAAGGGAATGTTCAGGCTAACATCTTTATGTCGAAGTTGAAGGGACTTATGTTACCGGTAGTACTTTGTGTTAACCAAGGTTAGACGAAATCGAAAATGATGAATAAAGAAAGCATAGGGACCAATATTTTCCTTCGAGACTGCCCTTAGTTTGACACAACAGTGTTTGTAACTGAAATTGTACTTCAAGTGGCACTGAACCAAATTCACTCACTCATTCTTACATATTCTGTTATTTCCAGTCCAAGAAGAATCAGGAAAGTCAAGTCTCCCCCAGAAAAGCCAGCTGCTCAAGTAAGAGTCCAGTGGTTATAGCGTCTGCTCGTCATGCCTAAGACCCGGGTTCGATTCCCTACATGGGTACAATGTGTGACCCCTGCTGTGATATTGCTTGAATATTGCTAACAGTGGCATAAAACCAAACTCACTCACTCACTTTCCCCCACCTGTGAAGATCCGTGTTAGAATTAGTCTTCAGCAACCCATGCTTGTCTTCTGAGGTGACTAACGGGATCGGCTGGTCAGGATCGCTGATTTGGTTGACACATGACATCATATCCCAGTTCCGTAGATCAATGCTCATGCTGTTGATCACTGGATTGTATGGTCCAGACACGATTATTTACAGACCACTGCCATATAGCTGGAATATTACTGAGTGCGGCGTAAAATTAAACTCACACACATTTCCCACTTGTTCAGAAAGTATCAGTAAACATTGTTTCCATCAGTGGTAGAGGTAATTGAACTTTAAGCCACACTGAGATAGAAGAATGTTTCAAACAATGTCCAGTATGACACTGAAGCATGAAATCCTCAGTGAATGTAAGAGACTTGTTGCCTGTATGTAATGCATGAACAGGGTCAGGATGAGATTGCTTGTCTGTTTGTGAGGGTGTGTAATGATAGACTGGTCATCAAAATACTCATGATATCAAAGACAAGTGTATGGAGTCTAATGTTGACAAGAATATTGTTGTAGCATGAAATCGGTATAAAAACCAACTCACTGATTAAGTAATCATGAGATTTCATGTGTGAGTTGGATGAGTTCTGATGTGACTCTGTATGCAGAGTGTTGGCCGTGAAGAGTTGAGTCCAGAGAGACAGATGGAGAAGACGGAGGAGAAGATGGAGGAGAAACCGCAGCAGGAGGAGGTGGAGAAAGAAGAAGAGGAGGAGAGTGTTGATACAGAGGAGGAAGAAAGTGGGCAGGAGATTGATGATGGATATGCACTGAGGCCTGGTGAGTAGAGTTCATGACAGGCTTAACTTCAAGGTGGAGTAACTGCTTCACTCCAAGATGGGGTAACTGCTTCACTTCAAGGTGGGGTGATTACTTCACTTCAAGGTGGGGTAACTGCTTCACTTCAAGGTGGGATAACTGCTTCACTTCAAGGTGGGGTAACTGCTTCACTTCAAGGTGGGGTAACTGCTTCACTTCAAGGTGGGGTGATTACTTCACTTCAAGGTGGGGTAACTGCTTCACTTCAAGGTGGGGTAACTGCTTCACTTCAAGGTGGGGTAACTGCTTCACTTCAAGGTGGGGTAACTGCTTCACTTCAAGGTGGGGTGATTACTTCACTTCAAGGTGGGGTAACCTAGTGGTTAAAGCATATTCTTCACTTTGATTCTCATACCACATATGAACACTTTGGTGTTTCCTGCTGGGACATTGCTCGACATTGTTTGATTATTGTTCTTTGAATGACTCAAATACTCACAGGTTGTTGTTTTTCATTAACTGTACTCATGTCAGATTGAAAGTTCTTTGAGGGTTTGATTGTCAAGGGTCATTGTGTTTTTGTCACATCTGTCTTTATCACTTGAACTCTGTGGTTGGGTTTCCAGCAACCTTGTTAATGAATGGGATTGTCAGACTCAGGGAATGTTTCGTCCCATCATTCATTGCCTTTGTCCCCCTTCAGGTGCCTTTGATGCTTACCTGCACCTCGGCCGGGCTCTGGGAGTGAGGGACGACTCGGCTGCTGGCTTCCAGTACCAGCTGGCCATGAAGATGAAGGAACAACAGACCAGGAGGCGGAGGAAGGTGAGCAGTTGGGGATGGTGGAGGGGCAAGGCAAGGGGCAGGCATGGGTGAGGGGGTCATTTGGGGGTGGGGTGGGGGCAAGCTGAGGGTGGAGGAGCAGGGGCAGCAGGCTGTGGGTGATGGGTCATTTGGGAGGGGGCAAGAGGGCTGATGATGGAGGAGCAGTGGGCAAGGGTCAGGCTGTGGGTGAGGGGGGCAAGCTGTGGATGGAGGAGCAGGGGGCAAGGGGCAGACTGTGGGTGTTGGGTCATTTGGGAGGGGGCAAGCTGAGGATGAAGGGGCAAGGAGCAGGTTGTGATGTTACAAGTGTGGGATTACACAGGCTTCCAGGTATTGGGAATGAGTGACTCAGTTTTGGTCACCAGTGGCATGATGAGTGTGTTGATGGAATATGCAAGGGTCAGGGTCAAGGTCAAGGTCAGGGTACAGGTCCAGTATGGTGAAATGATCTTATGGGAGGTGTTATAGAATAAGAGTGTAGGCAGGAGAACATTATCCTACAATATATCACCCCTGAAACTGAATGAAAAATCAACATGGATGTTGTCTTTTAAGGCTGACTTAACAATTTATTACAGGTTGACTTTGCCACCATGACGAAAAGAGTTGGTTGATGGGGAGATGTTGACAGACCCGGCTATGGAGGTTGTACGCACAGCAGAGGCAGCCACATCGATAACAAGGGATACAGGTGAGATCAGGGGTTACAGTTGAGATCAGGGGTTACAGGTGAGGGTAGCAGAGAGATGTGTTTTGGACGTGAGGGAAAGGGGGTGGGGAAGGGGGAATGGGCACAGCTGAGGGATGAGGATAATAGAGGTTCAAGGTTGTTATGTTGAGACTCCACATGCACAGACATGAGTAAACTTTGTTCTTGAGAGGCATAAAGTATTTTATTAAACTTTTCCGGGCTTGTTCCAGGTGTTGACCCAATCCAGGAGGCCCTGATTGAGTATAACCAAGCCATGCAAGGGACGGTCGTGCCACCCGATGTTTTCCTAGGGCTCCGGTTCCGAGATGAAGAGCCTCAGCCAGGATCAGAAGGGGCTCCTGCAGTAAGTAGAGTGAGTGAGTGAGTGGATGTGCTGGTGAATTAGGTCTATGGGTGTGAGTCAATGACTGAGTGAGTGTGTGGGTGAGTTTTATTGGGGAATTCAGAGCTTGTGAGTGAGTGAGTGGATGGGTTGGTGAGTTGGGTTGATGGGAGTGAGTTTCATTGGGGCAATGACTTTGAGTGAGTGAGTGGATTTGTTAGTGAGTTAGGTCGATGGGTATAATTGAGTTTTATGTGGGCAATGACTTTGAGTTAGTGGATGGGTAAGTGAGTTGGTTCAGTGGGTGTATGTGAGTGTGTGGGTAAATATTATGGGGGGCAATGACTGAGTGAGTGAGTGTTAGTAATTCTGCCACATGTAAATACTTGGGTCTGGGACACCAAGTGACATTCCATCAGTCACAGAATGTTACAACCAAGTCCACAATAAGGACAGCTTGTACAACTTATAGGTTGCTGAGGAGTTTTTCATCCCCAGAACACTGAGATAGAGAGGATGAACAGTTTAACTTTTCCTGCAATATAATGACTTTGCGGTTACTTGGGAATAGTGGATGTGGGATAAGTGTTGAAGCTAGACTCCAGGATCATGGATGAAGAAGATCCCCTGTACTCACATGCCTAAGCTACTCTTTACTAATGCAGATGGAGCTGATAGTGGCTCATACACCAAGGTCTTGAAATTCATCGAGATGTTTTCTAGGCTGATCCTTTCCACCCACTGATGAAGCTGTATCTATAGAACAACACTGTTCATCATTTCCTGACATGTTTGTGTGTTGGTATGAGACATCAGTTGTCTGCTGTAGGCATGTGTGGACATTGCAACATCATCTTCCACAGTCATATGAGTGAAATATTCTTAAGTACGACGTTAAACCCCATTTCACCTCACCTACATCATCTTCCAGGAGAAGGGCCCAGGTCGTTCCTATCTAAACGTGGTGGACATTCGAGCATCTGCTGTGATGAGAGATCTGAATGAGAGATCGGCTGAGGAGAGGATACAGCCCGACGTCAGCCTCAAACCTTCCTCCATCTCGGCTACTGCAGCACGCAGAATGGGCCAGACTATGGGTGAGTCTTCCTTCACAACTTGCATGACCTTGCATGAGTAATGTAACCTTGCATGAGTAATGTGACCTTGCATGAGTAATGTGACCTTGCATGAGTAATGTGACCTTGCATGAGTAATGTGACCTTGCATGAGTAATGTGACCTTGCATGAGTAATGTGACCTTGCATGAGTAATGTGACCTTGCATGAGTAATGTGACCTTGCATGAGTAACGTGACCTTGCATGAGTAATGTGACCTTGCATGAGTAATGTGACCTTGCATGAGTAATGTGACCTTGCATGAGTAATGTAACCTTGCATGAGTAATGTGACCTTGCATGAGTAATGTGACCTTGCACGAGTAATGTGACATTGCATGAATAATGTGACCTTGCATGAGTAATGTGACCTTGCATGAGTAATGTGACCTTGCATGAGTAACATGACCTTGCATGAGTAATGTAACCTTGCATGAGTAATGTGTCCTTGCATGAGTAATGTGACCTTGCATGAGTAATGTGTAATGTGGACCTTGCATGAGTAATGTGACCTTGCATGAGTAATGTGACCTTGCATGAGTAATGTGACCTTGCATGAGTAATGTAACCTTGCATGAGTAATGTAACCTTGCATGTAACCTTGCATGAGTAATGTGACCTTGCATGAGTAATGTGACCTTGCATGAGTAATGTGACCTTGCATGAGTAATGTGACCTTGCATGAGTAATGTGACCTTGCATGAGTACCTTGCATGAGTAATGTGCCTTGCATGAGTAATGTAACCTTGCATGAGTAATGTAACCTTGAGCAATAACCTTGCATGAGTAATGTGAACTTGCATGAGTAATGTGACCATGAGTAATGTGACCTTGCATGAGTAATGTGACCTTGCATGAGTAATGTAACCTTGCATGAGTAATGTGACCTTGCATGAATAATGTGACCTTGTATGAATAACATGACCTTGCATGAGTAACGTGACCTTGCATGAGTAACGTGACCTTACATGACGGCATTGTGCATCTGTTTCTTGGCAGATATACATCAAAACGTATTGACATGTTACCTGTTAGATTTAGGTGATTAGTTGAGAGTCTTGTATTAGTGATAGTTTGACACACAGACACGTACTTGCTCTGTCATGTGACCTTGGTGACAGACACCTGCTATCATATGACAAGCCTAGTATTGTTTCCTATCATGTGACAATTCTTCCATCATCTGACAGACTACTATCATGTAACACTCTGTTCATCATTTACCAATCTTTCAATCCTGTGACAGTTCTCCTGTCATGATACAGTCCTCCAACTCTGCGATAATCATCACATGATGTGACAATCCTCTGATCAGGTGACAATCCTCTGATCGGGTGACAATCTGATCGGGTGACAGTCCCGCATCGTGTGACAATCCTCTGATGATGTGCGCTATCCTGCTTGTGGCTCTGTGTACTCAATGATGTTTCTGTGGTAGATGCTGTGGAGCAAGGTCTGCGGGAGGACCTGGAACCACCTCGGCGGTACCACCATGATGCCGTCACCGTCCGAATGTTTGAGTCTCGGCAGGCTGGGGAAGACAGGTTTGTGAATCTGGTTGTTCATGCTATGCTATAACGTGTTTATTATCTGATAAGATGTCAGTTACCCAGTCCCCTTTAGTAACGACAGACTCTGACTCTTTATCAGACAGTTTACTGACTATTATTCAATAAATATAACCTTGTTTATCATGTGACAGTGTGTCTGTTGCCCTGATGCCGAGAGGAAGTATGAGGGAGTCAAAGGTGGCCATGATCCGACGACTTCGAGAAATGAATGAGCAGATGCGAGCTATAGACGAGATGTCCAACAACATGGAGTCAGACTTCATGAACACCCATCTTGTAAGTCGCAGCGAGTTTATGTTCCTCTTTGGGCAGGGTTTGTGTTCCATTTTGTTAGTGTAGTTGATGGAGTTTGATGAGTTAATTCTGAAATAATTTTGAAAACTTGATTGCATTAATCTTTGTTTACAATTGATCAGATGTCAAAAGGCATTAATAAACAAGATAAATGTGGAGATATTAACTCTTCATTTGTTTCCAGATGCTCAACACACTGGATGCAATGGTGGATGCTGCTCATCCTTCAGCTCAAAGGGAGGTAACTTCAGATTCAAGAAGTTCATCACCACTAAGAGATTCCAAAGAGGCAAGTCTTTTCATACCTATTGCGTGAGAAATTACATTACATTTTATGGCCACATTATTCCAGAAATATGTTTTAATAAACTATTTGCTCCACTTTGACTTGTGCTGACTTCTGTATTTGTTTCAAACAGGGACGTGTATCAGGCAGACTGACACCAAAGTCTTCCCAGAGGTCTCCTCAGCCGAGTGCCAGATCGGTACGGTCCAAGAAGTCAACTAGAACAAGGTAACAGACAACATACATCATCACAGGACTGCACTGACCATGTCCACAGATGTCACCTAAGTTTTAAGGGTGTCTGTTGGCATGATTTTGTAGTCACTGTGTTATTTAAACTGTATAAGGATTCATGGCCTAAAGGGAAGGATGTAAAGGGTCATCCAAGAATTGTAGATTAAAAATCACACTGACAAACATGAAAGATTTGAAACAAGAAATAAATTAGTTAATCAGGACTTTCTTCTTCAGACTGAAATCAAACAAATGCTGTTAAAAGAAGCTACTTGAAAGCAACACAGTCCCTTGTGAAAATCAATCTCAGCATCCTCTTACTTGTTTCATATCAGATGGGTTGCAATATTAGTTTAAGGAAATTGTGCACGTTTATAGGTATGTGAATGATTTGAATGAAAGGAAGATACTAGTCTTACAACTAAAGTCAGCTCTGCTAAATATTCTATATGTGCTCTGCTAAGTATTCTGCATGCTGACTGACTCTCTGCAAGAAAGTATAAGCCCATATATAACACATTTAATGTATTTTTATTCAGTGCTGATGCAAGTCACATGTCTGGTCTAAGTGGCATCAGCGACATCATCGGTGAGGTCATCGCCGGTGGTGGTGTTGACCTTGCTGAGGCTGGAATAACCACTGCAGAGGCTGAGATGTTGGCTTACAAAGCCAAAGGGAGGTAAGTGCTGCATGGATCTTGATCATGTGTAAAGGAAATGTCACCTAACAGTACCAACAGGTCCAGATTTCTTAGAAAATGAAAAGGCATCTCTAAATATTCAGAGAACAGTGTCAGTTCATTGAATAACATCCAATCATGGTGTAGTATGCTTATCAGACAGTAGATCTAGTTCAGCACTGTGCAGTTAGGTTAAAGTTAAGCACATCCTGACACCTCAAACTGAAGACAGCTGAACAGAGATGAGTGTATTCACCTCTGATATTGTCGATGTTGTACAGAAGCGCTGCAGTGGATGAGAGGGTACGCATGAGTGTGGAGAAGCTGCAGCAGATGGTGACACAGGCGCACGGGAATGCCAACCAGGATGAAGCTGAACGCCGGAGGGAGCTGCAGGACTGGATGGCAGAGAAGTACTCGGAGAGGCAGCAGGAGTTCCTCAGACAGAGAGCTGAGTTACGGGAGAGAGAAGTCAGCCCATTCAAACCCAGCAATCTTGTTCCAGAGGTATGTGTAGAAGAAATTATTGATTTACTCATGTCACATGATGAGATGAGAGTAAGGGAGTGATCAGGGACAGATAACTCTGATTGGTAACCAATGACAAGGACCACCTAGGAGGTAGATGAGGCATGTTTTGGGTTGTCTGTTATATTATTATAATAATAATAAGAATAATAATAAGTCATCTTCTATAGAGCACACTCTACAAACACCAAGTGATTGCTTATGGCGCTTTATCAGAATCTGATGATTAATACCCCGGATAACCCAAGCTGTCTGTTAGGCGCTAGAAGGTTATAGTCATATGACTTTATCCCACCGGGTACCCATTTTCTGCTGGGTGAACAGAGGCAATTTGAACAAAGTCACTTGCCTAAGGTGAGACCACATGTATCACATGTGCTTCGTTGTGGGGCAGGACTGAAGTCCTAGAAACTCTCAGGAGTCAAGCTGCCAAACACGGTCACCCATCCAAGGATTGTCCGAGCTCAACGTTGCTTAACTTCAACTGATTCGTGACCTGAGCTCTGTGCACAGGACCACATGCCATATCAAATTGAATGGAGCAAAGTATTTTTTAAAAAAGTGAGATTTCACTGTTAGCAACAGAAAGTTCCATTTACACTATTCCGGCTCTCAGTAAATGTTGTGAAGCCCATTTCTGGTGTTCCCCACTTGATATTGCTGGAATATTGCTAAAAGCAATTACAGTACACCAGGGAGGTGTGGATCGTAGGATTGGTCCTTGATACCAGAGCCAGTCTAAAGTACACTCACTCACTCACTCACTCAGTAAATGTTTCATGGCAGTGTCCCTAATGTCATATTGAAACTGTAATGCAAAACAGTTTGGTTTCATACTCTGATGTATCTACAAATGTTGATGGTTATTTTTAAACATGGTTGTTTCATGACGTAGGCAACACTAAGGAGCAGAGCACTTCAAGAAGCAGAGAAGGAGCGGACAGCCTTCAGGAAGAACACTGGCAAGGAGAACATGGAAAGACGATTTGAAGAAGCTGAAATGCTTCTTGGAGATATTTTGGTTGACAAGCCACACCTTCCCAAAGAACAGCCTTCACGGAAAGCTCCACGAAAAGTTTCACCCAAGCGGACATCCTCCCTGTCACCAAAGCGTCCTTCAACTCTGACCCCCAAAATTAAGAGGAAGACTTCTCCACCAAGGGCAGGACAGAGGGTGCTTCAACCAACGCTGACCGATGCAAGTCCAACCATGTCACTTAGGTCCAGGAACCTGGAGAGAACAAGGGTGATTCAAACTGACCTCAGGAGGAGCAGAAGTCCTGATAGTCCCACGAGGAAGGGAATCCTGAAGACTTCTGACAACTTTGAGGAACGACCTGGACGTCGGGATGATGTTCTCACCTTCTCGGAAGAACTGTTGTTGGAGCAAGGACTTGATTCAGACTTTGACCGAACAGGAGGTTCCACAGCAGGTTAGACTCTCTACTGATGTGTTGTGAAGGGATGCTTGTGTGTTAACTGGTAGGATTAGGCCATGGAAGACTCCCAAATAATCTGCAGAATTGATATCTGATGTATCTGTCCTGCCACTTAAACTGATCTTTCATCCCATGTAAACTTTCTTAATGCTCTCATGAGAACGGGGTTGCTGTAGAAAGGTTTTGGACACAATAAGTCAGTGGTCATTTTAAACAAAGTGACAATAAACACAGGGTTTGTACCTGAGTACATCAATCTTATCAGATCAGTTAGTTTGAGTGAAAATAGTAGGGCTGTTTACAATTCAATCGCATATTCAGTGAATTGAGCTGAATTCAGTTCATTATTTGTGATCACTTGAATCGAATATTCATTAATTTTGAAAAGCAGAGCCATTAAGTATTGAAACATTTCATTGATGTTTTATTACATGGGGAAATAGTTTTGGCTAATTGCCTTTCCTAGCAAATTTTGATCAATGAACTAATCTCTCATTTTGTATATCAATCATGTACAGATAATCCAAATGACAGAGACACAGTCTCCGTTACCATGGATTCCAGAATGATGGACTTCTCACATGTCTTTACTCTCTTCACCAGATCTCCTGAGTTACGCTCGGCATGTGGAGGAAATGGATGACAAGCCTCTGCCCTTTGAGCGCTACAGCAAGGACCCCACATCAGAACCTAAGAAGGACAACGTCCCAGTGAAGCCCTACAAGCCTAAATCCTTCTCCGAGCTGGTGAGGCTGCAGCAACCGGAGAAGCTCCGTAAGAGGTCCAGTGAAGAGGTCGGGGCCCAGCTACGTGGAGAGGCTGTCCAGTATGAGCCGACAGAACACAGCACGAGACTCCACAACCGAGGAGAAGGAGAGGCTGTATGGTGAGTGTGATGGATGGACCAGGACCCTAGTATCCATAGTAAATGTGACACTTTCCTGTGGATATTACAATATCATCAGCTGTTTCAAAGAACTGGGAATGGGTGTTCAGATTATCAACCATTGGTGTGAATGATGGCACTCTTCTGCTGTTGTGATGCCCATTATGGGATGCATGTTCAGACTATCAACCATTGGAGGGAATCATGGCACTCTTCTGTTGTTGAGATGTCCATTATGGGATACAACCACTTCTCCCTGGTCCCCGGGTTCATTATACTTTACACACTGTGAAAACATTCACAGTCACTGCCGTTTGTTGTACATGTTTTTGAAGGGAATAGTTTCTTGTTGATTCTGTTTAGAGATGTGAGTGAAGGTCTGTTAGAGGGATGTAATTCAGATATCTAGGGATTAGTGTCTAGTCCAAGTTTCTTATGATAGTCATAAACTTTCACTGACTGAAAGCGACAGTAAAATGTGTCCCTTGTTTCTGATACAGTTAAGTTCCCTACCATGAATCCTGCAGAAATGAAGTGCTATATCACAGAACAACAGTGTTCAAACCCTTGCCTTATTAGGCTTGACTTAAAGATTGGTTGACTGACAGGATACAAGGATGTAGCTGGTGGATTTCAAACAGATGATAGTATAGTGTATCCCAACTTTATCTGTAGGTTCTAAACACATCCCTGGCACAGCACGGAAGGCAGACACGGGACCACGGCGGGTAAAGACGTACGCAGAGCGTCTCCAGGAGATGAAGCCACGGAGGCAGTACTCTACACCTGTTGTCCCTAGACAACATGTTCCCGAGTCAGGTGAGAAGATACACATTCCTGTATTGTATTACAGTACACCACTGTGGGTAGGGATTGGTCCTTGATACCAGAGCCAGTCTAAAAGTACACACACTCACTAACTAACTTCAATGTGGTCTTTAGTCATTTTCAAAAAAGGGGGTCTACAAACCACTATGAAAAAACTGGATTATTGCTTACAGGCAATAAATCATCTTTACTATGTTTAGATATACATCTTCAGTGACACCAGGAATGGGCTTAACTGACTGACTGACTTTTAGCAATATTTCAGCAACATCACGGCAGGGGACACCAGAAATGGGCTTCACATATTATACCCATGTGGGGATTCGAACCCGGGTCTTCGGCATGACGAGCCAACACTTTAACCACTAGGCTACCCCACCGGCCCGAAAATGATGTGATTGAAAGTGAAGTGTGATCATGCAGTGATTTCCGTAACCCATTGGACATTGTTACTTTGTATTACTGTAATATCTTCCTGCTCTGTGAAACCAGGACGGCTTTGTCTTTGTTCTAAGTGCATTGAAACTTCACGTTGAGTCAAGGTTGTAGAAGGGAAATAGCTTCTGAAACTATTCACAAAATGAACTGCTGACAAATACAGTGAACAAGTGATTAGAGATGAGGCAACTTGTATTTGTTTTTTGATTTTACCATCAATCATTATATTATTAGGATATTTACCTACATAATAAAACATTGCCAGTCATCTAGAACATAGTTTCTGTAGTCTATTGTTGTACACACTGGTATTAAAAGGCTCATCTATATTGTGCTTGGGCTGAATATTGGCATAATGGAAACTATGTTTAGGGACCACTCATATTCTTTTTCAGAAGAAGTCCTCCTTGGGGTACTTATAAGCATTAAAATGTCCATTTTAAATCCTACGACAGTTGTAACTATATTTTTAATAAAATATTTACAAAACAAAAAACTCGTTTTGTCTTGTGAGACCACCCCTACAGGGCCCCACCGGACCAACACAGCCAAGAGCAGGTAACTCTCGCCGTCTACCTCGTACCTCACTTTTCATGCTGTCGTTCTGTTGAATAGACGTGCGTGGTGTTCGTTTCGAGTTTGCTCTCCTACCGATACGATGAGTGTAAAAGAGTCTCAATCTGTATGTATGGTTCCTTTCTCTACGCACGGGCGTTAGATGGACGTCATATGTTGATATTTTCATTCATCTTTTGTTGTAACTTTGCCGTGGGTTCTCTGTTTTCCAGCCATGTGGCAGGCAAAATGGCGGACCACGCGATCGTGGTTTCCTTGCTATATGTTCTTGGTAGCTTGTAGTAGGGAGTTCATATATTATGTTTGCATATTATATGGTAGGCTTGCCTAAATTCTCTTTCTTTTCAGCGAATTTGTGGTAAGTCGTTGTTGAGTAATTTTGATAGTGTTCGTTTCGTATCACTCAACTTTACTCTAGTGTAAACGCAGGGGTGGCTAGCCTTTTTCTGCTTTGCATTGTATGTTTAGTATTTAAATGGCTGTAGCTTGTAGCATTTATATATCGCCCGTGCGGGTTATTCTTGCTATTTACTTGTGTTTATGTGTTTGCTGCTTCACAGTTCCTGCTAGTAACACTGGCGTGGTTCTGTTTGTTGCAGTTTAAGCCCTGGGCGTTGTGCCGTGCACAATACCGCCACAGGATGGTTATAAAGTGTGCCTCCGGTGTTTAGCCGAGGACGCTCACGTCGATCAAGGATGCTCATAATAAACGCCCTTGCGTCAATATTCCTGTTACATTATGTTGTGTTATGTTACACATATACACATTTCATACGTTTACACACAACGTGGCTCATAGGCCGAGGTTGTGTTTTTTGTCTGGGTTTCTGCGCCTCACGCGCATTCTTTCCGACACGCAGATTTTATGTTTTTCACTAATCTGCTTCAGGCGGGGGATAATATTTGATGAAAGGTTTCTAAGGAAATCCCTTTATCGTTCCCCCGCAAACAATGTTGCTGACTTAAACGCCCGGGTTTGTTTCGAGGAATACGGAAGCGGAGTTGAGGTGCTCGTTAATTCAGACATGTTTCCAGACTCCATCGGCAAACGTTAAGTTGCCGACTGCTCGGGTTACTATATTCTGCCGCAAACACCGGTCGGAGGGTCAGACCTCCAGTGGCGGCTTCGGCCCAGAGACGGCGACAATACCCGTGCCGAGATCCAGTCTCTGCGCCGGTAGGCTAGGTCTCGGCCTGATGTCTGGTGGTTGCCAATGGTCAGGAATTTGTGGGGTTTGACTCCATTTATTTCATCGTTGCCATTACGAACGGAATGTTCAGACCCATTCTCATCTGAGAGCTGAACAAGTTCATAGAGGTATGTCCTTAAAGATGGAGACACCGCGCTCGGTGATCTCGAGACAGGGGATTCGCGCACGTCAATCGACCTCGAGGTCGCGTACCTCCTTGTTCCATTGCACCCTGATTTCAAGATTTACCTTCGGTTTCTTGTTTGACGGGACGTGCTACCAGTTTCGTGTTCTCTCCTTAGGCTACATTACGGTGCCAAGGGTGTTCACCAAATTGAGGTTTATTACAGCTCAGATAGCCAGATCGCAGTGCCGGTGTTGTCACCCGTACATAGGCGACTGGCTCATCGTGGTTTCAGAATAACTGTTGAGTCTGGGGACCTCACGATCAGTGTTGGTCACTCTTACGAAACTGGGCGGAATTGTCAACCTCACGCAGTCAGATGGACAGACGTCAGGCGTCTCTCCGAGGGTCCCCACCCCTGGAGACACCGTCGCTCTCAGTCCAGCCAGATACATCCCTACCGGGTTAGGGCGATGTTCTGGGTGACCTGCAGCCTCTTGAGACGAAGTCACAACCTGCACATCAATGTGCTGGAATTGACAGCAGTCAGGTTGGTGTTCGATCCCGCACGCCGGGATTCGAATTACCTCTTCGGCCAGACATTCTCACTCTGAACGGGGCGCAACACCCGAATCCTTGGATTCACTGGGTGGCTTGGCCTCTGTCGGGTATAACACAGCAACCGTGGCAGACACAGTTCTGGCTGGGATTCGACACCGGTTCAGTGTGCTGATAGGTGGGGCGCGCTGGTGTGCAGATAGGGGGATTTCATAATCCCTATTCTGCGGATTTAGTTCGGATATTGGAGTTACTATAACCTCGTTTTGGTTGAGAGCCTTATGACCTCCACCATTGCCGGGTACTCCATGGCTATTTCCACCTTTCACACCTCGTTCGATGGTGCTCTGCCTAGGCAGCATCCTCTCGTACATCGCGTCGTAGCTGGCATGAACAGGGTTCGACCGCCTCGTCGGCGACCCAGCCCACCTTAAAATTGCCACTTATTCACAATTGGCTGTCTGGCCCTAATTTTCAAGTATATCGTCTCTCTCACTTCACTCGTGGAAGACGACTTTACTTGTGGTGAACTCTGGTAGAAGGGTCGGGTACATCCATGCGATTCCCACTGACCCGACACTGACAGTATTTTATACTGATCATGTCCGTATTCGACTCCCGGATACCTACCACTCTCAGTGCGATATTGCTTTCCACGTGACTGCTCATATCGCACTTCCACCCCTTACCCAGCCTTCCGCACCGGGGACCAATCTTTCGATTGCTCACCCGTGCCTGTCACGACCGAACGAACAAAAGGGATCCGTACGGGTACCCATGTGTGCTGTTTGGTGGCGGGAAGACTGGGGAGTCTGCTAGCAAGCGCACTTTATCTCGTTGGCTTGTTTCCGTAATTGTATGGTTACAATGATAAGGTTTACCTCCCCCCGAGGGGTTGAAGGCAGACTGGGTAGGGCAGATGCCGCTTTGTTGACAATACACAGCGGCACTGCTCAATGAAGAGATCGGTTCTGTCGCTCTTTGGAGCCAGCAGAACGCCTTCATTCGCCATTACCAACTTGACACGCATTCTAAGGATCGTGCTCGGTTCGGTCTTTCGGTTCTCTCCAGTGGAGAGTGACCTGCCACCCTGACCAAGTTAGTAACTGGTCATTGGTATCGGTTCTGTGTTCAATGTCGATATATTTCATATCACTACATCGTATTAGCCTTACCATCCTTTCGGGTTGGGTCGGGTTTGGGTGTACATACGTCCCTTACGTCCCCTTCAAGAGGGCGGGGTCCGTTTTGAACGCTTTAACCAGTCATATGCTATTAACCCGTCTTGCGACGGAATTGGGTACGAACACCCCACGGGGCACTGTTTGGTATGCCTCTCTTCGAGCCGCATGTCACGTGACCAGGTTAGTGTAATGGTGAGCCAACACATGTTCGGCTACGCTTTTCGCTATTCAGGGGATTTTTGTACGCTTACAGTTTTTTTTTGTACGCTTACAGTATTTGGGAGTCTGTGTTAATCAGCTTTGTGGGATGGTGGTCTACACTTACCCTCCTCACGCCGAGAGTGTTTGGTGGGGGTGTTTTTCACTCGTACAATGCATGGCGTTTGTACTCGTTCGATTTCCTCAGAAAGTTTTAGCGAGGCTAATAATTTCTCTGGGTTTTATCGAGGTCCCGGCAAGCCCTCTTCCAAACAGGGGTGCATTCGAGCATTAGTTTGCAGTACTTATTAGCTCGACTCCTGGGTTATTGGCTTTGTAGCGTTTAAATTTTTTACGCTTTCCCTACCCTTATACCTCTCGCCACGCTTGTCTGGCTGGGGCTATATTAGGGTTGGGAGTTGTTTCGGCATGTCCCCATACATTCCTTCCATTGTAATGGTTGGGGGCGGGGTTTTATGTCATTGATATTGAGCCAATTGACATATAAGCTTGGGCTCTCTAGTTCCCGCCCCCGTCTGATTGACATCAGCGGTCAGGTGGGTCGGTGTTTTCTATTTCCGTATCGGTTGTAGATTTCACTCCACCACGGGTTTAGTTGTTGCCAGACAGAATGCCACTCCCGTCTCAAATATCTTTGGGAGTCTGTCATATGCTTATATGTACCCCAAGGAGGACTTCTTCTGAAAAAGAATTATACAAACCTGTAGAGGTTATGAATTCTTTGAAGAAAGTCCTCCTTGGGGTACGGCCACCCGCCTCCCCTCATTCTGTCTGACACGTTCAGCATGAAAAGTGAGGTACGAGGTAGACGGCGAGAGTTACCTGCTCTTGGCTGTGTTGGTCCGGTGGGGCCCTGTAGGGGTGGTCTCACAAGACAAAACGAGTTTTTTGTTTTGTAAATATTTTATTAAAAATATAGTTACAACTGTCGTAGGATTTAAAATGGACATTTTAATGCTTATATGTACCCCAAGGAGGACTTTCTTCAAAGAATTCATAACCTCTACAGGTTTGTATAAATTTAACTGCAGCTTCACGGTTGGCAGGGGCGTGATCGTGAACCAACCCCCACCGCCCGAAGCACAAACCCCAGACCTATGTGGAACAGCTGAAGAAACTGAATGCCAGTTCTACCTCACGGAGAACACTGAAAGGTGAGGTACTCAGGGGACTGAGGAAGAAAAGTCTCATCATACTTGTACTGGGAAATTCGGACTCTACTTTTCATATACAGCATACTGTAGTATCAAGGTGTGGTAGTTCTCTGGGCGCTGATAATCTACCTACCTGTTGGAAGAGCTGCTTACTGAGGGGTTGTCTGTGAACATACATGTTATAACTAGTTGGCAGCAGCCCATGCTTGCCATAAGTGGCAGCTAACGTGACGGTGTGGTCAGGACTACTGGTTTGTTTGAGGCATGTCATACTATCCCAGATGTGTACATCGATGCTCATGATGTCAATCACTGGGTTGCCTGGTCCAGACACAATTATTACAGACTGCCATCATCTAGCTACAATACTGCTGATTGTGGCTTTAATCAACAAACAAAACTAATAAGGATGAAGTCATTAAAGCGTATCACCAGGCTGATCGATAGCTGCTCAGGCAGATGACAACTGGTTGTTCCCTCCTGGCAGGATCAGTGTTGTTGTGATCATAAATATCTAATAGGCTCCAAAATCCAACTTCCAAATGATTGTCAAAGAGGAGCTGAAAAAAGATCTGTGGTTGTAGTGGTCTAGTGGTATATTGGTTGGAGTAGCGATGGTGTGGTCTATTGGTTGGAGTAGCGATGGTATGGTCTATTGGTTGGAGTAGCGATGGTGTGGTCTATTGGTTGGAGTAGCGATTGTGTGGTCTATTGGTTGGAGTAGCGATGGAGTGGTCTATTGGTTGGAGTAGCGATGGTGTGGTCTATTGGTTGGAGTAGCGATGGTGTGGTCTATTGGTTGGAGTAGTGGTTGGAGTGGTCTATTGGTTAGAGTAGTAGTTGGAGTGGTCTAGTGGTTGGAGTGGTCTATTGGTTGGAGTGGTATAGTGGTTGGAGTGGTATAGTGGTTGGAGTGGTCTAGTGGTTTGAGTGGTCTATTGGTTGGAGTAGTGGTTGGAGTGGTATAGTGGTTGGAGTGGTATAGTGGTTGGAGTGGTCTAGTGGTGGGAGTGGAATAGTGGTTGGAGTGGTATAGTGGTTGGAGTGGTCTAGTAGTTGGAGTGGTCTATTGGTTGGAGTAGTGGTTGGAGTGGTATAGTGGTGGGAGTGGTCTAGTGGTGGGAGTGGAATAGTGGTTGAAGTGGAATAGTGGTTGGAGTGGTCTAGTAGTTGGAGAAGCGATGGAGTGGGCTAGTGGTTGGAATAGTGGTTTGAGTGGTCTAGTGGTTTGAGTGGTCTAGTGGTTTGAGTGGTCTTGTGGTTGGAGTGGTCTAGTGGTTGGAGCGGTCTAGTGGTTGGAGTGGTTGGAGTGGTCTTGTGGTTGGAGTGGTCTAGTGGTTGGAGTGGTCTTGTGGTTGGAGTGGTCTAGTGGTTGGAGTGGTCTTGTGGTTGGAGTAGTGATGCTGTGGTCTAGTGGTTTTTAGTGGTCTAGTGTTTGGAATGGTCTAGTGGTTCTGTCATCACACTTTAAACCTGGGTTTCATTCCTTCATATTTATCCTATATCCAGTCCTTTATGTTCCTCAATGTGATATTGCTGCAATACTGCAAATTATATTGTACAACAGAATTCACTCTCTTTAGCATGTTTAGCAGAATAACAATACAAGTCCTTTTTCACAGGAGGAAAGACAGTGACCATCCAACCTCGTACAATCATGAAGGCAAGAAAGCCGGCACATCCTGCCAAAAACTATGTGGAACAGTTACAGGACATCAATGCTCAAGCTCCAGAAACTCTCAGACGAGCAGGTAACCTTGACCTAGGCTTTCTCATTATTTGAATGAAAAGCATCATTGTGAAAATAGACTGCCTCTGTGCTAAAGCATGTGTGCGCACGCTCGCACGCACGCACGCATGCACACTTGATTGTGTCGTTTGATTATCACAATTATCTTGAATGTAATATTAAGTCCGATTTCAACTCACCATAATGTCACAAGATTTACTGAAATGTTTGTAATGTGTGTAATGAAGATATGTTAACTACAATTTTTTCTATGTAAATGTCAAGTAATTCTTTATGAAACATATAATATAGAAGGGACACTATTGTTGTCCTAAATAACATCACAAAATCAGATATGTGAAACTATTATATTTGTTGTTTCAGCCCAAAGTCGCAGATACCCAACTGGCAGGGGTGCGACTCGGCCCCGTCCATACGGCACCCCCTACAGGTCAATGGAGGAAGATATAGCGGAGGGATGGGAGGCAAGGTCTGAGGTCAGTGACTGGGTCATGGAGGACGATGTCCGACAGTTGCTGTATGCAGATGATGACCCATCTGTTGTCTACACGGTAAATACGAACATTGTAATGTCTACATTATCTGTGACTTGGCAAATGGGCACCATGGTAAATGGTTTTTTAAAGTGATCATCCGGTTAAATACCTGGGTTTGATTCCCCTACCAACTTCCTCATTCACCCCCAAGCCTCCCTTCCAACAAAAACAAGAAATAAAACCAACAACATCAATGCACCTGCCCATCAGTCAAACCTTCCACCAAATCTCACACCTAAACCCACCGAAACAACACACACTCCAACCCCCATACCAACTTCCCCCAAACATGCACCTACACACCTATCCTACCATCCAAAACCAATTCCTGTCAACCACTAAACTTACCCCTCCTTCTTTCCATCTTGCCCATACACCCATAACTGCTGAGGAAACTCAGACATCAAACCCTCCAACCAGCAAACATTCACCCTCCCATACATCTAAACCTGCCCCCATCACACTCACTCACTCACTCATGGAGATGATAAACAGCCTATCAGTCACTCACCAATGTCAAGTATTCCACCCTCTGTGATGAGATTCTTCCGGGGTAGATCTTGACACATCAGACACTGGGCTGGCTGAGACAATTTTGCAGACTCCTCATTGGTTGAAATATTCCTGTCTATAAAGCAACAGTCCACCTAATCACACTTAGAGAATAAAGATGATTAGATGCAGTGTAGGAAAGATGTAGAAAATCTAGCCTGTCCACAGGAATGGCAGGTCAAATTTTTTACCAGTCCTGCCAAAATCTAGCCTGTCCTCCAAATATAAATAAAGCACCTTCGGCAGTAAATATTCAAAAAGGTTATAATCATTATATATATGTCATTGGTTTGCTAAAATTGACCCGACATGAGGACAGACTAGATATTTTTTTAACCCGTCCTCCACAAAATTCACCCGTCTCGGACGTTGGCACGGGCTATCTTTCCTACACTGTTAGATGATGCTGAAACTCAGCTATTTCTGTGCCAGGTTGGAGGAACAGCCTCAGCCTTAGACTACCCGATGTCTGATGGCCGGTCCGACTACTACAATGAAGTGATGGGTGAGGACGACTACCTCTACACCAACTCTGTTGATGTTGACGAGATATGGGACATTGCTGATGCTGCATCGATCGGAAGTGGTAGCGTGGCCAGTGTCATAGACTGGGATGCAGTGGATAGACTTATTGCAGATGAAGATGACATCTAGTACTGATGCTGCATCGATCGGAAGTGGTAGCGTGGCCAGTGTCATAGACTGGGATGCAGTGGATAGACTTATTGCAGATGAAGATGACATCTAGTACTGATGCTGCATGCACTGATGAGGCATCCCACTAAGTATATGATACAAGGCAACACAGTGATGGCTATAGGTTATGGATGATGAGGGAATTTCATCAATTACATAATTAAACATTTGTTTTGAAGATTGGTCTGAGCATTAGAAGACTTTAATGACACACAATGATATTTGCTGTTTGCATGCAAATTATTGAAACTGAAGATAATGTAGATGTTAATTGTTCAGTCAATAATTATATCATGTTGCATTATTCCAATGTGTCTTGCACTTGTGATGTGGGTACGTCTGTTCCTGTGGGTACGTCTTTTCCTGTGTGTACGTCTTTTCCTGGGGGTACTTCTATGCCTGTGCAACCTCACTTAGTTGCCAGCTCCAATGTATTCTACACTAATCCTGTTTTTCTTTTCATCCTGTGGGGCTGCCATTCATCCTACGGGTGCTCCTGTCACTGTGTCTGGTTCTAATCCTGTGGATTCTGAACATGTTCACCAGAGGCTTCTTTTCATGTAGATGCTTTTGTTCCATTCATCCTATTATTCACTAGTATTCCTGGAAAGCTTTTAGCCCTGTTGAACCTCCAGTTAAATTGTGGATATTATTTTTCTATTAATTCTCTGGGTTCTCAAGTATTTCTGTGGAGGCCCATAATCTTGTGGGTCTGACACTATTCCAGTACATCTTCAACTGATCCTGTGGAGCCACTGCTCCTTAAGATCTCCTCGTCATCTCTGTTTCCTCTTGTTGTCCTTACAGGTGATAGTTTTGACCTCAGTTTGTTGTCTGTGATATCATTTTATTTATTTATCCGTTTATTTAGATATTGTACACAATATGTTTTTTTAGTATTTATGGGCAGTAAGTCTCTATGTATGTACATGATGTAAATGCAGCAACAGTCACTAGTGAGAGAAAGTGACTGGAAATAGTGATAGCTTTATCAGTGATTCCATCCCGACATTTGTCACTTCTTTTATACAAGAGAAATAAAATACACATACATTTATTGCTTTTTCTGTCCTCAATTTTAGCACAGCTTAAAGGTCGCATGCAATGTAAAACACAACTTTGCAGATTCTGATACCTTTTGGTATTGACTAACCTAAACAAATCACAAAAAAATCAAATTCAACTTATAAAGTTGAAAAATAATGCAATGAAAAAAAACACGCAAAATCGGAGTTCAAATGATTCACTAATTTTCCCCCGACTTTTCGGGGGAAAACTGGTTTCAACAGCTGGGCTGTGCTCATAACACGTGCGCAGTGAAATAGGTTCGCGCAGCTTGGAAGTGGGTTGTCCGGTGAATACTCGGTGAAGGCTGTGGTGTGAGCAATTTTTCTAATGTTTTGTTGATGTTTCACAGGCGCGAGCTTTTTATATGTTATGACTGTAGATTAACTGTTTATATAATTTCATTTGTCTATTTCACCACACGTTCTTCTTACTGAGTCACTTTCTCAGTTCGATACTTAAAAACAATGTCATTATTTAGCGTTGACAGAATTTCAAACTGTGATATAGATATGTCGTTGTCACAGACAATACTCAATGTCTGTTTTATTGACACCTATGTGTCTTCCTGCCTGTCTGCTAATAACCATATTCAATACACAACTGCGATCACTGACCACATGCAATTTGAACTTAACACCAATCAGGCTATACACCATAAACAAAATGCATTGATTTATGGCCCGAGTTCGGTCTCATTATGTAATTACACAGACAGGCAGGTGTGATACTTGTACACATGACATGTTATGATGTCTGTTGATTGCAAAATGTTATACACAAAAAATGAGCATGTATTTACAAAACCCAACATCTCTATATACACACACAATGAGCCGTGAGGGCATCTGCAAATGAACCAGCCGTTACACTTGAGTGCACACCCACCCGCTCTGACTGGGTTCGCTATCCCGGCTGCTTCGTTTCTTGGGAAGTAAATCCAAGTACACAATATTGCACTTTTGATTTGCGATTGTACGCTCATAATTTTGTTTATATGTTTTTTCATAACCAGCAATGTATATTATATGTCATGAATAAGTGATAATTGTGTTTTAATTATGTTTGATTTTTTGGTTGCATGTGACCTTTAACAAATGGCGAAAAATATATTTCCAATTATTTTCAATTTGAAATGAAATTTGAAACAAGACTGGTTACATGAAAAGCAGAGAATACCTCTCCTGTGGTCGGCTCATAGGTCTCCAACACTTCAAGTTTTGAAATCAGTTCCATTAAATCTCAGGACCAGAATTATTATGTGTTTCATAGATATCCATGTTCATTTGTTTTTTTGGGAGGACTTTCATAATTTAGCATAAATGCCATCACGTCCAGATGATTTATTATCAATATGATCTTTGATATGGGTTATGGTGAATGGTGAATGTTTCTTGTTTCTTGTTCGAGTGCAACATCCTGCCAGGAGAGAAGGGATGAGAAATGGTTAGTCCATTGTGCAGAATTAATTACTTGAGAGGCTGCATTAACTGGTTTACTGTCCTTAAACAGTTCACACAACAACTTTGGTTGTCCCATGAGGCTATAACTGGTATTACCTTTGGCTGGGGGCTGACGTCAATTACTAAGTGAAGTACCCTGGATGTTAGGACTCTACTTTAAGAAGAAATGCTCTGTGTACCATGCATACATCCACCAGTGACGATCCGGGTTAGAATTGATCTTCTGTACCATACATACATCCACCAGTGATGATCCGGGTTAGAATTGATCTTCTGTACCATACATACATCCACTAGTGACGATCCGGGTTAGAATTGATCTTCTGTACCATACATACATCCACTAGTGACGATCCGGGTTAGAATTGATCTTCTGTACCATACATACATCCACCAGTGACTATCATCCGGGTTAGAATTGATCTTCTGTACCATACATACATCCACTAGTGACGATCCGGGTTAGAATTGATCTTCTGTACCATACATACATCCACCAGTGACGATCCGGGTTAGAATTGATCTTCTGTACCATACATACATCCACCAGTGATGATCCGGGTTAGAATTGATCTTCTGTACCATACATACATCCACCAGTGACGATCCGGGTTAGAATTGATCTTCTGTACCATACATACATCCACCAGTGATGATCCGGGTTAGAATTGATCTTCTGTACCATACATACATCCACCAGTGATGATCCGGGTTAGAATTGATCTTCTGTACCATACATACATCCACTAGTGACGATCCGGGTTAGAATTGATCTTCTGTACCATACATACATCCACCAGTGATGATCCGGGTTAGAATTGATCTTCTGTACCATACATACATCCACCAGTGACGATCCGGGTTAGAATTGATCTTCAGCAACCCATGCTTGTCATAAGAGGCAACTAACAGGATCGGGTGGTCAGGCTCACAGACCTGGTTGACACATGTCATTGTATCCCAATTGCGTATATTGATGCTCATGCTGTTGATCACTGGATTGTCTGGTCCAGACTTTACTGTGGCCATATAGCTGGGATATTGCTGATTGTAGCGTTAAACAACAACAACAACAACACACACACACACACACCACACACATCCTGATGAATATACACCCTGTACATGAATTTCTGCCCTTGATAGAGTGTATATAGCTGATTTTTCATAAAGTGTACATGTATTTACTTTGATCAGTTTCCAGTGATAACATTAGAGAATGGACAAACTATAACCAAAATGGTCCTCACAGGGCAAGCTATATATATTTCCTGAACATCAACAACTCTCATCAAACATTTCCATAAATAGCTTTTGTTGTATTTCCACAGCTCAGTATCATGGTCCTGTGAAAGTTTTCAAGTTCATGACTAATTCAAATAGAAATGACGTCATCTAGTCACGATATAACCTTTATACTTGTATCTATCTAAGCATTGTGGTCCCTGAAATGTTTAGTTTGATCTGTCAGTTTCACTCAGGAACTAGCACATGAGACTGACAAGTGACATCCTCTGTGTCATAAGGTGAGTAAAACCTTGCCTGAGGTAAAACTGCACCCATGTATACTGAACAAAAACAGAATTATCACGTTTAGAGATTATGAATTATATTGAAAATGGGTAGTACATGGTAGTTGATATGGGCGAATACCATAATGGCCAGGTCTAACTTGACCCATCTGCCCCTTTAACAGTGGTATGTTTGGGGCATAAAGTAACACGTGAGGTTTCTGTTTTTGTTTAGTATTGATGCAATTCATATAATACAATATATACTGTGTGATTTCTTACCAGTAATTCTGATATAAGGGCTTGATTCTGTATGTAAGTACTGATCACTGTCTTCACATCTAAAATGTGTTACTGTTTTACCATAAATAATATATCCTTTCACAATTTAAAAAATCTTAAGCAGGCATGTTTGAAACAAAATGAGGGGCAGTGGGGTAGCCTAGCGGTCCCAGGTTTGATTCCCCTGATGTGTGTGTGTGTGTGTGTGTGTGTGTGTGTGTGTGTGTGTGTGTGTGTGTGTGTGTGTGTTATAAATGTCTGAAACATTTAAAAGCTATCTTAGACATGATTACAAACATAAGTATATGTATTTTGCTTTCTGTCAAATATTTTGTCTTTTATTTATTGCCCTAGGGTATGATGATTACCTTGTAATGCCTTGTTGTTTAGATGTGTATATTGTCCTTTGTGTTTACAAGTATTTACAGCTCTGTGAACTTCATCTTGACACTTTTCTTGTCTTGACTGACATCTTGTACTAATGTTTATTTGTTTGGCCTGTAAATACCGAATCACACTAATTCATCAAAGCATGATATGAACACAATAAGAAATCAGGTCTGTCAAAAACAGGCCAAGGATTCCATCATGTCTATTTTCGTACATCACACAGTTCTAAACCATATTGTTCGCCATGTATGGATTGTACAGTATGAAATATACTAACCTTTCACAAGTTCGCCAGCTTTTACCAAAAAATATTACTGGTCTCAAAACCACGATCGTAAAAAAAACAACCAGTAAATAAGATAAGCGTACCTCTAACAAAGCCCATCCTACTTGCATCCTATGTATGCTACTTAAAGTTAAGCCAAGTAAAGGAAGCATAGTTTGCCAGGTGGGGCAAGAAATGTATCTGATGAACAACAAGAACCATCAACGTTGAAACGTGTCCTGCTCTAAAACCACGATCATTCATTTCATCAAGGAATGGTCACATTCTCCCACCTACATCTCGAATAAAGTATGGAAAAGTTAACGGTAATAAATTGTGCACCAGTCGTTTATATAAAGACACTCCGTTTGTTGAAAATTATATTAAAAAAATTAAATTTATGTTTAGAGATCATCGTCGTATTTTATCCAAATTTAGATGTGGTATTATAACCTTGTTCACTGAAATCGGCAGATATGCCAAGCCCCTGTTCCTCTTTTACAAAGACATTGTAAATAATGTCTTATAAATGATAATGATTTCCATGTACATACAATTGAAGATGAATTTCATTTTTTAATGAAATGTAATTTTTCTGAGGAATTACGTTTTACCCTATTTGAAGCTGCCTTTAAATGTAACCATCTATTTTATAACTTAAATGATACAGACAAGTTTTTATTTCTTATACAAAAAATTGCAAACTACTTTAGCCTCTTCACTTCTAAATATGTTTAAAAGACGAGAAATGTCATTGACATGATTTATGTAATCTTATCTTCATATATTTATTATCGTATATATGTTTTTAGTGTCTCATAAGCCAGTTTGTGGGTCGATGCACGGTGTTTACCTTTTTATGATGTATTGTTTGTAAAACACACTTGTGCGTGTGACAGCTTCAGTCTGGGCTAGTACAAGCAGCCGCACATACACATACACACGCATGCGCGTCGTCATATGAGCGAAATATTCTCAAGCACGACGTTAAACCCAATTTCAACTCACCTCACTTCACAAATACTTCCTGATATTAGCATACACAGACACATTACCACAATACATGCTGCAAATACTGGCCAATCGATCCAGGAACACATTCGCTATATCAGCCTTAGGTACACGTTTGAAAACAAACGACAGTGCGCCGAACTAAACTTCAAGACACATCGTTTGTTCGGAATAGCCCGAAAAGGGTGTTCAGACGAGTCGAACAAATGAAAATTTGACGATGTGAAATTTCTATAAGCAACAGCACTGGTGGACAGGACTTACTCGCCTTTTTGTGTGAATATGATTCCCACTGAACAGTTCTTTGTTAGTATTATTTGTTGCTTCATATGATACAACAGGATTTAGGCGGGGTATGGTGTTAGCTGTTCGGTAATACCGGACATCACTCTACTCCAAGCTTGCTAAGGATAATCCATATGAACATGTCAAACTGTGCATCTGTTGAAACAACCAAAGACAATATTGCGTGAAAACATTTTATTAACAAAAGACTCGACATGTGCCACAAAATTCTAACAAACAACATGTGACCAATAATCAGCCAGATCGCTCGTCACAATCCGAGTATCTGACCAAAATTGAAACATCTATAAAGAACATAATCGAAAAACAACCAAAGCAAATCAAAGCCAAGGGAAGATCGTGCCACTCTTCAGCAAGAGCTTTAACGTCTTGGAATTAGGAAGCTGGTATGACGGAGAGGAACACATTTTATGGACAGACAACCTCTTTATGGCAATAGATGTGACTTTTCGGTGTAGATGCTAACGTCCGTTTTACACTTGAGATTCTATGGGGTTACCCAATCATTGTTTTCTGGGAAATTTCAATCTGTATTTTTTGACGTTTATTTCATATCATCTAAACGTGAAAGACATTTAATGTTTAACCGTATTCATAGGAAAAACGTCCAACGTAGCATTACGACCATACAATATGCATCTCTTTACGAATCAATATCTAACAGCGGATTTATTAAAAATATGAACAGCTGTGTTTACGTTCGTAATTCCATACACGCAGAAACACAAATACGTCAACACAAATAACATAACAAGCTGATTATTCAAGTCTGTAGAAAACAATAGGTAATCAGAGACATCTTCAGAACAATAATCCAACACAAACCCCTCCCATTAAAATCTCAACCCACGAGACAACACAGGTTCTGCTTATGGAAACATTAAGAAAAACACCCTGCCGAATTAATCAAATACAACAGAATAACTAATATGATAATGTCGAAATCGGGAAAAGCAGGAGGTGAGGACATCCGATGCCCATTAGTGATACTTGGCTCTTAAATACTAGTTTGTTTTTACTCAGTAAGGCCAGAATTTCATATGTTACATGTTCATATATTTATTATTTAGGTTCTCTGCCTCTTATCGGGGCAGTGGGGTAGCCCAGTGGTTAAAGCGTTCGCTCATCACGCCGAAGGCCTCGGTTCGATTCCCCACATGGGTACAGTGTGTGAAACCCATTTCTGGTGTCCCCCGTCCTAATATTGCTGGAATATTGCAACATGCGGCGTAAAACCATACTCACTCACTCTGCCTCATACCATTCATTCACCTGATGAAGGAGTAAGGACATACTCTGAAAATGTCTGTCCCATGTTCCGTTGACATGTATAAAATTCCCTTTCTTATTTCATATGTTGTTTTCTTTGTAAACTTCAGATGACATGTTTCAGCAGGTCAAGCATTTCAAATGTAACATATTTCCCTTTTCGCATATCATGCAAAAATAGTAAAACATAATCGGGTTGTCTTATAATTATAGTGTGTATGTATACAAAATGTACTAGTGTTGGACAAATGATGTATGAAATACAAAGTTAATCTAACGATTCTGTTGTTCACCGTGAAATCCATCATCGGTACTAGTGTTTCTATATACACATCCTACATCATTCGTGCATACACACGGTCCATATATGTGATGCAGTAGTGACGCCAGTCTATTGAGGTCTCGTGATGGAAAAAGGTCATGCATAAACAAACCCCGGAAGTCACGTGACCTCTTTTCACTGCACGCTTCGGTGCAAAATCGACTCAATCGACATGTTCAGTAGATGGCGGCGGTTATGTTTACGTAACACGATATATGCGCCAGTTTGTGCGATGCTTTCATAAAGGAACAGGATGTAGAATTCCCAAGCCGAGCAGGTACTTAAAATATATTTTTTATTCAAAATTGTAAATGCTTTTATCAAGTTTCATTATACGTGATCCATTAAATATGGATGATAACATGTTATGGTTCATGAACAATGTTTATAGAATTTAACTCTCTCGTGACTAAATTGTATATACAAGAATACTTTGATGCGATACTTGGGCATGGCGTAGCATAGTAAAATATCTCCATTAAAATGGAAACTAATTAAATGTACAATAAAACAATCATCTAAGAAAATAAACACAGGCATGTTTAAAATATGAGGGGCAGTCGTCTAGCCGAAAGCGTTCGCTCATCATGCCGAAGGCCCAGGTTCGACTCCCCACATGGGTACAATGTGTGAATCCCATTTCTGGTGTCCCTCGCCGTGATATGACTGGAATATTGCTGAAAGCAGCGTAAAACCATACTCACTAAACAATATGATTTAATACTGGTTTCAAGTCATTCCCCGTTTTTCACCTAAACCCTTTTTTGACTTCTATGCTAGGTTTGACAAACTGGCTATCTCCACAGTTAATGTTAGTAGTCTATGCATGCATGTTACATTGTTACCGGGCTAATTCGTGTAACGAACAGTGGGTTGGCATGGAGCCATCATGGTTGCCGGTAAATCTTCTAACAAAAGGCACGCATTTCATATAAATTAACACTGATCAAGTCACATCAGGAATTCTACTTCGTATTGACTTTGAAAAGGCATTCGATTCTGTTGACTGGCATTTCATTCAAAATGTTCTTCTATTCTTTAACTTTGGACCATCGATTACTAGATGGATAAATACCTTCTTTAATAACATTCAATCATGTGTTGTTGTAAATGGTTTCCTTTCAAATTATTTCAATATCTCAAGAGGATGCAGACAAGGAGATCCCATCCCCCCTTATATTTTTATACTGTGCACAGAAATTCTGGCAACAATGATTAGAAACAATAATAAAATAAAAAGAATACAAATTGGAGATACAGAATATGTAATTTTCCAATACGCTGATGATACTTCATTGATACTAGATGGCACTGAAAAATGTTTACAGGCGACATTAGAAATTTTAGTAAATATGCCTCATTTTCAGGCTTAAAAATAAATGTAAACAAAACACAGGTATTATGGATAGGCTCCTGAAAAAACTCTAAAAGAAAAATTTTGCAGAAACTGGAATTTAGACTGGAAGAGTGACTCGTTTACACTATTAGGAATTGTATTTACTCACAACATCGCAGAAATGGTTGAACGCAACTATAAAGATAAACTTAAGACTCTCAAAATATCAATGAATCAATGGCTAGCAAGAGATCTAACTCCTTTAGGTAGAAATACCATATTGAAAAGTTTACTTTTTACCGCAACTTAATCATTTATTTGTAACTCTACCCAATCCAAACGATCAAATGATTAAGGAAATTGAGCAGCTCTGCTTTAAATTTATATGGAAAACAAACCAGACAAAGTCAGTCGAAACTATCACAAAGAATTATGAATACGGAGGAATACGAGCCCCAGAGATAAAAAAATCTTATTCAATCAAAAAAATGGATTAAAAGACTCACCAACTCAGATTCAAAAGTAAGGAAATTGCTACAAACGAAGACACATTGGGACATCGACAGCTTTATACAAACATGCGAAACACACATACTTGAATCAGTAATAACACAAGAAACAAATCATTTTTGGAAAGACACTTTAAAATCATGAGGTAAATTCGTAACCAGAAAAGCAGAAAAAGCAAAAAATGCTTGTGATATTTTATCCCTACCCTTATGGTTAAATGACAATATTAAAATAGATGGAAAACCAATCAATTATAAACATTATTCAAGCAAAGGGATTACTTATATAAACGACATGTTTGACGCTCAAGGTAACTTTTTAACGGTGGAACAATTAAAAAAATCGTTTGGGTGCAAAACTAACTTCCTAGAGCGTCAAGGAATAGTGGAGTCATTTAAATACTACTGCAAAACCATTAACATCCATATTGAAGAAAATATCCAAGCCCCGATCTTGCCATATCTTTTACGAAATATAGTAGGAAACCCAAAAGGATGTAGAGATATCTATGACATACTCATAAATGGTAAATCTAGAAAACCATTAACATATCGAAACAAGTGGCAACAAGAACTTAATGAGTCTATTGATGATAATATATGGGAAACGATAGAAAAAAACAACCTTTAAATCGTATAATAGTGTAAAAAACTCGTTGTTTCAATACAGCATACTGCATAGGTTTCTGCCAACAAATGATTTGCTAACAAAAATGAAATATAAAGATTTCAACACATGCACATTTTGCAAATCCGAGAAAGAATAAATTCTACATCTATTTTGTGACTGTAAAGTCATAAAAGCTATTTGGAAGAAAATAGAAGAACGGATATTCGAAAAAAACAGGGTCAAATATTATCTTTTCAAAGAAAAATATTATTCTAGGATATTGTGAAAAGAGAAACCATGCTCTGAAAATGATAATAACAGTAGTGAAATATAATATATACAAAATGAAACAAAGAGATAATACACCAAATTTGAACTACATTATAGAAGACGTAAAGACAACATATTATGCTGAACGTTTCAATGCCTATTCAAATTTGCAAATATGACAGCTTCACAAAAGTTTGGTCACTATGTCACAACCTGTTCTGTTAACCTAGCGCTATATATAATGTACTGCTATTATATTTTCAAGTACCTATTCAATTTGCTTGTAAATCGACTTTGTATATATTTGCGAATCGTGATTATACCAACCCGTTATGTAATGAACTGTATGACCTGGATGTATGGAGAATCAAAAATACAAAAAATTATATAAAACAATGTTCAGTTGATGGCCGCGATGTCAGGAATCTTAAGATAAAGTAGATGAAATATGAGATGTTGCAAACAATTGTTTTAAAAAACACGACACTAACAACAACACACACTCAGAGAAAAGAGAAACACATTGACTTCATTACACCGTTTCAAACTGACGAAAGTGTGGCGGACTATTTAGGATTCTCCTAACTACTTAGGAATTTAGGGCTGTCTTTACAATAAAACTGAACTATCAACATAAAGGTAGTACAGAAAAACACATACACCCTAATTGTCAGAGATTTGTAGACAAAGTTTGAAATGCACGGATCTCCTTTACAGTGATCCACACACACGCATGTGCCCAAGGACTCCGACGCATTATCACAAATATACCACGGCCCCATGACCATGACAAGCTCAATCTTTATGACATGATGACTTTTTGTTACAAAAATAAAAAAATCTGACAAACGACATTTACACAATCTAGTCTTTACTACTTCAGACTTACGTGATCATCTCCCCAAATGTTGTTTTGCTCCATGTAATGCAACAGGATTTAGGCGGGGTATAGTGTTAGCTGTTCGATAAGACCGACATCACTCTACTCCAAGTTTGCTAAAGATTAGTTCGTATATTTTCTGGTAATATCGATTATTTTCTCGTTATTTCGTATATTTTCTTTCGAACTGACAGACTTTACCACTCTCTCTAACTGCTTCTATTGCCGACCATTGTGAACGGAGCATTCTGGGTAGTGGGTGACTTGGCTGACCGGGTGTCATTATGCCCCGATGGTTTTGACTGTGTAGTATTCCTGTCTCCCGGTTTCACATTCACCGCCAGATGACAGATATGATAACCAGCGATACGTAATTTTAGATTTGATGCAGCTACAACCTTTGGTTTCCAAGTTATGTTTTTTAAAATGCACTGGAATTCTCACAGGTGTAGTTAATATTCTTGCGAGTGTTCCAGTTTGGCTATATTATGAGTTTTTAACTTGAACTAATTTGAACTCTCATTTGCAATTGAATATTTTCCATTTCGTCCAACCCACGCACAAAAAGTTGCATACGTGGAAAATCGGTCTAATGCGCAGTTTCGCATAGTGTAATGTGTTGCAGGTATTTTATACACCTAGCTATACCGCGTGGATACCCCATTAAGTACATAATAGTGCGCTGCTGGGATCGGTTTCACTTTAACTGACGGGTCAGCGAACAAGCCGAAGCTTTTTCCGGGAAAGGCTTATTTATGGGAAAGAACTTAACAGTTGATCTTGTAGAACAACAAAATTAACATAAATCCACACAAATATTGAAGGAATAAAACGACGAAAAACTTGAAATTTCGAAAAAATCATGGACATGGAAACTGTAACAAATGAAATTAAGATAATATACTGGCAGTAACGAGAGTCAAATCGAAATTACATCCTAAATTGATTAACTGATAATCAAGAAGATCCACTATACAAGAAAGAAAATAATTGAAATCAATAGAAAATAGCCGAATTTGCAGCCATATCACGATGAGAACACATTAGTTATCATCAAGTACCTAAACGAAACAGTACGGTAGGTATAACAGTTTAATTATAAAACAAATGATATCAATATTAACACCACCAATGTTTCCTAACAATACTTTGGATACAGTAGAACTGGTCGCCAACATAGTATGACCTCCTTACTTGGGGTGATAGAGGCTTACGGTGCTTCTTTTTCCTGTATGATTTCCCAGCAGGATTTATGCCACCGCCTTTATCGTCAGTGGTTGTATGTATATTATAAATGCTGATTAATAATTAATTAACCCACCCACCCCAAAAAACAAACAACAAAACAACAACAAAATAAAATAAAATAAAATTAAAAAAAAAAACATCACACAAGAAAATCACATAATAGAATGTGGCAAAATTCGAATGTTCAGTAGAATATGAAATATAAAAATTGTGACAAGATAAATTCTCGAAATTTATATTAACAAATTAACTGAAAAAGTTATTCAACAAAGTGGCAACGGTCGCTCTCATTCTGTCACCATTGGATTGCTTGGCTCTAATTCGATTATTTTCAAATCGCGTCTTAAAGCTGGATTAATCCGGAGTGTCGCGTCAAACAACAAAACACGCGGAACAAACACGGAACAAATTTCCCGAAACTGCAGTGCAGTGATACATGTGTGTATGGAATCCTAGAAGGGACATTGTCGCGTTGTCGCCCTCACAAAAACAAGCAAACAATGTCAAAATTAACCAAAACGCGACAAAGCGACATTTTGGCCATATGTCGCATTGTCGCCCTTTGAAAAATATTTTATTATTCACTCAAAGCGCGACAACGCAACAATTTTCAAGGTCAAAATATGTCGCGTTGTTGCATTGTCGCCCCATCTGAGGTTGTAAAAAAGCCTTAAAATGCGCGACAACGCCACAATGTCCCTTCCAGGATTCCATGAATATTTGGCAAAAAAGTGTAACCAAATTTTTAATGTCAAGTACGGTACCCACAACTGGCTAATACTAAACCGATTACACAGGCTATGCTCATGACAAAATAGTACACCCAATGTTCCTTACAATGTTTTTTACATAGTGATCTTAGTGCATGCTCTTGTGTTCTTTGTTCATGACTGGGCTCTTGCCTTTCCGGTTGATTTAGCGCTTGTGTTTCCGATTGTCTTTGCGCTTGTGTTTCCGGTTGATTTTGGTTTTGTGTTTCCGATTGTCTTTGCGCTTGTGTTTCCTGTTGATTTATCGTTTGTGTTTCCTGTTGTCTTGGATCTTGTGTCTGATCTCTCTCGTCTCGTTTCCCTCGACATTTGCGGCATCTGGGGAAGGAAAGAACTACATCTTTTGCAAATGATGATTCATTGAACAAATTTTCAACAATATATTCGGAATTGTTCAACCGACTTAGCTTTTAGTAGATATTTCCAATGGACGTGGAAAGAATTTTGTTTTATTACCTCGAGAACGGGATACTTAGGGTCTATTCGTCCGTGATATACGGTAGAAATTGTAAAACAAATGCTGAACGAATTTATTTTTTAAACAAATTTTATCAAATGACCTGTTTATAGTTATTTCAAATGTAGCATCTGTTTTGAATACTCTATCAATAGTAATGTATATTTCAAGGTCTCGATTAGCTCTGCACCATCAACTTTGACCAGTCACACATGAGAGAATACGAATGTTTGTGATCAATGAATATGTGGCTCTGGCACATTGGTTAGCGTGTGTTTTACTTCATTGTGTGTTTTCTGAATAACATCTCTTCGTTTGAAAAGCTGCTGTTCTGATATCGAATGTATGCAACTATGTATGGGTTATCAGTATCCTGTTTTACATGCATCATGTAGGAAGTCGACAGATGGATAATTTCATAACCATTGTTTTTACAAAAAATCTTAATTCAAATGAGGTAAAAGCAGTCAGAATTAAGAATTCTTCGTCACGGTAGACCAGAGCGTCACGGTAGACCAGAAAGAAATGTACAATGTACCTGATATAATCCAGTATCACGAGGCGAACAACAACAAAGATGACGGTACTGATGATAACACCACTGAGCCAACCACACCCAAATGACCAAAGATTAACAACTGAAAGAAAAATATGTATCATTCTGTACATAAAACTGTTAATTTTAGCAAAGTTTGGTCTATTATCGTCTATTAGCATAACTTGATTATTTCTGCATATGTGCCACCTAATGACTTGGGTTTAGTAAATCATTTACTATGGAAATGTAGAATCCACCGCAGAATGAATGAATGCATGAATCAATCAATCAATCAATCAATCAATGGATGAATGAATGTTTTAGGCCTCACCGGGGTTTCCTTCAGTTGTTGATTCATTTTGGGGGTTTTCGCATCTGGAAATATTTGTATATATAGGTGGTTCACGAATACAGTGACCATTCTCCTGATCACATCTGCTGCAATTCTTCTCACAAGGTTTCTCACAATAATCACCATGATATCCGTTTTCGCAGCCATCACACCAACACTTTTCTATTAGACATGTACTATTTCTGCAGTTTTTGCTACATGGATTGGTACAATTGTTGTAGCACCATCCATGTTTGCACCCGTTTGAGCATATTCCTGTTGTTCTAATACAACGAACACTGCCATTTTCGCTCTTGCAATTCTGAGAGCATGGCATTTCACACTCTCCGCCATAGTATCCATTACTACATAGACAACTGTCTAAGTCAGTATTGTTACAACTCATATCAGCATCTGAAAAATGAAATTGAAAAGAATTAAACCCAGTTTACATAGCGCTGTCGAAGATAGCGCTGAGATAGAACACCCCGGTATAAGGTAAAAGACTTCCGAAAACACTCCCATGAATATATTGCAGGTTTTATTCACTTCGAAATGTGTATATTGTGCCCTTGTAATCCAAAACCTTATCAATATTTTGATACTTATGATACATTAAATTATTGGACTGAGGATAAAATATTAATAGGATAAATTCAAGAGCCAAAAAGTAACGATGCTAGACTGAGGTTGAGGTTTTCTCAATTTGACTTGTGACTGTAAACAATGTAAGTAGAAGAACCATACCTTGTATAAACAGTAAACAAATGAAAAAAAGGAGCCTTCCATACATGCTTGAATATTTTCGTTGCATCTGGAAATAAAACAAAACTATGCTCACGTTTGTTGTGCCCTTAAATCCACAATGATCTAAGTGCACAGTAATCATAAATATACATTAGTGGGCGGAGCTAATGTGCTACCATGGGAGACAGCCGAAACGGCCGGCTGATGACATTGCATTGCTGTACCCGTACTCTATGTCAATGTGCAGACACAAAAACGTGTGTGGACCTTTTGGTTCACTTTTGTGTTACAATGTCGATAAACATCATGTGTTGGCCAATTTTCGGCTGTTATTGAGTATTTGAAGGACGGGAATATTTCATTTGAAACCTCCGGCTGACACCGTCGGTTCCAAATGAATTCCCCTGCTTCAAATAAAACCCAGAAATTGGTCAACACATGATGTTTATCTCCTAATTGAATGTGTTTGTATTTTCCGTGTAAAAGCTCAAGGTTTTGCCTTCATTCCTTAGAATATTAGAACTGTTATTCACCATATGCACTTTCTACACCAGGATAGATTTATTTGCTATGTGAAATTATCTAAATATAATATTTCTGCGAAAGCATTCACTTGCATCTGAATAGAGCTTCATTACTTCATATATTCGAGGGGTTCCCATTATGTTATTATGGGCATGAATAACGGATCGAATAATCAGAAAACAAGACAAGCATGCCACATAGAAATAAAGTAAACTATTGGAAGAAATATGTTCACATAATAATGTCAATCAATAGCAGTTCCATCACCACACAAATCTCCACATACCTTTGGAATTACCTGAGAACATGCAGAAGCAGAAATACACAGAAGACTTACGCTCTGCAATGGTCGCCTGGTTAGGAAGTCAGTGTTTCCAAGAATCAATGATCGCCTGGTTAGGAAGTCAGTGTTTCCAAGAATCAATGATCGCCTGGTTTTCCGGGAATTGCTGCTTTCATTTCTTAACTGGTTAAGAAAGGAAGTTAAAAATAAACGTAATTATCCTTCCTTGTTTGCTTTTCCACCCGTAATGAGTAGGGTGAATGGTTTCAGTATGTGCGTATTATGCTATCAATGTGGTATGATTGACTGATTGCGTTCAATAACGGCAGTTGTATTGTCAACACCAACTATCGAGCATCAAAATCAAACTGATACACGGACAAGGCCACTACTTTGATAAAAAAGTGGCTGACTATTGTAATGAGCCTCGCTATTCAATTGGTTTTCTCAGAAATAGAAATTCCTCGGGAATGGGCAGCTCACTGCAATCTCCGACTGCCCACCTTTACTGTGAACACACGTCAGGGTTACAAAAGCTGCTTGTTTAGGCCTGCATTTGAATGGACACCAGCCAGTGCTGAAATCAGGTAAGATCGGTGACCTTTTTTCGGGTGTCTTCGTTTTCTGTTTAATCGATATGTCAGGTTGATGGAGATAGATAGATAAATAGATAGATAGATAGATAGATAGATAGATAGATAGATAGATAGAGGTGCTCCTGGGGTGAGTAGTCTCTATCTTTGTTTTTCCAGAGAACGCATTTCTTGCTGCAAACGCAGTGGTCTATGGCGTCGCACTTGCAAGTAGAGTTGTATTGATCGAACATGGCAGGTACAATTGTAATGAGCCTCGCTATTCAATTGGTTTTCTCAGAGATGAAATTCCTCGGATGCGGTGTTGATGCATGTGTCGCCGCTTGTTTAGGCCTGTGAAACCAAGTGCTCAAATCAATAAGATGTTGGAGGTGATGATGCATGTGTCAGATATGTCAACCCAAATCAAAAAGTTGTTGGAGGTGTTGATGCATGTGTCGATATGTCAACCCAAATCAATAAGATGTTGGAGGTGTTGATGCATGTGTCGATATGTCAACCCAAATCAAAAAGATGTTGGAGGTGTTGATGCATGTGTCGATATGTCAACCCAAATCAAAAAGATGTTGGTCGGTGTTGATGCATGTGTCGATATGTCAACCCAAATCAATAAGATGTTGGAGGTGTTGATGCATGTGTCGATATGTCAACCCAAATCAAAAAGATGTTGGAGGTGTTGATGCATGTGTCGATATGTCAACCCAAATCAATAAGATGTTGGAGGTGTTGATGCATGTGTCGATATGTCAACCCAAATCAAAAAGTTGTTGGAGGTGTTGATGCATGTGTCAATATGTCAACCCAAATCAAAAAGTTGTTTGAGGTGTTGATGCATGTGTCGATATGTCAACCCAAATGAATAAGTTTGTTGGAGGTGTTGATGCATGTGTCTATATGTCAACCCAAATCAAAAGGTTGATGGAGATAAATAGATAAATAGATAGATAGATAGAGGTGCTCCTGGGGTGAGTAGTCTCTATCTTTGTTTTTCCAGAGAACGCATTTCTTGCTGCAAACGCAGTGGTCTATGGCGACGCACTTGCAAGTAGAGTTGCATTGATCGAACATGGCAGGTACATGCAGAATAGCAGCAAGCCAGTCGGTGCATTGGTTGTGTCTGTCCTTTGTTGTTGGGAAGTCAGAACGATTCGGAGTTTGCCTGCTGCAGGTAGAAATTGGTTTGGTTGGTATATGTAGACAAAATCTACTATTTTGCCGTCTTCTACGAATTGGCAAAAGCACAGCAAATAGAGTTCGAGAAACTGCCTAGGGATCTGGTACTGCTGGTAGAATGTGTGTCCCGATTGCTCTAGGATTTGTTTCTCTTTGTCGGAAAGGAATAGATGGGGATGCTGCTCTAGCAACATCTCGAAGACTTCTGTCCACCTTGGCCCAGTTTGTATATCGGAGTCTATCCTGCCTCCATTCGCAAATATCTGGCTTGCAATATTTGGTACTTCTTCTTCGCCTCCGGAAGAGACATATTGCCAGATCGGTTCTCGGCATAGGCTTCTTGCGATAGCTTGGTTCCTGGCATGGTATCCATTCCTATCCATACACCTGCATATCTCTAGTTTGGGTGCATTTCAACCGGTGGTGGTGTGTGTGTGTGCATGCGTGCGTGCGTGCGCGCGCGCCTGTGTGTGTGTGCACTAATACTATTGTGTGTTGGACTATTTTTTATTTTCCAAGTGATTACTTTTGTGTATGTATATTACTTTTGTGGGTTTTTACTGGGCTGTGGGAGCCGAATTGAACCTTTTGGAGGATCGTAGAGGCATGGTACACCTCCACCGGTTTTTCTCCCCATTACCCATACTACGTAATGCTGTATGGGTGTAAGGAATATTTTTTAGAAACATTGTGTAAATGGAAGGGCGGAAATGTGCCCTTAGCGATCACCTGGTGTCACCGCTAATTTCAGTCGTCAGTTCATAGAAGTTTCAAAGTTATTTTGACCTTTACACTAAATGGATTCTACTTCTGGGTAAAATCAAGTCAAAATCTTATATTATGTACAACAATGTAAAATACAGGTTAAAACAAACTCCTGTAGCCATGTGCAGGTACCAGTCACCCTATGGTGTACTGGTGGACCCGGCTCTGTTAATGTATAATGCTAGATGTTATTTAGAAATATGTAATATATTGATGTAACTTCCAAAAAGCATAATTGTACCAGGAAAATAAACCTACATATACAAGTTAAAAACATTGTTTATACACAGAAACTGACATTGAATACATGCATACAAAACATATTTATTGATGTCATAATGCTTGAAGGGGAAGTGTACACGACAAAAATCACATTTTTCGCTTATGTGAAACAAAATAGAATTTTTGAATTAGTTAATATCAATACTTGAAAATATACACTCATTTTTCTTACAATGAAGGTATAACCATCAGTAGGTTATAAATGCTGAAATATTATGCCATTATGAGGCCTTTGTTTGCCGAGCTAAACAGGCCAGAGTCTCCTGTCTGGTCCCAAAGCAAAAGATATAAATCTACTTAAAATTAATCACGTGAAAAAAGTGAGTAAAAATACGAAAGAAGTATTAGAACTGAAAATGTAAGCAGCAGGATAGATTGATCATGTGTATTTTCATTCAAAACCTCACTTCAATGAAAATACCAAATATATATACCATACAAAAAGTAGGGGATATTCCATTTTGCGAGCATACGACTAGCCAGTGCCAATGCATATGAGAAAAAGTAATATATGCCATACAGAATAGAATAAATTGCCACATTTTCCCTTAATTTCTCTTCATCATCTGTTTCCTCCTTGGCTTCATCATTTGTATTTTATCAATCTTGTAAATCCAATATCCCCTACTTTTTTTTGAATGGTATATAACAATGCTGATGTACGTATGACATCACTATCGGGAAGCGACTTTCACAAAAGAGCGTGTTCACCGACACGTGTACACCGGATATTTGGAAGAAAACTTTCGATGTTTCAAGCAACGTATATGCATAAAAGTGTCATGTAAGTAGGCCGTCACATTCTGACAATCTGCGTGTTGTTATTTTTTCTTATGTTTTCATTGTGACCAAGAGAAATCGTCAGAAATAAGGAGAAGTGTAGTCAACGTTTTGCCTGAGTTTGCGACAGTCATGGCGTCACTCTTACGGAAACAATTGTATAGATGTATTGTGTTGAATCTAGTAAATCATTGGAAAACACTTATTTCTATGTCCTTATTTCTTGCTACGATAAGCATCCCATGCATGTTCTAAAACTTATGAACAAGTGTATGCAATGAGTAGAGGAACGGATCTCTCACGGTAGGAGAAAATGATACACAGTGTAAAATCTTATCTTGGCTTTGTTTATATTTCAGACGTGTGGTCCTTTCCCAGCATTCGTGTTCACATCTTGTATAGTTCCTTAGATTTCACTGAGACAGTTGGTATTGGTGACAGATATCATCTATTGTGAACTGTATGAGGAATTCAAGGATTCGTGTAAGGAATTCGTTTCAGAATGACTAAACGGGCTGGAGTTGTTTTTTTCCAAATTCAATGCTCCCAGTAAAATTCGATATTCAAATTAAGACATACAGTGCTGTCGGGTATTTCCGAACAGGTAGTGTTTCATGATATGAAGCAATAAGTAATACTGACAAAGGACCGCTCGATGGTCGTTCAGTGGGAATCATATCGACATACACAGGCAAGTACGTCCCCCAATCCTTCTGTAATAGATGTTTGACATCATTATTGTTTGTAACTCTAATTAACTCGTCTAAACACCTTTTTCAGGCTATTCCGTACGAAAACCTAATGTTGCCACGTTTGTAACAGCGACAGCTCTCGTTGTTTCGATTATTCACACGTTGCCTTGAGTATTTTCTTGTCATTTCAGTGATTTTCTCGTTACTTCGAGTATTTTCACGTTGTCTCGAGTATATTCTCGCTACTTCAAGATGCTTTCAAAAACTTGAAATTTCGAGTACTTACTGGTTCCTACGAGTATTTTCTCGTTACTTCAATTATTCATTTTGTTGATTCTGTGACCATAAATATTATATTTTTTCGTTGCTTGGATTAAATTCTCGTAGCCTCGAGTACTTTCTCGTTCTTTCAACTTTCTTTCAAAGACTTTAAGTAACGAGAAAAATACTCGTAGCAACGAGTAAATACTCGAAATTTCAAGTATTGGACAGAAACTGTAAGTAACGAGAAAATACTTTAAACAGCGAAAAAATAATTGAAACGACGAGAAATTAATCGAAGCAACGAAAAACTATTCGACGCAACGAAAACTTTCAATGATAAAAAACCCCATGCTACAAAAGATTCAGTATTTTACTTTCGTAATTCCGAACAAACGGTGTGCCATAACAAATTAGCTGTGACCTAAGGGTTAATGCTTTGACGCATTATCGTTGGTTCTCAATCGTGTACCGAAGGCTGAAACTCGTTCCTCATTCCTGTGACTGAAATTTGGAAATTATGAAAAGTTCAGTAACAGGAACGAGGAATGATAAAAGATTATTACCCATATGGGAATGAAGACACATGGTAGTATTTTTCCTGTAGGTCCATAGGAAGGTTACACCTTTTGGTGAACGTTGATTGGCTGCTTAGAAAATAACCAGCCAATCTACGCGTAGGGATATGGGCATCTCCCACATTGCATTTGCCCTGCAGAGAATGTTGTTTTCATTTTAGCGTGTTTTAGATCGAAAGATCGAAAATCGATGTGGTAATAAAAGCAACAACCAACTCGTGACGGGGAATGACAGATTGTCTTTCCCTCGTTATATTGATTATGTAATTCTCTCGCCAAGGTTAGAGAATTACGCAGTTAATATAACTCGAGAAAGATGTAGATGTCATTCTCTGTAACTCGTTAGTTATTGTAAAAGTCTCTTGGTCGATAGTATTTGTAAAGTCAGTATACTGAAATTGTAACAACGTACAGCCCCAGATTCCGAATAAGCCATTGTAACATTAGTTACCTCTGTTATTTGATTGGTCACTTACAGTCTGTGCAGGATAACCCTAACTATTACATTCGATCGATTTCTTGTCATTTGTTTTGTCAAAGGCAAAATGTGTCACCTTTAAAAAAATAAACAACTAACTGGTGCAAATTATTAATATATATTCATTGATCACAAGTGTTCTCACAATTTGTTTATTTGGGTTTAAAAAATAACTAAATTGCAACACTTTCCTCATATCGCAAAAGTTATGCACAAGTTGCAGATCTGCAGTATTTATTATTTGATCGATCGTATAACTGACTTGTATGCATGTTCTCTTTAAGGTTGAAGGAATCATGAAATTACCTATTTTAACATGGGCAGTAGTGACAATAACCGAACTGTTGTTTAAAAATATGATATTCACGGTCGTGTAGGAGCAGAGAAAACAAGAATATTTAGGACTAAGAAACATTTGACCTTTTGTGGCCGATACATTTAGTATCGGCTAACACTGACTTACGTAACTGAAATTTCAGTAATTGATTTAATTTTGTCTCTTTTCTTCTTAATTCGATTTATATTTCGTATGTTAAACCACAGTTTTGCTAGAAGGTATTTTGGAAGCTCTGACGTTTCACGCTTAGAAAAGCGACTAGCAAGTTGAGAAAAAACATGCGGAAATGGAAATTTGTTCGGTAATAGCCGCTTGTTCGGAAATACGCAAAACGCCGTGAATGGTGATTTAGTCTGTGTATGTCATAACGGGCGAGACTTAACATATACGTAAATTTAGTAAATTTGCCCTTCCTACAATTAGCGGGTGATTTCATAGTAAAGCGAATTTCAAACAGAATTCAAAACTGCGAAGTGCATTGATCTTCATAATGTATTTGAATATGGTTTCGACATGAAAGTGAGTGTTGAAGAGGAGGGACATAAATTGTACGTTGATGAAGGAATTAAGTAGCAAACTTAGGATACCGTCACATTCACCGATGGCTAGCAAGATGTACATATACGATTCAGTTTTCTGAACAATGTATATTATCTTTTTTTTCGAAACAGCCATGTCATTACTGTGTGGAACTGATCGGTACACAAAGCCATCGGACGGCCAGGCAACAAGACCATTAAACAGTCTCTGATCTTTGTGGCAAAACCCCTTCTGTCCTTCGACCAAGGTCTCACGGCTTAACGTTCTAGAAGATGTTAGTGTATTCAGTACCACGCCCTGTACTACGCACCAGCGTTAAGACGTTTGTTAGTACGTCTGGCACTGACGTTCAAGTGATAACTCCAGGTGCCCACGGTTGCCTTATTTTAGTGGAACAAGGTGCCGCATCATTATTCCTTGCATCCTAAATAAAAAATACATCCATTTTGGAAACAAATATTTATCCCCCGCGTTTAGTGTATTCGGCTCCGTCCGTCCGTATGAATTGGAATATCTTAAGAACCGTAGACTAGATTCTTTTCGTATTTGGTGCCTAGGTTAATCACAGTATAAGAAAGGTCCCAGTCAGGTTTGGTGACTATGACCTTAATTTCAAGGTCACAAGGGGACTTTAACGTTTACTCTTGTCAGTGAGATATCTCAAGAACCATTCACTAAGCTTTATCGAGGGAAGGCGCAGGGCCCAATTGATTTTGGTGACCTTCACGTAATTTTCAAGGTCATGGCGACGCTCTGAAGATTTCAGCATATTAACCTGCATGTTATGCTTGTCAGCGAGATACCTCAAGGCGCAGGGCCCAGTCGATTTTGGTGACCTTCACTAAATTTTCACGGTCACAGCGGCACTCTGAAGATTTTAGTATGTTAACCTGCATTTTACGATGGTCAGCGAGATATCTCAAGAACCATTATCTGGACTAAGTGTAAGTGGTAAGTGCAAGGCCCAGTCGATTTTGGCGACCTTCACTTAAGTTTCAAGGTCACAAAGACACTTTGAAAATTTCAGTATGTTAAATATCATGTTAGGATAGTCAGCAAGATGTCCCAAAAAACATTCTCTGGATTTTTTTCATGTATGACACCAAGCTTCATTTAATGAATATGCAGGGCCCAGTCAATTTTGGTGACCTTCACGTAATTTTCAAGGTCACTGCGACACTTTGAAGATTTCAGCATGTTAACCTGAATTCACTTGGTTTTCTTCACAGACTTTCAAGACTTCCCTTGAATGTTTTTCAATAAGCAATTTCTTTAGTACCATTTTTGCATATTTCATACACTATGGCATTCATGTCAAGGTCAAAGTCAGTCTTGAAAATATTTGTGTGTTTGCACAACTAAAGAGCAAGATATCAAGAGAGGTTGACTGGTCATGTTTTTGTTGACACTTAACTTCATCTTAAACTTTCATTACTTTTTAAGTTTGATTTGATAATTTGCAGGCTGGGGATTATGTCACCTAAGTGACAATGCTTATCTCCTTTGCAATATGTCAATAGTTGTACCCATTTTTCAGGGCCTGTGCTGGAATATTGTTGTCATCAACAGCCGCCTGTACATCATCCCGGCGCTCATCATAGCTTTTTCAACTGGTGGAACACTATTTTCTTGTAAGTCTTGAATTTTCAACAGACGGTTCTCCCCATGCGTCTTTGCATCCGATAATCGGTTTTCCAGGTGTTCGAAGCAAACTTTCATTTGTTCTTCATCTGAATAAAAGATCTCCCTGCATGTCGTTGCTGCTGTCTGCCGAAGGTTATTCCAATTTTAATTTCTGGAAATCATTTGTATATCAATCAATCAATCTTTATTCCATACTTAAGAGGCCTCGGACCTATGGTACATGTATATTCATAATACCTGCAACTGAGCAGCAGATATTTACTTATTTCTCAAATATTTACAGATTACAAATTCAAAACAGATTTTCTATGTATAAATGCAAAATAGATATAGATTGACAGGTTCTGTAATTCAATAGTATTTTTCACTTGTGAACAGCATGGTCACTTTTATTCCATTAGGATGTGTATAATATTAAGATGTTAAATATTTCTTTCTAAGGTTATCAGATAAATAGAAAATGGTATTTCTAAGCGGGGCAGATACATAGAAATTGGTATTCGTGTTCTACCGTATTAACGTTATGCACAGAGGTTACAAATTCTATGATTACGTGGAATATGAACATAACGCTCAGTTTCAACAAACAAATCATGTGATGAACAGCGGAAACGGACTACACGGAATTTCTTTACAGTGATCTTTGATAAATACTATTCTTGACATAGTTCAAATTTCCATTGTTTATAATACAGCCATTTAGAGGAGAGATAGATTGATTCAAGTCTTGTTTGTTGATAGATGGTTTTTTTTGAGTCAGTGACTGATGAAATACTTCTCTAGTTGGACGTTTTGATTATTCCAAACATAACCTTGTCCCGTTTTGAATAGTAAGTGAGTGAGTTAATATTTAACGTCGCATCGGCAATGTTTCAGCTATATCGTGACCAGAACAATTGAAATTATATCAATATTAAAAGCAATAAATTTAGAACATAAAAAACTGTTATCGGATGACAGTTAAAACCGATTTGAATAGAAATTCCTAACATTAGTTATCGAATTCCCCCTCCCATTTTGTATCATATACTATCATCATATTATAACATTTCTTAGAAATCTATGGAATGGCATAGTTAACAATCGTAACCAATACTTCTTTAATTTAATGGAATATTTGCATGATGGGAATATGCCACACTCGCCCCAAAACAGTGCTACATGTGCGAGATTACACTCCGAGATACGTTCTGCAAGCATATATAAATTGACTTTTCTTTAGATTCATAATCCCATACTTCTTATCCGTATAATAGTATTGGGCTTACTTTTACATCAAATATTTTAAAGGATGAATTCCCCCAAAGTACGGATATTTCTGATTATATTTATCAAAACCTTTGGGGCTTGTACAGATGCTTGTTCTGTGTGGTTAATCCAAGAAAGATGGTGAGAAAAATAGACTTCAAGATATTTATACATACTACCCATCAAAAGTTTAGACTCACTAGTGTAACTGTAGCCACTTACTTCAATCAACTGTTCTATACTAGATTTTGCAAAATATTTCATACTGTTTAATAGTATTCTGTACACATGAACTGATGTGTTGTAAAACAAATTCGTAACGTTGAAAAGATTATTGTCATGAGTTCAAGAAATGATGAAACTCTGTGAAAATTGGCGAATTCTTAACAAAACCTTACACCAAAACGCAGCTGTTCACATGCACGATATTTGCAAATGCATTTCAGCAATTATGTTTGATCATCGTGCAATTCACGTGCATAAAGTTTGCAGTTGGTTCCCCAAAATTAGTGGAATAATTCATCTTCGATGTAACCATATATATTTGCATAATCGTATATACTACCCATCAAAGTTTAGACTCACTAGTGTAAATGTAACACTTCAGTCAACTGTTCTAAACTAGATTTTGCAAAATATTCCATACTGTTTAAAAGTACTGTTTACATATGAACAGATGTATTGTAAGACAAATTCGTAACATGGAAAAGAGTATTGCCATGATTTCAGTAAATGATGAAACTCCGTAACAATTGGAGAATTCTTAACAATCTTTACACAAAAACTCAGCTGTTCACATGCACGATATTTGCACATGCATTTCAGTAATTTTATGCGTCATCCTAGTGCAATTAGTCAGTGGAAAAATTCATCTTCGATGTAAACCATATATATACATACATAACATATAGTGAGTGCTTTAAGTGAGTCTAAACTTTTGATGGGTAGTATAAGACTGCTTTCAGTGAGTTTAAACTTTTGATGGGTAGTATAGGACTGCTTTAAGTGAGTCTAAACTTTGATGGGTAGTATGTAGGACTGCTGTAAGTGAGTCTAAACTTTTGATGGGTAGTATAGGACTGCTTTAAGTGAGTCTAAACTTTTGATGGGTAGCATAGGACTGCTTTAAGTGAGTCTAAACTTTGATGGGTAGTATAGGACTGCTTTAAGTGAGTCTTAACTTTCGATGGGTAGTATAGGACTGCTTTAAGTGAGTCTAAACTTTTGATGGGTAGTATAGGACTGCTTTAAGTGAGTCTAAACTTTTGATGGGTAGTATACGTTTGTAGTTTCTAGTTTCCTCCCTTTCCTCTAGTTTTCCTCTGTTTTCCGCCGTTCTTAAAAACAATAACCTTTGTTTTGTCCCTATTAAGTGTAAAATTCCATTCATAAGAATACATTTCAAGTTGATCAATTTGTTTCTGTAGACCACTTGTGCTACAAAACAAGACAATATCATTCGCAAATAGTAACAAGAACAACTGAGTTAAATCAGGATGTAACTGGATCCCTTCTGTACAGTTATCACGTATTTGCACAGCTAATTCATTGATAAAAATATCAACAGAAAGGGACTTAAAATGCAGCCTTGTCAGATACCTAAGCGGCTAATGAAACTTTCTGAGATTTTCATATATACATCAAATTTTATTCATTTTTTACTAAGTCTATGAGTTTACTAAAACAATCAAGACTAGACAATCCAGTGATCAACATCTTGAACATCGATCAACGCAATTGGGATACAGTGATATGTGTCCACCAAGTCAGCTTGACTGACCACCCGATTCTGTTAGTCACCTATTACGACAAGTAGGCGTGTTACTGAAGACCAATTCTAACCCGGATCTTCACGGGTGATATTTATAAGTAAGCAAATTTACTGAACATTGTTGTTTCAGTTATACCTTGAAAGATGACATTAAGCCAGGTTTATACCTGCTTGGTATTTGCCATGGTAGCAGCTCCAAATGATGGTACGTCACTATTTGTTTTCTACTGACCCCATATTTTTTACACCTTTTTTTCACAACTTTTTTTCCCTTTGATGTCATTTTTGAGCAAGCGCATTCATGATGCTTTTTATCCGTATTGGGGCCGAAGAATACATAACTGATGAAAAAACACACATTTCGGCTGAATGTATATCGTATTTATCATACTTCTTTTAATATATGTAATAATTCGTCCTTTTAAAGGATAACACCATAAAGTAAGCTATTCAAATGTATTTTCACAGCACCAAGGAGATGACGATCTGTGACCATAGGGTATGCCTGTACTGAAATGCCTTTTGTCTTCCTTTAACTTTAGCACGATGTTTACCGCTTCTGCCTAGAATGGCCTGCAACCTAGAGCTAAATACGTGCGCAAATAACAGGTGTGCACATTTTGCTATCATATGTCCTGTTGGGAGTTATGGACTGAGATGTAAAGCAAAATGTTCGAACCACTGCGTTGAAGGTAAGTGTCACCTAACGGAACGGGGTGCTGAGATTTGCACTAATGGCTGTGTAAAGGGATGGAGAGGCACCAATTGCCTGGAGCGATGTCCGTACCCATGCTCGGAGTGTGACCGCGACACTGGAGCTTGTACTGACCAATGTGGGGATGGTTTGTATGGCGACGGCTGCACCAAGGAGTGTCCACAGTCATGTGTTCGCTGTGACAAGGTGACGGGAGAATGTAGTGCCGTTCAGCATTCTTTGGCTAACTTCAAGGGTCTGGTTTACCTTGTCACAATGGCTACTATGGTGTTGATTGCTCCAAACGGTGTACTCTTGGCTGCGAGACCTGTGACCAATGGACCGGAGACTGTCTGCTGGACCAAACACAGACTGAGCCGTCAACAGCCCTGAAAAACATTACTGATGATACATCTTCATTTGACAAACTCCCTGAAGGTCAGTTGAGTTTAAGATTAGGATCTGTTTGATTGGCATTTTAGAAGTTGATGAATAATAAGAAAAGTATAGTTTTATCCCTTAAGTATTATACTTTTCTCAAGATAAGGAGTTAGAGTTTAGTTTAGGTATGATTACGGTATCTGGAACCCGGCATTGAGTGTACCAGTCCGTCAACGGAGTACTGATCTTTCGGAATGGCATCATTTACCATTAGATAATTGTATTTCCGTATGTGAGGTTAGTTTGATAGAAAGATGAGTTACATCTCCTGAATGGAAATTTCAAGGCCAATGTAACATATTTTTTTTTTTTCATTTTGACTTAAAACGTTACAGCCATAACAGTATTATTCTAAGAATTTGACGTGCTGTGAAAAAGTAAAATATTGTTTTCTAGAATAAGACCAGATATAACTATCTGTTGCATTTTGAATTTCCAGTGAGATCATCTGATGTGAATATGCTCATGGTAATCGGCCTGGGTGTAATGTCGGCCTCCCTGCTGCTTATCGTTGTTTTCCAGTGCTTGTGCTTCAGGTACGTTTTTATAGTATACTAATTTCATATACCCCAAACAATTTAATCCGTTTTTTTTTCAATTGTGAAGTCAACAAAATGAAAGGCTTCTTATGTATGAGCTCAATTAAATTCGTGATCTTGATGGATGTTTATCTTTTCTAGGATGAGACGAAACCAACAGATTACAGACAAGGAGGATCTGAAAGATGCCCACCTTTCTCTAAACGAGCCCAAGTACACTCATGTCTACGATGAAGATACCTGAAGATGCTGATGACAGTCGGTTTCCTAAGCAGAGAGAATACCTCACTGCAACATTCACCAACGATGGGCTTGACCCTTCTCTGACCCACAAGATCGCGGCAAGTGGATATCTTCACCCTCTTGGGATCAGAGGACCGTACGTGGCCCCTCATCTTTCATATCCCAATTGTGCTCCTTTTGAAGCGTGAATTATAATACACGTTAACTGATGATTGCTTGTTTAACGCCGCACTCAGCACTATTCCAGCTATACCTCGGTGGTCTGTAAATAATCGAGTCTGGCCCATAGTTGCGTTACGGTTTGTCTGTGTGTTACAAACTTGTTAACAAACATCATAATCTCAGACACACCTTAACCGATAGAATGCAAGTTTTGGCAAATATATCAACGTAAGTTGATATAAACATTTAAACAATTAAGTATAGAATAGACTCTGAAAACACGCCAATAGTTGTGCACGATGTTTAGTCCGAGGCGTGGTAGCGGTTTGAACTTGTTTATGAAGTAGTGTTCTTTTAAAATTCGTTTTACTTTGTCCGAAGTTTGAACTTGATTAAAAGGAAATATTGTAAAGTCAATATCGTATCCTTTCGCACAGACATCTAGATGTTCACTCAGTGGGATCCATCGGGTTTCAGGACACTTTATTTTTTGTTTGTGGACACGAACCCGGGCTCTTAAATTTTCGGATTGACCAATATACTAATCATTACAGCCTGTGGCATGTTATGACATATATTATGTTGTTGGAAGAGCAGTCAAAATTCTGTTTTACATAGAATTCTCCGTGTCTCGTGAAAGTTACAGAGTGTCCTTCAACAATATGTCGACACGTTCCACAGTTACTTCTGTTACATCTGGACACAGTAGGATTTGATACATTCTGTTTCTTTAAAATAAATTTGGCTTTTGTTAGTATTTTTTAAGATTCTGATTTTATCTTTTGCTATTTATTATTTTTCTAGATTTCAGCATTGATTTCAGTTTTTCATCTTGTTCTAAGATAGACATATTTGTATTTATGTTCTGGTATACATTTGGGTTCAACGGATTATAAGTAGATACAAAAGCAATACTTTTTCCTCATTGGTTTGTTTCATCGTTCCTGTTTATTTATCAATGACGCTAACCTGTATTCTTAATCATTACTGTACATCCTTATCACTACCGCATTGTACATTGACTTGTCAGCCCATTAATTATTGCATAAGACATTTATAACCTTCATTGGTAATCCCCCTTGGCCGTGTCTGCCATCACACCAACTGGTCAAGGAAGTGCCCCTTTCTGTTTATAGTATATGTTAATGATATTGCCGTTGAACTAGATTGTGCTGCACGCTTGATACATCAATGGGATTTTCATCTATCAATCACAGGCTTATGCAAGAGACACTCAATAAGAACCTACAATATTTATCGTGCCGGGCAAAACGTTGGCTTGTGACATACAATCCCAACAAAACAGAAGCTATACTTTTCAGTCTTAAGAATAATAATACAATTCTAAATTTAGAATTTTAAACTCAGTGTGTACGTTTGGATAAATCTCATAAACATCTTCTGATTGTAAATGGAACACACATATTGATAACATTGTAAAAACAACGTCCTTGATGGTTTCATCAATGAGAAAATTAAAGTTCATGTTAAACAGAGACACTCTAAATAGGATTTGTATATTGTATTCATAAGACCACATCTTGAATATGCTTGTGAATTGTGGGAGGGTTGTTCGGTAGACTTAACCGATAAAATTGAAAAAGTTCAGTTTGAGGCCGCCAGGATAGTTACTGGTTTACTATATAGTGATGGTGATCTATATAGGATCGGTCTCATAGAGAACCCCGAATGTAATTGTAAATTTCCCTTTGAAAATTCTCAACATTATTTTATGGAATGTTCTTTGTATTCTGTTATCAGACAGGAAATGTTTCAAAATATTAGCAGAATTTGTAACATTAAAGCACCAACTAACCTAGACGTACTATTAAATGGCATTGCAGATCTTCCGTATAGTGACAATATTCAAATTTCTAAAGAAGTTCAAAAATATATATCAAATTCCAAAAGGTTCAGTGATTGGATATAATGTGTATGATCTAAATAATTCATGTATTCATTGTATTGTATATATCATTTTGTATATATCTTTCTATCCCTGTACATTTAGTTTGTTTCACTTTTGTATGTAAGCACTGTAAATAGGAGAGGGTTTCACTAAGTTGGCATAACTTGTACCCAATCCATTCTCTTGAATAAATATGTGCTATTGTTTTTCTGTCTGTCCATTGATGAGTCGTCGCCTGTCCATTGTTGTCAAACACTGTATATATACTTAGTATGCTCACATCTAGATTGTGAAGGAGTACGAGTCCAGTATTCTGACTGTCTGTAGGGACGACCACAAGCAGGAGAATGCGGCTCGTAGGAAACGCCCTGGGGTTGAGCAGGTACTCACCTCATTTATGTCTTGTGCATTTGTTTGTCATGTAACTAAAGAAGTTTGAACTCAACGTATTCCTTCGTCTTGTCAACGTATTGTGCGTACACTTCCTCTTAAACATCATCAATCCTCCAGTGAACCACCATATAACACGCGTTGACACTATCATAGAAGTGTAACATCTTCTAAATTGCTGTATGAAAAATGTTACTATAAACTTTGAACCATTTAAACTCGAACGTCAATAAGCAAATAGTTTCAGAACTTGAAAGCTTCACCATCTGTTTGAGAAATCAGAAAGTGGCGGTTGAGTGATGTTAGTTTCACCAGACTCATTCGAATCTGAGGAATGGAATCAACCGGCTCCACCTTCACGACTCCTTGCACTGGTGGACAAGGCGTTGACACAGACAAGATTTATAGAGAATTTCTCAGGTTTTTATTCAGGAAGATGATTGCATCTGCTGTGCTTGAATCAAGTGATGCCCGCTGTTTGGTGATCGTGACACCGGCTGTAGAGAAAGCTCTGTGGGATGGGGCACTTTTACCCAGTATGCAAAGATGTTCCTAAGCCAATGCTGCAATTCGTGGAAATAAGTTGGCATATTCCCGCCACCAACCAAAGGTTAACTATTTTAGCGTTGACGACACAGACAGCTTGTTATATACACACAGATAATCATTATACTCAGCTCTGGCATCTTTGTGAAGGTTCTCGTCATCATCGATTTCGATGTTGCTATCCAAGAGAAATGACCATTTTCAAATTCAAAATTTGAATTTTGTTGTTGTTGGGGTGTTTTTGCTGGCAAATCTGGCTCTTGTTCCTCCTTCACAGGAAAACCAGGGCGTTCTTCTGTAGGATCAGGTGTATTGCCGCGCTCGACCAACTCAATAATATGGTTTTCGTTGTCATTTATTTATCATCTGTCAGGAACTGCAGAATTTTGTAACAAGGGTCCAGGGCCGTTGCAATCATTAGAGGGTTTGGGTAAGGAGTTAGGGTCTCTTCTAAAATTCGTGTTTGAAGAGATGCCCTTCGAGACCCTTTGCGAAGGATGTCATCATGTCTGCAATGATATTCGTGTCCAAGTCTGACACTTTCAGGTGCAAGGGACTTCTGTGGCGGATACTAGTGGCTTCAGTGTCACCACAAGGTTCTCCAGCAAACTCAAGTTTGTATCTTTTAGATTCCATCCCTTGTGTTTCTTTCATGCAGCACAGCTTTGATGTCTAACATGAAATAGGCAGAATTCCAACTAGTCACCACGTCGGTAATAACATTTGTTGAAAGTTTACCAAGTTTTCCTTGATGTTCTCTTAGTTGATGAGTTGCCGGAGTTGACATTCCCAAAAACATTACCACTGTCCAGCATATTTTCAATAGAATGAAGTTTCAAACCATCATTGACTGCTAGTTGAAAAAGTGTGGGCGAACCATCTCACACGAGGATGCCCTGGTGTCTTTTACGCCAGAGACATGTTGCTCGGATTTCCAGTAGTTAGGCCGACTACTTTAGCCATTCCAAATTCAGGACAGAATATAAAATCCGTCCTATATTCTCGCCGGTATGGCGTTCTTCTGCTCTTCATGTGGCCAGCACACACGACCCAAGTACCCAATTGTTAGGAAAGTGAGCCTAACTGTAATATAGCCTTGTGCTGCTATGCTTGTCCCCATGTCTGTGGTGAGTGCAACATACGAAATAGATTGAAGTTTGTTTCTTTACCTCGGAGCTTTGATAAAAGTCTTGTGCAAGTACATGTAATTGGGGAGAGTGGTTGAACATGGGACTTTGGGACTAACTCGGCACAGAATGCACGAAAAGCGTGCACAATGTTTGGTAGTCAAAGGTCTCGAGCATTGTTTACTGTGACACCCTTTCGTTCCACTTTCTATCTACATTTTTTTATTCCAAAGTTGTCAATTGTCCCAAGAGAGACCTGCTTTTCGGAGACAGTTTGACAACGTAACCCAATTAAAGTGATCTCCCCTTTTTTAAGTGGACCCGAGTCCAGCTAAACCCGACTCGTGTTCGAGGACTTGAGTATCCCTGTAAGCCCCTAATATTCAGCGTGTTCTTTCGTCATTTGAAAATGACTGCAATATCCAGACATTGTCAATTTACTTCCAAATGCGCTGGGTATATTGCCTCGTTTTGGTTAATAAATGTAGTTTTATCTTTTCCGTTTGCCCTGGTTCAAGCGACACTCACCTCACCGTGGGTGGGATAAATTTATGTATCCTCTGATAGAAGATATGTGATAATTTCGTTCATGTAAATTCTCCGTGAAATTGTGTGCTCAAATATGCATTACATACATATGATTACAAGTAATAGTTCAAAAATGTCTTTCACGCTTAAAACAAAAATTGTATATAGCGTTCATCGATTTTAAAAAATCTTTCGGTTCTGTTGATCGTTCTAAATTGTGGTATTGTCTGCTAAAGACCGGATTACGTGGGGAAATGTATTCCGTTTTAAAGTCTATGTATTCTAATATAAAATCATGTGAGCGTGTCCACCCGGATTAAGACAAGGGTGTATTTTAAGCCCAAAGTTATTTTCATTTTTCATTAATGAATTGTATTATGATATTGCTAATAATGGAAAACACGGTATTCAGATATTCCCAGATATGACTGAAATGCTAATTCTACTTTTTGCCAATGATGTCATCTTTAATTTCAGACTCTATTGTAGGATTACAAAATCAACTTAATATTTTGGGACGTTACACAAACGAATGGAAGTTATCGGTTAATTACGACAAAACAAACTTTCAGAAGGGATGGGTTGTTATCCGTAAATGAAAAGTGGGTACTAAATGGGATTCATCTTTAGATTCATAGTCATTATAAATATCTTGGTCTCTTTTTTTACCTATACAACTATGAACTTTTCTAAAAGCATAGAAGAAGTAGTATCAAGAGCAAAGAAAGCCTTATTCAACGTTATGTCTGTTTCATATAAAATTGGAATTACCTCACCTAAAATATTTTTTAAACTCTTTGATTCGCAAATACAACCAATAATGTTATATGAATCTGATATTGGGGTTACCAAACATATGATTGTTTACAAAACTTCACCTTTAGCGTGTAAAATATATTTATCCGTTGGATTATCTACACCAAAACTGTATGATTTACAGCGAATGTGGAAGACACCCATTATATATAAATTCTCAGATTAGATGCTTGAAATATTGGATAAAACCTATTCGTAAGCATAAAAATAGAATTCCAAAGCTGGCTTAAAATATGCTTTTACACTTAGAAAACATCGATAAAATAACATGGGCGTCCCATGTAAAAAACATTTTGTTCTGTCATGGTTTGGGTTTTATTTGGATGAACCAAACCATTGGAAATATTTATCTCTTTTTATATAATTTAAAATTCAAAGCTTTTATTATGTTCTATCAGGATTGACATTCTACCCTTCATGACTGCTCAAGGTATGATCGTTACAGGACATTAAAAAAGTTCACTTCAGCCTGAAAATATTTGTTTATTTTAAATTGTAGAGATTTAATTTTTTTTTTAACAAATATAGACTTGGTTTCTTAGATTTAATGATAACCGAAAGCAGGAAAATGTCCATAAATAAGAACAGAACTTGTCCGTTATGTAAATCCGCAGTTGAGAATGAAATTCAATTTATGCTAGTTTGTCCATCCTACTCTTTTCTCAGTAGCAAGTACATTCCACACCCGTTTTTGTTAAAACCACCTGCTTTAGATTTTACATCATTATTGTCTTCTCAAAATAATAACGATATTCTTAATCTGTCTCTATTTATCAAACACAGTATGAGATTAAGAACTGAACTGTTAAACAATTTTGTTCTCTCCATTATGTGTTTTGTATATTATTTGTATATTATGTTTTATCTACAAATGTATATTTGTGTGGGGGGTCTTAAATAGAATAAACTCTTTTGACGTTAACTTGACTACCCCGAACCCTATAGACTGAAGGCATAATGTGCAATGCCTAATGATGGGGTTACCAAACATAAGATTGTTTAAAAATAATTCATTCATTCATTGGGTTGTCAGTCCAGATTTGAAGAGGTCATCATACGACGATGTCGTATTGGCCACACAAGATATACACATGAATATTTGCTTAAAGGTGAAGATCCTCCGTTTTGTATCAAGCGGTCAAGCACGTCCTGCTTGACTGTGTTGAATATTCCATCACAAGGGATAACTATTTCAAATCACGAACTATGAAGGATCTTTTTAATAATGTCAGTTCTCATTAGATTTGTTAAGTGATTTGCAAATAGATTTATATTTTATTTTTGGAAGTTTAAATTAGTAACTGAGATTGTTAGTGGCGGTACCCTCAAAGGGGGTTGAAGTAGCGTAAACCTATTGTCCTCCTGAGTGGGTACGTAAATCCCAAAACATTTCAAGTCAATTTAAGTGTACCAGGTTTTTAATCGTAGTATTTTTGTGTTTTTAATGTATGGCTAAATCTCAGCATCAACGCCAATGGCTGAAGGGATGGTGTAAATCCAACTAGGGTCTATGCAGGTAGCAAAAGCAATGCATTTCCCTGGTTGGTGATCTACCTTCAGTTGTTGGCGATTTATAGCCCATTTTATACTGTATTGTCCTAATTTAAAATCCAATTTTAAAAAGAGATGCTATTTTTATTTCTTGAAACTGAGATATTATAGTCAGTTAACTGTCCTTCGATGACCTTTTTTACATGTATTTATGGTGAATTCTAAAGTTGTTTTAGTCACGATATGGCTGAAATATTGCCGATGTGGCTTTAAATTTTAACTCATTCACTCACTCTTGGTTTATTAAAGGAAATAAAATTATTTGATAAATTTTGAATAACTTTGTTATATGATTAGTGTGATGTTATCACCAACTAAAATTACTGATGGCGGTGTCACTCTGGGGGTTAAAGTATAGTCCCCTTGACAGTCGCACGTAAGTACACATTAAGTAAAGTACATAGCATAGACTGGTGTTTTAATTGCTCAATTGTACTTAAGTTTTTATTATTGATTTACCTTGCATACAACCACTGGTGGCCAAAGCGATGGCCTGGGAATCATGTCGGAAGCATAAGTAAGTCCCTTTGATCCCCAGGAAGGTGGTATTACATTGGTCGCTAGTGGTCTATAGCCAGGTTGTAATTAATACTAAATAATAGTCATACAAAGTAATATTTTTAATGAAGAATTGGTTTGATACTGAACATACTATTGTACTGTCCTTTGTAGAATTTTTTTAAAATATTATTCAACTTGTTCTCATCGCTATATGGCCTCAATATTGCCGATGCAAAGTAAAAATCATTCTTTATAATCAGGCATTGCCAATACAGGTGACGGGAAATTACGTGTTATGCAGACAACATGCGAGTATGAACATAACTGGCTTCTTGAAGGTATCAAGCGGGAACTTCGGGAAGATGTTCAAATATCTTCCTGAAATTCATTCAAGGGATTGACAGCTTACGATTGTTCATAACAGTTCTCAGTGAGTATGGTTTACGCCGCTCTCATCAATATTATCACAGCGGGGACACCAGAAATGGGCTTCACACATTGTACCCATGTGGGAATCGAACCCAAATCTTCGGCGTGACAAGCGAGCACTTTAACCACCATGCTACCCCTCCACCTCCTAACAGTTCTCAACTAACAGAATGTGGATTCGCTGCAGCTCCAAGTCCATAAGCGATGATTCAACATTTGTGAACCATACCGTCCCCATGTTTTGTTGAAGATATAACTTGTGGCCAGTTAAGCCGAGGTTTATGTCTTTTTCAAGCATTGTTTTGCAAACATACAAATATGGTCTCGTGAAATGATAAAAGATTTATCTGATAAAATTATATTTTCACATTTCAAGTTATTTCTTTGAAAGGGCGATGTCGGTTTTACTTCACAGCTTGTACATTTGTTGAGTTGGCCAGTCACGGTCCTCATACTACTTGTTTCGTTCACTGTGAGGTGATGAGTTGTCAGCATCTGTTACACGTGGTTAGTTCTCGTCTATTATCGCTGCGACCAGACATATGATGATGAACGGGACAATCCACATGACGATCAGGAAGGCCAGTGCTTCATTATATATCTGGCCCTCGCAGAAACACCCAGCCACTGCATATGCGCCTGCATAAACACATCAAGGATTAAACAATAAATGCTTCACGGATTCAACAATAAATGCATCACGAATGAAAGAATAAACGCATCACTGATTAACCCAAATGCATCACGATTTAAACAAGGCAGGCATTTGAAATATGTAAAATCGCTAGAATATACGATGCAAGATTTTCTGTTTTAATGTTTAGATTAAACCTCGTGAGTTTTACACCGCTTTTAGCAGTATCATGGCGGGGGACACTCTAATCTGGATTCACACTTTGTACCCATGTGGGGAATCGAACCCGTGTGACGGGTTAACGGTTATACTTCGAGGCTACCCTGTTGATGATCCTGTTTCGTTTCTGTAGCTTTTCTTTTTTTTATATTTCCCACTTCTTGGAATTACAGTAATGGCTGCCCAGTCTTGTCACTTTTTGCCAACACACCTGTACCCCCAACACCATGAAGAAATCCAACTACAGAGGCGTCATATAACTAATGAGTAAGTGAGTTTAGTTTTACGCCAAACTCAGCAATATTCAAGCTGTGTCATCGAATTCTAATTGCATAGATCGATGCTCATGCTGTTGATCACTGGACTATCTGGTTTTAGGCTCGCTTGTTTATAGATCCCATATAGCTGGGATATTGCTGAGTGCGACGTTAATAAACCAACCAACCAATCAAAACCAACCCATTTCTGGTGTCTCCCGCCGTGATATTCCTGGAATATTGCCTCGTGAAACCTCTCTCTCCCTCACTCAGCCACCCACTCACTTACTCACACACACACCCACTCACACACTCACTCACACAACCTTCCACTCACACTCACCCACCCACTCACTCACTCACCCACCCACTCACTCATCACCCACCAACACATTCTCTCACCTTCAAAACAGAACCCGATATAGAAATATGCCATCAATCCGTGACAGCGCTGTTGGGTTTTGTCAGAGCATACGCAAATTCCACAGACGTTCAAACATGAGACGAACAGGACCAGCACTGAGTACAGGCCATGCGCTGCCAGGTAGAGTTCAATCATGAAGTGACAAGTAACTTTGGGATCAAGAAGTGCTTTGATACCTGCAAAGGAAACAGCAGTTCCAAGTAGTGTAATGTTAGTGGTTGCTCCCAGTTACAACCAGATGTTTTAGACAGATAGGACGGACCTGATCGAACTTTGACCTTCAAATGTAAATGAAGAATTCTTGGGTTCTTGAGGCAATCAGATTACAGCTTTCTAAAATGATTCGGCTTCACTTTATTAATTGTGAATCATATGTAATTCGTCATATAGGTGTGGGTCCATCTCCTGCAGAATGTGACTGTTAAATGTCCACTAGACACGGCAGGCTGATGTGGGACTTCACTAACCGCAGCATACATGTATAGTAGTGGCATGTTCACACGGCCAAATAGTGTTGGAACTACTTGTAACCAAACCATATGGCGGCAGAACGTCTCTTACCAACGTCAGATAGTGGTTCATCTTTCAATAAACAATGAAAATCCACACAGGACATACAAGGCTTATGGCAGCCGAAATTTACTGATATATATTCGATTCCGAGATACAGAATTCATATATTGTTGGAATTCTTTGCTCAGTTCGACTTTGAAACCTTGATGTTGATTGACTGATAAGTAAAATTATATTCTCCCGACACGACCTCAGTACATCTCCAGGCAGTCAAGTAGTGTATTGAAGTAAGAGAACCGATTTTGATACATGTGGTATTGTTCTTCCCAGTAAGGCTATTCTAATATGATGTATGCGATGGTTAGTGGGTCTAGGCAGTGGAAGTTCAACCAACACAGTTGGTGGTTCTCCAAGGTGTAGTTAGAGGAGGTTTTACTTCACTATGACTGGTATACTGCAATCGAATATTGTTGAATTTTCAAATTAGAAAATTGTTATGAATTCCTCCTTTCAACTTGTATTCATAGAGCTTACCAATGACTGCCATAGCTATCGGTATCGAGGACACAACCATGAAGATCACTACCACGACAAATTTTCCTGTTAAAATGCAAAAATATAGATTAACATCATGACTTTGTAATATTTGTCTGTATTTCTATCCACAAGGTCTGTTGAAGCCACCATAACTGAATATGTTACAAGCATGAAATATACACTTTTTTAACGTTGCTCAAATACGCATCCTTTCCAAAATTTAGTCTGTAAAGTGTAAATATAGCCACTTACCTCAGGCAACTGTTCTAAACTAGATTTTGCAAAATATTCCATAATGTTTAAAGGTACAGTTTACACACGAACTTATGTGATGTAATTCGTAACGTTGAAAACAATATTGTCATGACTTCAATAAATGATAAAAATTCTTATCAAAACATTACACCAAAACGCGGCTGTTCACATGCACGATATTTGCACATGCTATTATATGTGTGTGTGTTTAGACTCACTTAAAACACTATATGTTTTTTCTCTCTCTTGTACATGATCCCAGTAAGGTAACACCTTGATGCAATAAAAGCGTTTAAAGTTTGAAACCATTTGTATCTCCATTTTATTTTTCATCATTCTTGAACACAAATGAGTTACCGAATACATTTGTGTATATTCATGTTCATATATTTCCACATTCACAGAAATTTAGGATCGGAAATTCTTGATAAATGAAACATAACAGACATGTATTTTACTGCAGATAAGAAAGCCATGAAAAATATCCTAAAGATCTTTTCACAATAAAAGAAGTATACTCACTCTTTGAAAAGCAGCCGGTCTTTTCCTACCCCTGTATATCCAACTGCAACATAGCCGCACATATATATCCTAATGTATTATGTGTCAGATTTAATCAGCCAGTCACTTGATCACAAATGAGACTCCTGTTATGTACCTCACTTTAAAATCTTATGCTATGTATTCGTTTTACCAGGAAAGTGTTACAAGAGTAAATGGCAACATCCGCAGACTCCTATAGATTTCTCTGTGCATTTTGAGGTTTAACTTATGCCTAAAGTATGTTTCTTCCAAGACATATTACCAAGCTACATGCTGATAGCTATGTCTGTTCTCGAGAAACCAAGTTAAGAGAAACTGCGTGCAATTAAACAATGACATACGAGCAAAGATTAAGTACCTGCATAAAAAGGGCATGATCCAAAGGCAGAACTATGTAAATGATGCCAAAAGGCAAGTCCATATCCTAGCTCGTGAAAATCAGTTGATTTTGTTAAAATAAGGTTAAATAACTAGTTTCAGAGTACATAATTGAGTGTTACTGCAATGTAAACTTAAAAATAGATTGTACAACTCATGAGAACAAATGATTATTGTTGCGGTGTGTGGTCCTGTGCGCAGAGCTCAGGTCACAAATCAGTTGAAATTAAGCGGAGAGTCCTTGGATGGGTGACTATGTTTGTCAGCTTGACTCCTGAGAGTTTCTAAAACTTCAGTCCTGCCCCACAACGAAGCACATGTGATACATGTGGTCTCACCTTAGGCTAGGATGTTTGTTCAAAAATTGCCTCTGTTCACCCAGCAGAAAATAGGTACCCGGTTGCATAAAGTCATGTGACTATAACTTTCTAGCGCCTAGGAGGCAACTTGGGTTATCCGGGGTAATAGTAATCAGATTATAGCGTCCAGTGAGAAACTAGTCAGATGGATACTAGGCGCTATATAAATGAATTTTGATTATATATTATATTATTATGAATCACATTTCAAAATAGTAGAATCGTACATAATTTTTAGATTTGTATGACTAATGACATCAGAAGACATAAACATTGATTTGTGATCCCCTATGAAATAGCAGCTCAGACCAGAAGGAAACGAGATTTCAGATGTTGAGCTTTGTTTGTTAAAGAACCCATAACAATGGTCTTGCAAATGTTAAATGTGAGCCTCAACTAGCATTTGTTTGTTGGTTGGTTGTTAAACGCCGCACTATGCAATCTTCCAGCTGTTATGAGGTCGGTCGGGAAATAATCTAGATTGGACTAGACGATCGGGTGATTCAGATCATGCTCATCAATATACGCACTTGCGATGCAATGGCATGCATTAACCAAGTTAGTGAAGGTAACCACTCGCTCCCGTTCGTCGCTATGGAAACAACCATGGCTTGTTGTAGACCAATTCTAACCCGGATCTTCACAGGTAACCGTCCAAACAATTCACCAACACCATAAATGGAGCCCGGCACTGCCTCCTAAATTCACGGATACCCACTACGAACCGCCGTATCCCCAATTTCATCAAAGCCGACAACAACGGTTCCATGTTGATGCAGGATTGTAAATCCTGAGATCTATAAATTTGTACATAAAATCGATAAAGCAAGACAGATTTTTCCCCACCTCGATAGCTGGTTTTGGCCAAGTTTGTGTGCATATCTTACCTTCGCTCTGTCGTGGTATGTTGACAGCGCGAGTAATCTCAGCTCCATGGATGTTACCCTGGTCATCTTCTTCGAGCCCGGTATGTCGCGCTGTGCCAACCACGTTCCCACTGTTGTCTCTTCCTAAGGTAGTGTGTCTCTCCACACTAAATACCCGTCCCTCCTCGTTGAGGCCAACATCTCCTTGAATACCTGGGTGACACAGAAGAGCAAACCTTCACATACAGACGATGAAGGATCTTAACAAAAACAAGAGTTTGAACCACATAGAGGCATTAAATATTCAAGGACATGACAAAAAGATTATGTATTCTTCAAACCTCTTTTACACACGTGTTTGCTTGTATAAAAACCCACTCTGCAGAATACAAGTTATTTGATGGTAGTTTGTAAAGAACTGAGTTTTGACCAGAGTGAGTTTAGTTTCACACCGCACTCAGCAATATTCCAGCTATATGGCGGCGGTCTGTAAATGATCAAGTCTGGACCAGACAATCCACTGATCAACAGCTTGAGGATCTACGCAATTGGGAACCGATGACATGTGTCAAACAAGTCAGCGGGCCTGACCATCCGAACACGTTAGTCGCCTCCTACGACAAGCATGGGTAACTGAAGGTCAATTCCAACCCGGATCTTCACAGGTTTATCTGCACCAGACGATCCAGTGATTTACATCATGCGCAATGTCAACTGAGATTCAGCGAGCCTGACCACCCGATCCCGTTAGTAACATTTTACGACAATCATGGGTTAATGAAGACACATTGCATGAAATACTTAAACTGTAGAGCATTTTAACATGTACATTCAATGCGAAAAGTCAATAGTAACCCTGAGTTTCTGGGCCTTTGTAGAGCACATTATAAATGAAAAGCTGACCCCGGATGAAAACGATTTTCTTCTAGTCTTTGAAGGCAGCGTCCATCACCGTTCTGAGATTAGTCTTAAGATCCCTGTCCTCTTTGATCAAGTCCTGTGTGAGGAAAATCTTCTTGCCCTGAATCTTGATCCGAGCTTGAGACATGACCTGTGATTTCTGGAGATGAGAGTAAAATGTAACAATAACAGGACGTGTTTTGTTTCCAGTTTGTCTCCCAAGTCTTTGTGCGATTTCAATCCTAGGCTCTGCGTTGGCAAGACCAAGTTCTTGCTGCATAAAGGGACGATAAGAGCCATGGTATCTTCATCTTTCTCCTGGGGAATACCGTGAACCAAAACGTTGAACTAACGTGAGTAACGCTCCATGTCTCGCATCCTCGCCTGGCCCTCGATCTGGGTCACGCGCACCGACATTCCATTCTGCGTCACCGTGACCTCAGAAATCGCCTTCTCGTGATTGCTAGAAATGATGCGTCCATTTCCGCATAAACAAAGTCAGTCAAGGACTTGAGATTTTGCATTTCGGTTCTCAACTCACTTTTGCGGATACGATTGCTTGGTAGAGCGTGGTCATCGTTATAGTTTCTGGGGGCTCGCCGTCTGCGGTAGGCCTAAGTGGTTCGCCATGTTGGATGCCTCCAATGTCACTCTCAGCGTCGCTTTCAACGTCAAACGGAGATATATCCCGTGCACGATTAACGGACCGCTGGGCTGACTTGTTTTGGGGTCTCAGGCTTCTTCTGCCTCTTCTTACCCTTTTTGGGTGTGTATCCGAGTTGGATGGGCCTCATATTTTCACTTTAGCGGCAGAGCTTAAGGGGGACTTCTTACTCAGTCATAGACCACGTGACCTCCCCCTTTTGCTAAGGTTACACTATGTTCCCGGTGGCCACGGCCGCCCCGTTTCGCCGACACGTAGTGAAACGGGGACGAAACGGGATGGACGTGCGACAACGTGAGGGGACTGAATGAGCAAACGTGTCAGTCCACAACCACGTTTGTTTGTCGTTTTGTCACGGTTGTTTCACCCTTGTTGCCCGTTTTGTCCCGGTTCTCACAGATAGGTTGTGTGGTAGCCGATTCGTCCTGTTCTATCACGACGCATCCAGGCGTGTGACGGTGTACAGGGAGGCGAGATACGGCACGTTGCATTCTCTAGCATTCCCTTTCTGCAGCTGATGCTGGTCTTATTGTTGACGCAAGGACTCGATGTCTATCCCCAGCAAACGCACAAACACAAAATATTCTTAATCTTGGGGTTTCATGCTGCTCTTGTCTCCCAGGAAACAATGACTGCTATTGTTTGAGTTTCCTTATTTTTATACCGTGGGCACAAACGTGAACCAAAGCTAGCCGGCGTCCACGTTTCATCAGTAGAAATTCTTGACAGAACGCGGAAAACGTGTCAAAACCTTGATCAAAACGTGAGAAACATGAGGGAACTCATTAGAACGCGACAGGGCGAGGTGAACATAATGGCATCCGTAGTGGACTGCGGGGTGAACCATCACGGATACCGTGATAGACCGTGAGAAAACGTGGCAGAGCCGAACAAAACTTTGGAGGAAACAAATACCAAAATGCCACGGCGCACTACGTTTGGGGGAAACGGGGTTGCACATAGTGTAACCCTAGCATAACCGATGATATTGCTTTGGCTGTTTACTGCTAATATTGTCCATGGTTCCAGTCCAAACACATTCCCATTCTCTGCAGCCTCAACACGTCTGTGAAAGCCTGGATAACATGACAATGATAAGGCCATCCGTATTTTTTCATGTTTTTCTCATCTCCAACCGAGTCCAGGAACAGAGCAGTCGGTCGAAAATAAATATATAAAAATATTTTTCACTTACTGTGTAAAATGTTTTTAGAAATTTTAAAAGACTGCTGTTAACAGTCTCTATACTATATGATGTGGAGGCGCTTTGCACGGAAGCGCTTTAGGACCATTCGATTTTTTATCTTGATTTTGAATTTTCAACTTCTTATATCGAAATTTCAATAACATTTTCTCGAAATTTCAACTTACTATCTTCAAATTTCCAAAAAAAACTAAAAAAATAACCGCATGGCCTAAAAGCCTTCCGTAACAATAAACAATAAACATTAAACAAAAAATCTTTAAACAAAATAAAAACGGTACTTAAAGCACTGTTTAATAACCAGACTTATCACAGATTAATGTTTATAACTGATCACATCGGCAGTCTGCATATATTTATACATAAAATTAGATTCGTTTGTTTATTGAAGTCAGCAGTGTTCCAGCTATATGACAGCAGCCTATAGATAATCCATTCCAGACCAGACAATCCAGTGATCATCATCATCAATGATACGATTACAAACGTTTACCATGTCAGCGAGCCTGACCACCCGATCCCGTTAGTCGCATCTTAGAAGCATGGTTTCCTGCAGATCTTCATGAGATCTATAAATTTATATACACTGTCGAAATCACAATGTATCTTAACATATTCAAAATCA